TCTAAAAGGCCACATCACCGACAGTATTTTGTTTTCGTGTTCGTGCTCCAACTGTCAGAAGGTGTGAAATCATAGTTCGATCACGGCACATTTGAACTGGGCGCATTTACGAGTGACGGGTTTCTTGGGCGACGGCGCATCGCCTGCAGGCCCGCTTCAGGTTGAGGACTCTTCGACTCGGTCGACTAGTGCGGATTCTAATGAAGACGGTGCTGTTAACGTGATGCAAACCCCTAATGATACCTACGACGTGTTAATGTCTTTGTCTGCAGGAGAAAAAAGGAAGGCCGTAAAATACGACCTTGTTTTTTGTACCTGAAGTTCAACTGAACGCTTCTTATGCCGGTATCAACAGTTCAAAAAACCATTTATGAATTTCAACTAGGGATGCCGCGAACTTTTTTCGAATCGAAGTTTCGATGATCGAATCAAGCGGTTCGAAAGGTTCGAAAGATTTCGATTTTTCGAATTGTCTATATCGTAAAATTCGACGGAGGTCGAATTTTCGAACTTGTTAAGCTAAGAAGTTCGACGCTTTTCGAACCGTCGAACTTATTACGCTAAAAAATTCGATCTTTTTCGAACTTTCGAACTTATTGCGCTGCAAGGTTCGATGCTTGTCGAACTTTCGAACTTGACTGACCAAAAAATTCGATAAATTTCGAACTTTCGAACTTATTTATCAAGAAAATTCGAAAAGTTTCGAACTTTCGAATTCTGAAAAGTCAGAAGTTCGACGAACTTCGAACTTATAGGGTAAAAGTTCGACGTTCGTCGAACTTCGAAAGACCGGCGGACGGTTTCATTTGATTTCAAGTAATGGGGTACATTCGTAATTTTTTTTCTGGAACTTTTACACGCGGTGCTGCGTTCCTTACGAAAGACAATGCCATTTATTTCAATGTTCTGGCATGCTTAGGTTTAAAGAAATAAATCCCCGAAGGGGCGAGGACGGACGACGGGTTTTTGACGATTATCGTTTGTGCCAGATTTGAAGCAAGCTGCAGCCGGAGCTATTTATGGTAGATATGTTATACTTTTTTTTAAGAATGATCTATGTATAGCGTAGGTAAGTGCCGTCTTAAGATGTGATTATTGTTATTCAACGTGAGTTTCGAAGAAATGTCCAAACATGTATCTGCATGCAATTATGACCTAAACTTGATATTTATTTTCGTCTAAGTTGTTTGAGGTATCGCATTTAAATTAACACCACAGACAGTACATATCATTGCCATCTGCAGAATACAAAATAATATATTTATTGTTTTTTCACGTTAAGGAATAAATTAACTCATGGCAGAAGATTTCTAGTAGTGTTCAAGTTCAGCACGTCATTAAAAGAAAACTTTTTTTTTTTTTTTTCGCTTCACGTTCCTGGGACGTGTTTCTTTTAGCCTGTACACATTTTGGTAAAAGAAATTTGTTTCGAAGTTCTGAACCTCTGAATATGCAAGAATAGAACACTTCCGACGAATTCTTGATAGTTTGTTTTTCTCCTGCTTTTTATTCCCGCATTTATTCTTTTTCTTTTTTTTTTTTTTTTTTGTTACTATCGGCACAGGTGTTTAGGTCGAAAAGACAGCTTTGAACTTCCGAACCACTAAGCATGTGACGAGCAGTGCCTTCTGACAACGAGTTTCTAACAATGACCATCTACGCAACCTTTTATGCAGTGAAGAGCGACAGTAGCTATACATATGCATAAATAATTTCAGATTAAAATAAGCTCGACCACGCTCTCTTTCCCCGTATTGTTTTCTTTAACAGTCCGAAATACCTGCAAGGGGGAGAATGAGGCTGAAGCCCCCCCCCCCCCCCCCCCCCCCCCCCCCGCTACCCTCTTTCCCCCCGTTTTTCCTCTTCCGACGCCACTTGTCTGGTAGAACGCTCCTCGACCTCGAGTTGTGTCGGCTTTCGTGCTTTTTGCGAGGCGATTCCTCCGTCCCAGAAAATAAACCTCCAGTACAATTATAAACTTCACCGGATCGGATTACTACCAGCGTGCAAGGGGTGGCGAGCTAGTTTGCCAGGTCGCTTCAAGGTTTCTCTGAGCCTCAACCTCCTGCTCGCCCCTGGCCGTTTCGAACTGGATGAGTCTCGTAAAACAGTGTGTTCGTGCAATCACTACTGCGTGATAAAGACCCCCCCCCCCCCCCCCCCCCCCGGGGGGCTGGCGGTCACAATTCTGCACTGGCAAATATTCTAGCACGTCCGGGACACTCGTCGTCTCATTTAATTGCCTTACCAACTTCGCAGAATCTAGATATCACACCCTAACTTTTCTAAACTTGATTTTGTGAAAACAAGTGAGTCGTGAAAACGTTATTTGAAACTGAAACTGTAGAAAAACTTGAAAATCGGACTTCAAACTTTGAAAACTTGGATTTAAAAAAATTCAAAATCTTCAGAGTTTTTTTTTTTTTTTTTTTTTGAATTTAGCGTTAAAAGAGAATCGAAACTTTCGAACTTTTCGAACTTTATGCCAAAAGAAATTCGAAATCTTCGAATTGTTCGAACTTCATGTCTATAAAAATTCGAAGCGTTCGAAGTTTTCGAATTTTTTTTACAAAGAATTTCGAAATCTTCGAATTTATCGAACCTGAAGTAAAAAATATTCGAAATATTCGAATTCGAAATTTTAGAAACCGTGAAAGCTTCGAAATTTTCGAATTCGAAACTCCGCTGTGGACAAAAGTTGCGAATTTTTCGAAATCGAACCTCGGTCGGTACGAAAATATCGAAATTTTTCGAAATCGAACCTCAGTTCGCTTCGCAAATATCGAAACCTTTCGAAATCGAACCTAGGGTGGTTCGCGACATCCCTAATTTCAACGTCGGCATTTCTTGTACAAACAATACATGTTCGGCCAACTTGCTGAAAGCCTTCAAAACGTGCTTGGTTCAGTCGAGGTTCATAACATCATTGAGTTTATAACATCACTATACAATGATGTTATGAACCTGAATACTACCACCTTTCTCGCCGTTTAAATTGCACCGTAAAAATAACGGCGCGCTGTAAATTTTTTTTTTTTTTTTTACCGCAAATTTGAAGGCCGACCGTAGATTTCTACGGTCCCCGTTTAAATTTATCGTAAACCAGATTTACAGTGCACCGTTATTTTTACTGTACAAGTTTGGCAGCATCAGCTACCTGGTATTCGATCGTAAATTTTACGGTCCAATTTACAGTCAGGACGCTACAGTGTAGCGTCCTGACTGGTGCCCCATACGAGCAGGCACGTATGGCGTGCACGTGAATATAGCTTTGGTAGGCTTGCAATTGCACGTGATTTTCCGCACGAGCAGAGACATTGCGTTGGCCATATGCCCAGCTTTCTGAGGCTCTGCAGTCAAAAGTACGGGAGCGTGTGCCTTGGTGTGCATAGCCTCAGAAAGTTCAAAGAGTTCATCCCCTACAGGTAAACCGATACAAAAGCTCTCAAGATGTATATTATGTTATCAAAGTTTAGTAAAAACGATGACTCCACAAAAAATATAAACACTTCCCCCCCCCCCCCCCTCCGTTTTACGCCGAGGAACCGCCCCCCCCCCCCCAAAATGGAGGTCTGGATCCGCCCCTGCTCGTCCGCTCCCTTTTTCGTCAGCTGCGTACTTTTCGTCGCCAATCAGCGCGTGTGCTCCCCCGGGCACGGTGACCTTGGACGCTCCGTGCCCACGGGAGAAACTGCGCGCTGATGGACACGCAGTGCCATGGGGTGAGCGGTCGTGGAAACTGACGAGCGCAGCGGCCAATGGGAGCCCCGTCGACGCGCGCCAGCCAATGGAACCGAAGGATCGGGGAAACTATGTGCCGTTTTCGCGCTTCAAACTGATGACGTCGGCTCGCTCCATGAGACAGTTGATGCTTTCGCATTAAACGCCACCAGAGAAGCCCCCTCCGTGGCGGTGCAGGGTTGGTAAGAGGAGGGGGTGGTGGCGGCGGACCCAGAGGCTAGAGCCATCCGGACAGACTCCGAAGGGTCCGTACGGCCGAGCTCAGCGCGGCGCAGTCACTTCGCAAAAGCGCGCGCCCGGCCGTCCGCCGGCGTCACGTGGCCGTCCACGCCACTACGACGCAGACGAACTTTCTCGGAAAGCGGAAGGACGACATTCATGCTTTCGCATTCGCAACTCACAAGAAGTGCTTAGGTGTCCTCGGACTTTTTCTTGGTTATTTACTTGGGATCTTTTGTACGGGGAAGGCGGGAGCGTGTACTAACATTCCCAGCAGTTTCCTTGATGCTTGGGTAATTTAGCAATAGACAAAAAAGAAAAGGGGAATGAAAGCGCATAATAAAAGATTGTGTGAAAAAGTACATATTGCTTTTACAGGACTCTACTTCAAGTATATTGCACCCAGTGCACTTACTACTTTACTTGAAGTATGTAACCTCACGTGTACTTCTTTAACTACTTTTTAGATGTACTTTACCCAACACTGGCTTGTTTACTCTTTAGATAAGTCCACATGTCCCCCCCCCCCCCCCCCCCCCCCCCCCCCCAAATGATGCACACACTTGGCTGCCTCGACATCGCGCGTTCGCTGCATATTCAATATGTTGCCCTTTGAATGGCATGCCCCGTTTTTCATTCTGATGCCCAAAAGACGCTCTTTGGAACACTTGCTCTCCAATAGTATTCAACGAGCAAACCTTGGAAAGCAATGCAAGCAGCACCTTTGTGAAGCAACCATGATTCATGACTGTCCTGGTGTCTGTCGTTTGATTGCTGTGGATGCAACCAGTGCAAACATCTGAACCAGCCTTCGGTACTCCATACGAAGACCAAACACAGCCTGTTACTTAAAGTCATAACCGGAAGTTTTTAGAATTTGCACAAACTTTCTGTAATAATCCAGCAAAGTGACCGGGCCTGAACTATTAGGCATTTTACTTGGAAAGCAAAATTAACACTTGGTGCAATGTTGGCACAAATTTCATGCATTTTTGGTGAAAATGTACCGGGGCACAGCAGGGTAAGAACTTGGGCGCAAGTAGTATCATGTTTTTTATTTCTCTGCGGCAGTCTTCTTTGAGCCCGTGAAGTTGTGTGCCTCCGTTGAATTTCCAACTCATGATTTATATTAAGCTCGCCATGCACTCAGAATGCCCTATGGAATGAAACTTCTTGTAGTCGAAGCAGTTTCGCACCACAATGACGTGCAGCTTTTGCAGAAGACATATTATACAGTACTTAAAATAAAAATAATAAAAACACAAAGGACTTTCACAGACAGCTGTGCTCTTAGGGTTGTCTGTGAAAGTCTTTCGTGTTTTTATTCCTTCTATGTTAAGTGTTCATGATCGCAACACATTCACCTCAACCAATACATATTGCAAATGGCAGTCTACAAGAAACAAACAAAAAAGTTCCCTTAGGTTCTTTTACTGCAAAGAAATGTACTTCACGGAACAGCACGTTGAAAAGTATGTAAAAATAACAAAGGAGCAGCCAGACCCTTCTTGTCCAGTTCTTTTGCACCCAGACAACACAAGTGCAGAAAAGAAAGTTCACTCTTATGGTGCGTACTTGAAGAGGCATTCATTCCTATGCAGACTCACTCACAAGGACATGCAAACACACGCACAAACAAACATAAAAAAAAAAAAGAAAGCTGTCAATGGGTCGCCGAGCAGCGGACGGCAATCCACGGACGATTCTAACCAGCCTCATCCATAGGACGCCGTCAGGCATCGAGTATGACACTTTGACTTCAGGAGACAAATTATTGACCAGTGCAAGTCGCGCTCAGCAGACGACGAGATATCCAAGAGTCTCGTTGCAGTGGTTTCCAATTGACACCACACACACACAAAAAAGAGGCCAGCCAGCCACGTGCCTCCAAGAAGTCATAGATTGTCCACATGTCTGCCAGCCGCAACGTCCCAAGGACGTCCTCAGGATGCCACGAGTGTGGTCGGTCGTTAGAAAAAGATCCATTCCGGTCGTGCGGCTACCAAAGCTCTCCGTCCTTGTCCTTGGACGGCACCTCAATGACCCGTGGTTTGTCAATGATGCGTGCGGTGCGGCAGCCCTTTTCAACGATGCCGATGATCCAGGCCTGGTAGCCCTCCTGCTTCTCAATGTCCTTGCAGTATGCAGCTGCTTGCTCTCGGGGCAAGCAGATCAGCAGGCCCCCTGCAAAACGAGCAACATTAATGCTGTCATCTTTATGGTAAGCTATTCCGCCGTGTTATGGTGCCTGGAGCGCGCCTCCGACCGGCGCATTTACCGCGCCCCAAAAAGTGGTCTTTCGATTTCCGCCCGACGACATCACAAAGGTGTCGCGTTGTCGCCGGCCACCATTCCGACGGTGTCGCAGCAGGGGTGGTGCATGTGGCAGACACCCGTTCTGCCGCAGGTTGCCAGTCGCGGAAGCTTGGGCAGCAAGCAGTTGAGACACCACGACGACAGCGACGCTCACATTCTCTCGTGCCTTTTTCAAGAACCTCTAAAACCAAACGCCAGGACCACGACGTTCCACAGCGTGACACTCCGGTTTTTTTAAGACAACTCCGAGCTTGCTAAAATTGACTTTCTTTTTTCGCCTTCTAAGGGGACCCAGATGTTCAAGGTTTTCCAGAATTTTCAGACGAGCATTTCTTCAGAAAGCACAGTGTGCGAGAACGAGCGGAAAATATCAAAACAAATTTTAGCCGAGAGCCTAAAAGAGGGGTGTGAGATTTACACGTCACCCTTAATGCCGGCGAATGCGGACGGCAAATACCGTGGCCAATAGCTTGTACCACTGGGCATGGCATCACATGCACGATCGATTGAATGACAGTTGAAGCGATCTGTGGACCAAAGCATCATCTATTGAAATCAGAGCCAGGCACTGCCTGGGGTAGCTCTGCCATGTTTGGTGCTGCAGGCTTTTCTTGGCGTCGTGTGTCTAAGCTCAAAACCGAAGCATCTAGAAATGGTATCGTGTGATCGGGTGGTGCACAGAGTCCCTAGCAGAAAGAAACATTGTACAACTTTCGTGCGGTGGTGAAAGCAGCCTGTCGCCCTCGCAGCCACAGACATAGCCTGGTTGGTTGCAGACTGTTTACAGATGGTCACGCATGCTCGTATGCTTTACCGTAATGTATGCAAACAGACAATCATCCGAAATTATTGGGAGATCGGCAGGTGACGAGGCACCGAAAACTTAGACGCCCAAAAGTACCATCTTTGCCGAAGTCCTAGACCCGTGCAGGCTGCTTTTGTGATGTCCAACATAGATTCTGCTTGGATATGTTATCAGAGTTCCCACAGATTCCTATACTCCGCGACAAATTTTCTTGGCAATGCAGTGGAAGGTACGTCCCGCGTTCCCTCTCCCATTCTGAGTGTACGCAGGCTTTCCTCCTCTCCCTGGAAAAAAGGGAGGAGGAGAGCCTGCGTACACTCAAAAAGGGAGAGGGGACGCGGGACGTACCTTCCACTGCATTGCCAAGAAAAGTTGTCGCGGAGTATAGAAAAAAAATCTGAGGGTTTCCTAAGACACGCTAAAACTTTTAAAACAATATGCAATTTTTTTTTATTTTTTTTTTTAATTTTTAGAAGCTGCAGCAGTTCAGCTATTTTATTGGAAAACCATAACACAGAGACCTGTTCTCCTAAAGTGGTGTTTCCGCACAAATGTAAGAGCTGTACCTGCCTGCCACTTCTTCTAAATGCTTCGCACTGTTTGCATTTTCTCTTCACAGGTTTCTAATGGCCGTTTCACTTCAGAACATAAGTAACTTTGTTCACTGGTGCCTCTGCCTTCTGAGCACGATGCATCTACTGAAGTGGTCGAAGTATTGATAGGAACTTTTGAGTCTTGTTCTCTGTTGTTTTCCATGCCAGTAATTTTCTCACCAATGAGGTGCATTTTCAACTTATATTCTAGGATTTCCAAAGTCTCCAAGATAATAACATTCTAGCATGACAGAGACGCGTTTCGGGCATTGCAGTTCTACCGCAGGGGCGTCCGGTGGAAACTCACCCGAGGTCTCGGGACAGAAGCCCTGCAGGAGCTGGAAGGTGGAGCCGCAGGCCTTGGCCACGGCGGCCATCTTGGAGAGGACCGGCAGGTTGTGGATGACGAAGGACACCTCGTTCTTCTGGACCCTGGCGAGCAGCTGCGCGTGCCCCAGGAGGCCCCCGCCACGCACGTCCGTGGCCCCGTGGGCGTTGTACTTGTGCATCAGGACTGCCGCTGCGTCCCAAAGACTGGTGTCAAAATTCCCCTTTCGGAACTTTGCGTGCCCGAGGGGCGAGAAACGGGCGCACGGCTTCGAATCGCAACGCTTCAGTCTGGCCATTGTAATCACCATCATCTGCCATACTAAGGCAGTCTTCTGGTGGTCAATGATGAACGAGTTAACCATTTCATTTACTTGAAATACTAGAGGCCTACAAACCCCGATATGGTGCCAAACGCGCAGAGTAACAAAAATCTGGTCTCGGGAAAAAATTACCTTTTCTGTAAGCATGTTTTCGAAATATTGCTCGTGATCTACATTGGGCAACATTGAGCAACCCGCAAGTTGGCATCTAAATACATTCAACGAGATGGGGCCGATCAGAGCATATTAGTAGAAAAGGGAGTAAAGGAAGCTGAGAAGAAATTGTGGGAAGAAAGAATGCAGGGGAAATCAGCTTTAACAATATGCACAAAAAAAAAAAGAAATAAAGAAGGAGCAGTCGTATGATAATTCAGTGGGGAGCTCATTGCTGTTTGAAGCTAGAACGGGGGTGCTAAGAACAAAAACATATAGGGCTAAATTCCAAGAAATAGACACTCTATGTGACATATACAAATGCGAAAGGGAAACTATAGAACATGTAATTTTAAGGTGCACGGGGCTCCGTCCCACCCTCTCGGGGGGGAATGAATACGGATTTGGAGGGGGCACTGGGATTCGCAGACAAGGATGGACGAATGGATAGGGAAAGAACTGCAATAACGAGGAGGAGGTTGGAAGATTGGTGGAAAAGATCTAGGGAGGAGTGAAAATACAGGTAAAAATAAGCAATGGAAAAACTTTAAAAGGGGGGGGGGGGGGGGGGGCGTGTTTAAACAAAATTTATAGAAATTAAAAAAAAAAAAGGATGACGAAATGTTAGGTTAGGTGGTGCAAGCTGCCGCCCGTTCCAAAGGGTATAGCCATTACCCTCCATCCACTCGGGTATAACCAAATCTGTAATATTTGCGCCGTTCTTTCTTCTCTGAGTTTTTGAGGCCAGTGGTGCAAGCCATCATACGTCAGATCCACTGTCAGCTTTGGTTTTGAAGGACGAGCGACGTGTTTTGAAGATGTATTTCAATCCTTTACTGCTAGCGCAGGTATCCTTGCCCATGCAACAGAGGGCGCTAAATTTACTTGAGGCGCACCTGGCACGGGAGAAAATAAATCATTCTTGAGTTGTTTCTCCTGGGCAATGCTGGGCATCAAAGAGTTAAAGATGAGCCCAGAAAACAGATGATTCAAGAAGTTGTGTGATCGTTCAATTCATACTAGAGTCCAACCAATCTGTTGGCATGAACACTACACAACAGTTAATCACTTCAAGATGAACTGTAATACTCATACTCTTTTAAGTGCTGTCATAGGCACGATTGCAGCAGGTTTGTTAGCACTAATGCACTGCGGAGAAACGACACCCACGAAGCAGACACTGCAATTCTGCATATTTTTCTCCACTGCAATGCAACTGCATGCTTCAAGAAAAAACACACCTTCAGAAAAGAATGGTGCACTTGAGCGCATGGCCTATTTACCGTAGAATATTGTGCATCCGTCCATTCCACACTAAGTACCCATTCCCAAATTTGTGAAATCTGAGAAAATATGCACAGTACATCGACATGGAAAATTGATGACCGGACAGGCGCCTATCACCCCTTTTTTCGCGGTTGTCTCTAAATTGTGGGTGGGTGCTTGCCCAGTATTTTATGGTATATAGAAAAAAAAAAAGACCGCAACTTGCTGGATGTTGAAATCTTCCTTATAGTAAAATTTTAAAGATTAACCTACGGCTGTTACGCAAGAATATGTTAGCTAGTAAGATTGTGCAAATATTCAAATAGTGCCAGACCATGTTGTATGTGTCTCTTCTTCGTCCGTGTTTTTTGTGCTTTTCATTCCTCTACTTCAAATAGTGATCTCGAATAATATGATATTTGATATTCACTTCGAGATGAAGCGCAATATTTATATTTTTCGGCATGCTGATCGTGGCGGGTTAGTCCTGCTGAGCGGGCTTCTTGCCGAGCATCAATGCACTGTAAAAGTACTTGTTGTTGGACTAGTTGGCGATGACTGTTTTGAACCACGGTTAAAAGCGCTAAAAAGACGAACACAAGAGAGAAGACAAACACAAACCCGTGTTTGCCTTCTTTCTTGTGTTCGTCTTTTTAGCACTTTTAAGCATGGTTCAAAACATCAATGCACCGCGGAGAAGCAACACCCGCTAGGCTCGCTTCTGCGGGTGCTGCTTTTCCACAATACACCGGTGCTCGGAAAGAAGCGCACTCAATGGGGCTAACCTGCCACGATCAACACTTGGAAAAGTACAAATATCACAGTCGCATGCTTAGGAGGAAAGTCCACTGGTGGAATTCGCACGCATGTGCCTGGTGTATTAAAAAAAAAGACAATAAAGGTAATGTCTATATTTATATTGCAGTAAAATATTTGTTATTGCCTTTTCTTTTCGAATTCGAGATTCAAGAAAGGATATTTGCATATAGCAAGATTTTTAAATCCCCTTGATTAGTAAAACTGGGCATCTCTGGACTCTCTGAGGGCACAGTCCATAAGTATAGTTACATTAAAATGAACTTAGCTTAGAAATGGACAAGTGGAAGCATGGAAAGAACCTTCAGAAGTTTAGCTGGGTTTTTAGAAGAATGATGCAGTAGTGGAAAGCTTGAAGAAACTGTTCGATATTCGATTCGAAAATATTTAGCCAAAACTATGATTCGCTTCGAATTTTCTTTGAACTCAAAATCTACTATGCACACGTGCCTATTAGGTAGTAATATCTTTACAAGCTACCTAATGCCTTGATTGTGCTTGCTTATTCAAGTTTGAGACCAAAGAATGAAAATGTGAGTATAGCAAGAGGGTTTACAAATCCCCTCTATTATGTATAGCTGGGCATCACTCTATCAATCTCTCCTCTACTTGCCAGTATTCGAGGCCATAATCAATAACTTAAAATTAACTGAGCTCAGCAGTAATCAAATGTTTGGGAGTCGTAACAAGTTCAGCTGGAATTTTGTCTGAGCTTAGTGCAACGTTTGCGAAAGACTTTAAGAAATGCAACTATTAAATTTAAAAAAAAATCAACCAAAATAACTGTCTCCTTCTAACTTTGAACCCACTATTTGTACATGCCTAGGATTCAGGCCTTATCAAGTGCTTCTTAATTTTTCCCCTTTCCTTAAAGGGGCGGTGCAACGATTTTCGGACTTCGGTCAAAGATTTCTGGAAGTTGCTTCCAGACACTTCTGAAGTAAAGAACAGAAAACCGATTTCGCCTGCGTGTCCTAGTTGCTGCGTAAAAAAAAGATAAAGAGTGGCAATTCGGGCACCCCTCAACTCACTCCCAGTCTTCAGGGTCACACCTGGTCGCACTCCCAGTGACGTCATTCGGAGAGCCGTGTAGCTTCCCGTGTGCTATCTCGGAGGACGCTTCCCCTCCCTCTCTCTGCGTACATTAGCGGGCGCTATGCTGCAGCTTAGAGCCGAGCGAGGTCACGTAATCTTTCCGCCGTAGTTCCTTCGGCTGCCACTTGGGGCTGCAGGTGGGGGAAAAAACTCGACTTTTGCTTTGCGATTATGCAGCGGAATCGCGACATTTTTAATGAAGGAAGTATTTTCTCTATCCTCTGGGACACGATAAACAACGTAAAAATGACGAGATGCAAATTGTTTTAATCATAAAATCGTTGCACCACCCCTTTAACGAGCACGGCTCTCTCGTGCTCGGTTTGCCCGGATCCGCTGGCTTCGTTTTACACCTCCAGCCACATGTTTGTGCGCCGTTTGCATCGAGGTTTGCACCAGTGTTACAAGCAGCGGCTGATGCAGCGGAGCATCTCGTTTAGCTCGGAAATATTGCTCACCATCGTAGGCCAACATGCTTCGCTCATGATTATAGATGGACCCCTAATTTGGTTTGTGTGCTTCTTTTCCTCTTTCCCCGTGGCAGCGATTTTTAAGAAGAATGTGAAGCCGATGTCACATCGTCGTTCGTGACAGCCGTGTACTCTTCCACGGGTCTGGAATGCACTCGCAAACGTGACAATTTTTGCAAACGCTATGTCGATTTTTTGGACTCGGAGAGCAGCAGTGGGTCTGACGGTGAAGCCAGATTATCATATTTTAGTTCAGATGACCCGTGCTTCACCACATTGAGAAACCGCTTCGTTCAAGGGCAAGTCAGCCATGACTTGATTTTTAATACATGAAAATCTTTTTGAGCTGGAACTCCAGTTTTCGCAGACTTTTGCTGTAAAAATGGAGAACATTTCGTATACTCCAAACATTTTTTGGCACTTCTCTTTCGAGATACAGTGAAACCCATTTAGAATGAACCTACGTACAGCGAATTATTGTCGATATCGAACTCGCGGAAAATTTAAATAAAATTGCATGTAAAAAGTACTTTTTATAACGAACAACACATTGGCTATATCAAACTTTTCCCGCCGTGAAGGCTTCCAAAAGCGCGTAAACAATCGTCTTCTAGCCTGTCCTTCCCCCTCCAAAAATGTAGGAAAGCGAAAAAATCCCAAAAGCTCAAGCCGCGAACAAAACTGAGCGAAGAGAAGCGATTCAAAAGGGGAGAAAGCTAAAAAACACTCTGCACACACGCACAAAAAAAAGAAAAAAAAATCTTTTCATCCCTAAGCGGTTCCCGCAAAGAAAGAAAAGCTATTCAGAAGAGAAAATGAGCTAAAACAAATCTGCACTGATGCAAGGAAAAAAAAAAGAAAAAATTCCAGCGCATTGTACGGAAGCGAAGGGATGAGAAAGAAAGAGGAGCTCTCGCCCTCCAACGAACGCATCATGGAAGTTCTTTATAAATGGTTTTCGCTATATCGAACTACTTGCTATATCGAACTGATCGTAGCGTTTCCTGCTGTTCGTTATAAACGAGTTTGACTGTATAGCCCTATTTTTACCCAGTCTGGACCAACCTTTGGAAAACAGTTGTGACTGTTTTTATGTTTGCATCATTGAAAAGCCCATTTATTTAGCTTAACTTCAAGGTACGGCATCATATTGTAAACCTGATAGTTTCACCGGGAAAAAAGCTTAGCGAAAAGTCACACTAAAGAGGCATTTTCCCTGTATCTAAAGCAAGGCTCACCGGTGCGGTTGAGGCGGGCCATGGAGTCCCTGGCACGGTGGCAGGCCCTGCGCACGTCCTCTTCTCCCACGACCAGGCGCACCCGGTTCCAGCGCTCGGGCTGCTCCAGCCACTGCTGGGCGCTCACCGCCACCTGGCTTCCCAGCGGCTTCGTCAGCACCAGCACGTCCCCCACCACCGCACAGTCCGCCCTGGGCACCCCAAAGGACCGCGCTCTGCTCGCATACATGGTCTCCAAAAAGACAGCAAAAATAAACGACATGCCGCCAAGTGCTTATTCTCTGCCGCAATGTAGCACCAGCGGCCCCAAACTAAATGCGAAAGTTTCAGAACTGGCCATTGTCTCATTAAAAGGTTACGAGTGATTCTCTCAAAATTTCAATGGAAAAAATGGCGGCAAATAGAGTCCTTGAGTATGAGCTGAATTACGCTGGTTACCAAGAATGGGCCCCATTTTCCCCTAAAAATTTTGAAGAAATCACCCATAACTTTTTAATAAGATGACGGTTTGTCCTAAAATCTTGCCGTTTGGTTCGAACCGCTAGCGCTACATTTGGGCAAGGAATAAACATTCAGCGATGCTTAGTTAATTCTGCGGTGAAAAAACCTCTTAATACTTTAGGGGTGACATGCTATACAAAGAAAGAGACCCCACTCCCTACTTTTAACGCAATCTATCGAATGTGTGAGGTACCCTTTAGAGTTTTTTTAGTGTGCGTAATGCTTGCTTAACTTTCCTCTTTACACGCTTACTTTTGTAGAAAAGACTAAACAGAGCGCAAAACTATAACTTTATGACATTTCACGTTGCAAGCTTTCCCGTCGCACGTTTTACATTGAAAGTGTATGTTTTGTGCTGTAAGCTTTCCTACCCAGACATGAGCTTGCCAAACCCTGGGCAGTTCCGACGAGCCCCGGTGCAAGCTCAGGCCCGAGATTGTATTAAAGTTAATCCGAGATGAGCTAGGGGTGTCTATACCTAGTGCGGACTGTTTGGAAGTTTAGGAGTATGGCTCGCGAGTTTGTTTTTGTCCTACCGGAATCGCCCGGGGAAGTCCGCTTTAGCTCCAGTATGCTTCCAGCAAACGAAATGAATCTTGTGATCCAATCCAATCCAGTAAGTAAAAAAATAGGTTGTCGACGGAACATAGCAGAAGCATGCGTCCACGTAACGAGTTTCCACGAAACATGGCACTGTCAACGAAACGTGCGCCCACAGAAAGCTCTTCAGCAAGCGTGTTTCAATGAAACGATAGGGACCCGCACTCACGGCACGAACTCCAGAGCGTGGCAGCAACTCGTGGCGCATCCGCCGACGATGAGCCACGGGTTGAGGGCAGTCTGTCCCCCCGTGACCCTTGTGCCCGCCAGCACAGCCGCGTCCCTGAACCCCTTGACCAGGAGCGGCACGACAATGTCCCGCTCCTTGTCGCTCAGCTTGCTGCTCACCGCCAGCACCAGCAGAATGTTGTCGCAGTCTGTCACTCCATGGGCGTACAGGCCGCTCAGCACGCTGGCGCAGGCTATCTTGCCCTGCGCACCCACACCGCAAGGGCCTTGAAACCGGTAATTCCCAACTGATGTCGGCACATCCTGGTTATCCGGATGTTTTTCTTTCTATAGTCACCGAGTCACTTAAAGGGCAGCTCCGGCGGTTTTTTGAGCTACCCACACTAAACATGTTTTTGAAATACCAAGGCTTTACTCTTCCCGGCATGCTCTTGGTTATCTATAAGTTCAGAATAGCTACTGAGAAAACGGCAAACAAACGTAGTGCCAAAACCAACATTAAAATGTTCCCGCGCTCTCCAGCGGGGTGACGTTGCATGTTGCTTGACTCGCAAGTCGAGCAGGCGGTATGGAAAATGCGGTATTTCGTGCATTCTTTTTCGTTTTACTGTTGTGAACTTCTCCAGCACTGATTCCACACCATCAGACTTAGTGTAACCTGTCGGGAACAAGCCGTACTGCCCCATATTACACCATTTGACATCACATTTTCAGTGTGGCCCATTGAGCCTCTCAGCCTCTCCCAGACTAAAATTAGCATTTCAATAACTCTGGATGGAAAAAAAACAATTTTTTTTATTTGGAAGTTGGGTTTAGATTTGTCTATTTATCTGTCAAATCAATCTTGAAGTAAATCAGTGACTATCAAAACTGGCATAACTACAGCAAGATGTCAGTTAACTGCGTCATTCCAAGAAAGCACTGTACTTTATGTTTTTATGCATGCACAACTGTTTAGTAAATTAAAAACCCGCTTCATGGTTGCTTGCTGAACTAGACTGGAGATGATTACAAATATTGGTAAACAAGTTTTTGCTGCTTTCATCTATTAATAATGTTTGTATCTCTGCCAGTTCTGAAATTTCTGTGTGTTTTAGTAGCTTTACAAATTCATAATACTATATCACTCTGGAAGGTTGCACAATACAGTGCTGTCTCGAGCCAATATTATTTTTCGAGGGTAACTGGAGACACCTCAAATGTAGCATAGTAAGAAATATTTGGCTCCATTCCACCATTAAAGTTCCCAATTGTAGAGGGCATGCAAGAAAGGTCCAAGCCATGTCTTTAGAGCGCAGCTCTTAGGCGTCCGTTTCCGGCTTGAGCGGCGTCGGCATAATCGTGCGGTGCATTATGGGACATTTCCCATAATGACATCATAGATGACGTCACGAGGGTCACCAGCGACGTCATGGATGATGTCACATGTGACGTCCCGAGGATCACCAGTAATCATAGATGACGTCACGCGTGACATCACGTGTGACGTCACAAGGGTCCCCAGTGACGTCATAGACGACGTCACAAGGGCCACCAGTGACATCATAGATGACGTCACGAGGGTCACCAGTGGTCATAGATGACGTCACAAGGGTCACCACGCATTGCACCATGGGCCAATTTTTTCTGCTAAATTTCGCAAGAAAATTTCCCCGCTAAGTTTAACAGAAATTTTTCCCAGCTACATTTAGTGAAAAATTTTCCCCTCTAAATTTAGCAAAAAAAATTCCCCATTAAATTAAGCAAAAAAATTTCCCCCGCTCAATTTAGCGGAAAAAGTTCCCCGCTAAATTTATATCAGAAAAATTTCCCCCCCCAAACTTAGAGGGAAATTTTCTCCTAAATGGGAGGCAAGCAGGAGAGGAGGAGTGGAGGGTATAAATGAGAAGGAGGGGCATACCCTCTCTGTACCTTCCGCTCCTCTTCCTCAAGAGCTGCGCTCTAATTCGGCACTACAGGGGATTGTAAATGTCTTTCCTTTTCTCTTTTTTCCACCGCAGTAATAAATGATGCATCACCGAACGATCAGATGTGCCAAAGTATCATGTACCACTAAAAGATATAGAAGCTATGTTTTGACATTGTCACTGCTAGGCGCACTATGACCTATGTTGCTGCTGCGCCAGAAAACTCTAAATTCATTCATGTCACTGCTAAAGTGGTCCCCATTCCCTCTAGTAAATTCTAATAATCTCCCAGGTGTTTGTGGACTCTATTGGTCACCATGGGTCCATTTTAATTATTTTAAAAATCGGTTTTATTTTTTTACTTAAAGGAATAGAATGTGCCAAATTATTATTTTTATCATTAAAAAAACTGATAGTGCTACATTCAAGTGAAGACTGAACATTTGGTGATGCATAGTTTACTTTTATAATGAGAAAAATAATTCTCATTCAGCACTTAAGATATGGTCATTGGTGCCACCTCCAAGAAATCGAAATTAATTCAACCCGAAACAGGGACTTCATATGGAAAGCAACGAACATCCTGTTACAGCTATGAAAGTTGTGCAAATATATTCAACGTGACTTTCGTGCTATTACCACTATTACTGTCACACCGTTGTCACGAGCACAATTGCTCCAATAAATATACGATTCGTCCCCACGCTCTCCGACAATCATATACCCCCTAGGTCGAGTTCAGCAAAATACGTGCAGCGTCAGAAACTCCACAAACAACGACTGTCGGGCAAAAAAAAAAAAAAAAAAAAAAAAAAACTAAACAAAGTAACGCAGAGCACAAAAAAGAGCAAGTGGTAGTCACGCTCACCATAACGTAGGGGTCTTCAACAAGTGGATACAGGTAGTCTACCGTCTGTACCAGCGACAACCCATTGTGCCTGAGCGGAGTGACGCTGCAATCTAATCCAAGCCCTGCGTGCGATTAAAAGAAAATAAAAATCCGCAATTTTGTAACAGTTTTTAAAGTCTCCACCGCGGTCCCTTCTAGGTAGGGACGCCGCGGAGTCCACGTGCGATACTCACCCGATCGTGCCAGCCCCAACTGCAAATACTGACATTGACCGGTGGAATGTCCCCCGTTGCCTTCGTTCAAGAGTCCCTCCAGGAGTTTAGTTTGCGCTTCCTGGGGGACTTTACACCCTCATCCTTTGAGGTCGGCGAAGCGCGTCAGTCGGAAAGTGGGGTCCAGTTGGTGAGCGGCTGGATCGAACGGTCCCTGCACGCTCGTCTCCAGCTGCACAGTCGCGTCGAGAACAGCCTGCTGAGTGTTGTTGTTGTTGTTTTCCATACTGACGGGAACGGACGAAAGTGGGGTCAGCAGGAAACTCGGTGGGGGCACTGAGTACGGGCGCTCGACGCCGGTGTCCGGAAAACCAGAGCCCTTCGGCCTCTCTCGGAGATCAAGATGGCGACCGCGCGTTCTCGCTGGGATGGCGTGCTTCGCGAGCTGTCTTCCATTGGTCGGCGTGTGTTCACGTGACCACACGGGGCTCCAGGTGCGCCGCCGGGGGTTGTCGGAACCGGGGTGCTCGCGCGCCACGCGGGTGCGCGCTTTCTCCTAAAAACGACGCTTCCCGTTTGAACTCGTTGGCGCGCGCGCCAAACGATGAAACCTAGCCAGAGGCTTGCTCAAAAGAAAATTGAGCAAGATCTCATTTGAGAGAACATTAAGACAAAAAGCACCGTCACAGGCGCTAGCCCTGTTAGTGCGTTGAATGACATATCTCCAATCCTATCGTGTCTGAATTCTTCTAGAGAAAATCAAGCCCACAGCCGTTATAAATGTTGCATGAAAAACCATATGGCCACAGTCAAGCTTGGCACACCTTTAAGCGATCCTGTAAACTTTCCTTTGATGCAGAAGCGATTTCAGGTCTCGCATAAATTACTCTTGATTTCCTATGTGGAATTGTTGGTTAGTTTAGATTTAACTCCTTGATAACGCGAAGAAAAAGGATCACGGTTGGGCGCCGCACGTGCTCCCGAAGTAGGTTTGCCGAGAGAAGCGTGCTTGCGCAATTCGTGTGAAGCACGTTCTGCTTCCTGCAGGACTTCTGCCGCGGCTGTCGCTTCGCCGCAGTACACCGGACCATGGGGGAAGCGCACTTAACGGTTGTAAAGAAAAGCCCAAACAGCGAGCGGGGTTGCTGTGCTCGGTACGATGGTCGAATCAAAAGCTCCCATTTTTTCACTCTTGCTTACCATAACGATCTGAGCTGAGCATACGGCAGCGCGTGTCATTACAAAGTGTTCCCAAACGCCCTACAAGCGTAAAAAAGAAGAAAAAAAAATCGCATAAAGAAGTTATTGAACGGAGTGCATTTGAACTTTACACAAAGGTGTATATAGGTGGTGCATTTATCATACTGCGATTTTATAAACGCAAATAATAAATTTTTTTTTTTTTTTTTTTTTTTTGATGGGAGGAATGCAGCATAACTTTTGTTTACGTTGCTACTCACAAGGGGGATCGGCGGCCTGGTGGGCTAGCGCACACCAGCTGGAGCACGTGGAGCGAAAGCTCGCGCTGCGGAACCCAGGAATCTTGGGCTCAATCCCCACCCCTGCCCGTTTCGATCTGGATGAGCATCGTACCGGCGTGCGGAAATTTATCACTACGGCGTTAAAGAGACACTGACACCCCCCATTTTTTTTTTTTTTTTTTTTTTGTCAGGCGATTTATTAGGGTGTCAGAAAACTACCCTATAAATATTTCGCTACAGCGTCACGTATATTTTTATTGAAGTAAAAAAAAAAAAACGGAACTTCTTGAAACCGAAACCGAAACTGGACTGCTGCGGAAGTCACTTATTTGTGATACTTTTATTTTCCCAATTAACGTATTGCAGCTTTCTAAAAAATATATATATATATATATATATAGGCGTTATATATAATTTTTTTTCTTTCTAATATTGTGCGTGTACCTTCGATGGCCCACGTGACCACGGTGAAGAGTGAGCGCGACTCGAACCGGCCTCGGTTCGAGTCGCGCGGTTTTCGGTCGGCGGTTTTCGGGCGGAACGAAAACGAATTTCGAGCCGCGAATTGTTTGCTGGGTAGTTGGGCTCTCATGTCATGTACAAATAAAAACCTTGGCGAGCATAAATACCCTGTCAGTGTCCCTTTAAAGACCCCAGGTTAGCGGTTGTACCGCACTAGCTAAATTGCTTATCAAGAGCTGAGACAGCAGACGCTTACTTCCGGCTGAATAAACATACACACAATAATTTGCTTTTGCTCAGATGGTGCCACACATGCCCAAATCTGCTTTGGGATATCCATCTAAAAAAAAAAAAAAGCTTTGTTTTTGCTTTGTTGTGTCATGTGCCTCTTTCCTGTACAGACACCCTTGTGAAACGTTTCAATATGCATTTATTGATTTACTTATGCGAATTATTTTACACCCAAATAATGTTCAACCACATCCTGTAGTTTCGGTTGTGAAATGAACTTTTAATCCAAGCTGCAAGACTAGCGGGGCACTAAAGAGGACTCTGCAATCGTCTGATCTTCTTCGTGGGCCCCAAACATCCTAAAAATATTTTTAAAAAAAATTACAATCACGCGACGCCGATTTCTTTATTAAAATTGTGATGAAAGGTCAGGAACCACCGTTTTGTGGATTTTTAGGATACTTAGGGCACGTAGAATCAGTTACAACCAAGAACAAACGATCACAGAATCGTCTTTAGGGCCCCTTTACGCTGGGAAAAGTTCACTTCGGTGTACGGACCTTTTAGGAACTCTTGGGCACACAAGGAGCCTCTGAAAGTACTCTAGGAAACCTGCCCCTGAGAACTGTGAGAACCTGCATGCCCTTTCTCTTTGGCGCGCTTGGTTGGGTGGCATCAAGATAGCCACCAGTCAGTAACCCCTGCAATTGTCTACATTTGGAAGTCCTTTGGGAAACCCCTGGGTTCCCAATACCTTAACATGAAAATCAATTGTGTACAGAGTGCACCCTCCCTTTTTGGCAGGTTCAGCTTGGCTGGCATCAAGACGGCCTCTATGGACTAATCAGCAAGCTCTTCTGCTGTCAGAGGCACATTGAGGATTTATGGGTTCCCAAGAAACCAGTTTGAGAACCCGTCTGGTAAACCCCCTCCTCGACAGGTTCAGAACCCAGGGTGCAGTATACCCAACACCTCGGCAGGTTCAGCTTGCTTGGCCTCCAAAGGGCCACTAGCAAACAGTCAGCAATCTCTATGCAAAGTGCAAGTCGTCTCCTTCTTGCACAGGAGTTGCTGTGACATCAGAATGACGCTGAGCTCCGATTCTTTGATTGGAAGGCTAGTGGGTTGACCCTAATGCTAGATGCCTTGAGGTCTACCCACTATTTTGTTCAATCAGCTAATAAGAGCTCGGCAGTCTGGCATCATCGCAACATCTGTGCAAGTAGCAGACAAACTTGTGCTCCGCATTGTTGTCCCCAGCAGATGGTAGGGAATGCCTTCTGAACCCGAGAAATGCATGGCCAGAGCTGCGTTGTGAATGTGATGCCGGGTAGGCTTTATTCTGTGTGATGCGCTGCTCAGCGGTCCTTGCGGCCTCTGCGCTTCATGGCCGAGGTGCACTGGGGACAGAACCACTTGCCCTTCGGAGGCTGGGAGATGCCCACACACGGGTAGTGGAACCACTCAAACGGGCACTGCAAACAGAAACACGAGAAACCCTGAATCACACTGAAGGAATGCAATAAAACAGTTTCCAACTTCACATTTCAAACGTTCCGAGTTGCAGGGCGTTCCCGAGAAAAGAGAACTGTGTTTTTCATCCTGGGCAAATAAACTATGTAATTGCAGAAAGCTCGAACACCGTGAGAATGGGGCGCTAGCAGTAGGGATTGGATGTGAATGTTTGAGGATTGGACATTACCTGGATCAAAACGACGAAATTTCTCATGAGCTGACGTCCGCCTAAGCCTAATATCGTCAAAACAACAAATGACTGTGTGGGTGCCTGTAACATTTATATCAACGGAAACATTTTTTTTTTTCGTTGACAAGAAAAAAAAATATACTCTCTTTCTTGCTGACGAATGTTTTTCACCGATAGGAATACCACATACACCCACAACGTCAGTTCTTGTTTTGATGGTATTAGACTTCTGTGGATGTCAGTCGGCTCCAAAAGAAATTTCGACTTTCTCAATTATCATCCGATAAAGGTGACGTCATGTACTCAAACTTTTGCGTTCTATTCCAGGGGTCCTGGATTCAATCTCCAACCATGCCCGTTTCGATCTGGACGAGCATCGTACCAGCGTGCGGTCATGTATCACTCCCGCATGATGCACGTTAAAGACCCCAGGCTAGTGGCGGTACCGGGTAAATTTCTCATCTACAGCATAAACCAGTGTCGCCGCACCTTAAAGGGACCTTCCACCGCATAAAAGAGTGAACATCAAATCTGGTTTTTGCAGCATGTTTTCCCCCGTATACGAGAGTGCGTTGTGGAAGCCTCACGTCGTCGTTGTCGCAGGCCACCATGTCCCCGTAGGAGACCTGGTTGCAGATGCAGTAGCGGGGCTCGTTGGGGTCGCAGCCCCAGTCCAGGTTGTCGTCCAGCAGCAGCAGCGAGTCCCCAGAGTCCTCCCCGGCCACCAGAGGGGGCTGCCCGCCGCGCCCGTGCCTGCACCAGGTGAGAGGGACGACGACGGTCGGGCGTTTAACCCTTTGACGATCACACATCTGAAAGTGCCAGCCTGAACGCCAACCCGCGTGTGCCGTGGGAGGTGTTGCCGCTGTTACGTCTTTGGCAAACTACGAACGTTACATTTGCCAAAGACGTACCTGGACAGTCCTGAAAGGTGAAGGCGGAAATTTTCCAGGTGCTCGACACCTACCAGATGTATAGCACGGGGTGAACCAAATGTGGAACTACTACTGCACCTGTGGACTGGGTTCCCACAAGCCCTCGGTTCTCTCGCACTCTACAAACCTGGGGGTGTCCCGAATAAAGCACCCGTGAGGGCTTTCACCGCGATCACAATTCACAATTTGCTCCAGGGGACCAGTTACGGTGAAGAGCAAGAGCGTTGTTGGCTACTGATTGGACGTGGTGCCACAGCTCGCGCCACTGTTACTAGATCAACTCAGTTATGGAACTTTTCATAGACGCTGCACATTGGAGGGGGTCCGAAACCGTGTCCGATTTTTTTGCAGCTAGGTGGCGCTGCCGGCGCATTATTCCTAGGGTGCCTAGATGTCTGTCTGTCTCAGGGTGAAGACATCCATTGTTGTCCGGAATGTGCCAGCGCGTGACGCTCTCGCGCACTCGGTGCGTGACTTGGGCGGTAAGATGGCGTCTATGCATCAGCCAAAGCTACGCGCTCGAGCTGAGTGACACCGGATTGCGTGCACTTCAAAATGCATAAAAAAAAACGATTGGGCGGAAAAATGGCTGAGATGTCACCACTCAAGCAAAAGCGCGCGTGTGTATGAAGGCACTCTAATTATTCCACGCGTTTTCGTCTGCTATTGCTCTGCGGCTGCTTGCGAGTCCCGACTTCTCTCAAGGTTCAGCATGGTTTTTAGTTAATTTTTGCCCTTTCGCCATTAAAAATTACAATTTGAGCATGGAAAGCGCCATGATTGTTTTGGCATACGCTTTGCATTATTGTAAAATGCTGCTGCCTTAGCCGTGCTGACAGCGCGAAGCGTTTCGAACAACCCTAATTCGTTGGCGCCACAATCCGGTGGCTACAATCAGGGCAAATTTGTACATACTGTAATAGTAGATGTGCCGATGACTACCAACTGTAGCAGAAACAATTTGAAAGTCGTCTGCTACTGTCAGAAAAAGCGCCACAAACATCCGTAAGCTCAGTAGGCCAGATGCAACGGCCACAAGCGCACCGGCAATGATGATGATAGCGAGTATTAATGCGGAGCGCGCACCCTCTAACAGGCGCCACGCAAAGGGACCCCCCTCTGGAGCGGAGTTCCATAACCGAGTTGGTTCTAATAACGTTGGCTCGCGCGTAATCGACCAACGAGACATTTTCGGCCTAATTTGCCAGTTCACAATCGGGCAAAAATTTGGTGAGAACATCTCACCAACATACAAATAGAGCAAGAGGTCTCGCTAACTTAAACATGTTCGTACTTAGCATTCTTCCATCCGCCAATCGACATTGGCTCGTGCGCGGCAGCGGAACAACTTACGGTTTGCCAACGAAGTGCGGGTTGTTAACGGCTTCCAACGCAAAATGCCAGACGCTTATAGTTCCAGCCTGCATCCAATCTCGCCTCACCGTGGCGCGTGGTTCGTACCGCACGATGCACGTTTGTTACGGTCGTTTAGCGGACGACATACGGCATTTTATCGTTTTATATCTGTCCACGAACGACGCGTCATAGCGGACGAACCACGCTCTAAAAATTGCTGGCGGACAAAGCATTCGCAAACGCCCATCTTTGCTCGCTCCGCAAAAGGCAAATCGCTCTCGCGTTGCTCATAATCGGACCCCAGGATTTTCAGCCCGGCCCCGGAGCTAGCGGGCCAGACCTTTCGAGCAACTGCGACGCAAAAGGGAAGAGAGCGGCGCCCTCACTTCTTGGACGACGACCGGCGCGGCTCGGCGGCCGGCGCCACGGGCACGGGCGTCGGGTTGGGGGACGGCTGCGGGGTCGGGGGGGCCGGAGGCGGTGTGAGCGAGGTCAGCGACCCGATGTCCTTGGAGCCCATGGTGAACTCGCGCGACGTCAGGCTCTGGAGGGACGCGTTGATTGCTTCGTAGCTCGCCTTCAGGCTGGCCGTGCGTCGCCCCTGCTGCATCTGCGGTCACGGAACAAACCACGAGGGGGCGCCAGAAATGAGTCGAGGCAGCCTTGTCGCCGACTCCGTTTCACTTTAATTCCGACCTCAGCCGACGCTACCCTCCGACGGAGCCAATCAAGCAGTGCCAAAAGCGCGTAGCCACGGTGCTCGTTGCCTTTGTGCGTTTGCGCAAGATCGCTGCACATTCGCTGTACGTGACTGGCTGAGTCGGCAACGCGCAAAGACGACGAGTGCCGTGGCAATGCGCTTTCGATGCCGCCCGATTGCCTCGATGAGACTGTAGTGTCGGCTGAGGTCGGACCTGTATTGCAGACTCGAAGTAAATTAAAAAAAGTAAGAGGGTGACGAATGCCTATGCGAGGTATCATTTGTTTCATACTCTTGCTTCGAAAAGGCTACTGCTGCAGATGCCCGCACGTGTAGAGCAAGGAACTAAACTCGCAGCACGCTCTTAGGTGTTTAGGTGGTTTTGGAAGAGGTCTGCCTATCGGCAACTCGCAGAACTATTCGCTGTTGTCAGCCTTCCACAGCTGGCCCTCAGTATGAGGTCTTTAGTAGGATTAAATCTGCTTTCATCGACAAAAACAGAACTAATGACAGGCTGCCAACTTTGTTGGTTTAACAATATGATGTGATGACTCCAAGGTCAAACAGTTCATTTGACACGCATCATTGCGCATGGCGTTGCCAATTAATAATCCTGATTGTAACTTCAAGAAGAGAAACCATAAGAGGGTGTCAAAATCTCGTGCCTAAGTCAGTGGAATTCACATAACAAATGTAGAGGGGAGGGTCCGCAAGTTTCTAACGTATTTCGGTTGCTTCGGAACGCGGGACAGAGGAGCAGACGCTGGTGGTGCCACCTCGGTAGCTTTGAGGCAAAGCGCCGGCCTACGGATCCCCAGGTGGCGGGTTTGAATCCCGGCCGAGATGCCCGCAATCTGAAGGACGCTTACTGCAGAAATGGCGCCGTGTAACCGAGCTTTCGGTTGCACGTCAAAAGATCCCCGGGTGGTTGCAATAGTGTGACCTCCAGTGTACCACATTTGTTGGTTTACTTTGTTTAGTTATGTTTTTTTCTTTCTTTTTGTCCCACCCTGCTTGGGTCTGAAATGGCCTGCAGTATGAATAAATAAATAAATAATCCTCAGTCCTCTACTGGGGCATGCCAGATGCGTGTCATTGGTTCGGCACGCAAAACCCCCAAATTTGACTTTAGACACTAGTGGTTCCAGATTGCCAATAAGCCGTTGACGAACACAAAGACGCAGCAAAACGTCAATTGCCATCTCGGCAGCTAATCCTTTTCGGGTTCGTTTAGCAAATTAACAAGATAACAGTCCCGCTATGCACGTTACAAAAGAAAAACTTTATCGAGTCGATAATTTGAATCTGTCAGGGGGAAAATTAATGTGTCCGTCGTATCATCTGCCTTTTTTTTCAGGTCTACCGTCCCTCTCCGTCTTGCTCATTCTCTCGGGAACACCGATGTAGGTGCTCGCGATTTGCCACCGCGCTCCACTCGTCTTTAGCCCCCTGGGTATAAGAGGGCAGGCCCTCGAGGCTCATTCAAACTCTCACGTTTGCCTACCACAGAATTCTAGCAACCTCCTACGAGGAGAGAACGCACTGGCACACTGACGCCATCTACGAGGTGACCCTCAATCTGCACATTATTACAGCGAAGGTTTTGTGGTATTTGCGAGATCAACTGTATGTACATCTATGAGAAATGTTTTTTTATTAACACTGTCAAAAGTGTTTTCACCGAAAAATAATTCACACAGAAAGAATAAAACACTGAAATGGACGAAGGGCAGACATTCACAGTCCTTTCAAAGTAAAATGTTGAAAGAAGTGTGAATGTCTGTCCTTCGTATACTGTCGAGACCATTTATAACGAAGTCAACGCGAATTGGAAATCAATTCGCTATATCCGCTATTTCGTTATAACCGGCTTTGGTTATAACGAAGTGCAAAAGGGAGTGAGGAATCAGGATCGCTTCGCTGTAGCCGCTATTTCGTTATAACCGACTTCGTTATAACCGGTCTCGACAGTATTTCAGTGTTTTATTCTTTCTGAGTTACTATAGTTTATCCAACATGCTCTGCTACGTGTCCAAAAAATAATGATGCGCGAAAAAATAGAAATTATAGGAATGTGACAGTGTTCCCGACAGATGGCCCCAGTGTGTTCTCTCGTCGCTAGAAGTTTTGAGAGGTGGAGCGACCCCAGCCCCACCTGTTGAGTGGCGGCAATGGCTTGCGAGGCGGCGGCTGCGATGGCGTTGCTGCCCAGGCCGTAGCTGAGCGCCGCAGGTGGCAGCAGCAGACGGTCGGGTGGCGCGAGGGGTGGCGCCCCCGCCACGGCCGTGGACGCCGCCGCCACCGCCACCGCGCCGGCCGCGGCCACCGGCCGCCCGGGCGGCTCCGCGGGTGCCACGACAACACGCTCCGTGGCGGGCCGCTTCTCCGCCTGCTGACCCGTCGACACGCCGCCCGGCGTAGAGGACGTTGTTGCCGCGTGCTTCCGCTCTGCAGAAGAGTCGACACGGAAGTCGCAGAATCGCCCAATAACTCTCGCTGGGTAATAACAAAGCCACTGTATAAGGAGTATTCACTGGCGGCCATTGCTGTGTGCACGAATGCCAAGCGCGCGCTGATGTTGAGCTTCTACAGTTCTTTTGTAACGTGCATCCCACACTATCCAGATTGCCGGTCTTATCAGCCTATTGATGTTAGCTCGTTCGGAGCATGCGCTACAAACGGCGCCTTAAAGTATGGCGTCCAGTGAATATTCCCTATAGCGAAGCTTCACCTCCCAGAACAGCGCTACGCCTTTCCCCGTGCCGCCTCTTGCGCCATTGGTCTAATGCGGTGCCACAGCAACCAGCTGAGCTGGCTCAATCTCTATGGCAACCGATAGAGCCGAACGAGGTCGACAGTTGCCGACGTGTCGTTCGGATGTTTCAGAGTACCGCCTGCACACCTGTTGTCTCCTTTTTTCGCTTCTTAAGTGGAGCAACAATCATATTGTCCGTGTATCTGCCTCTGCGTCTCACTATTTCCGCGTACCTCGAACATACTCTGAATGGGGCGCAGAAAACTTCAGGTATCCCCGTGCCGGTAATGCCAACCACGATTTTATGTGGCTTTTACCTTCTTTAACCTCGTTTCAAGGAATGGACGGAGAAATGAAAGTAGCCGCAGCTAGCAGCTCGGCTACTGCGACAACGTCCAGAGCCAAAAGAAAGATCACTATTGGCATTTCTCACGTTCTGCATCGAGGTCTTTTTGCGTCGTGTCGCTGCCATATACAGTGACTTAGGTAGTACCAAGCTCCGAGACTTCGCGACCAATAAGACCCAAAAGGCCGGTTCAGGCACGCACTGCTGCGCCAAGATGGTGCAAAGCCAGAGCTGCATCGGTGTCAGATACAACCTAAAAAAGACAGCGCGAGGGGGAAAAGGGCACACACGACAAAAGCCGTTGGGGAAAGCTTCCAAGCCGACGGCGAGGTAGTAGCTTTTATGCTCGCTGGACCAGTTGTAGGTCTATCTTTTGCCAAGCAATCATGCTCCATTTCGCACCCATGCTTTTGGTAGACACTGATAGAAATGAACCTCAATGTTCATAACCTACAAAACATGCAATAGCTTTTCTCTCCATGCAACAATTGCAAAATGAATTATATTTATTAAAAAAAAAAAAAAATAATTGGAGGTTCTTTCTTTTTTTTATTTTTTTTTGCATCTAGCACAAGTGATAATGTGATCTGGTGCTGATGCTCTTTCCTATGTTATTTGGCAAAAGTATAACATGGGGATAGCCAAAATCACTCTCCAGTGCTGTCTCAGCTTTCTGAAGTATGGGTCGATTAAAAAAAAAAAGAACTTTAAAAGACAGAATCACGTTCTATAAACAAAGCTCAGGCACGGAACAACCTGAACCACTGTGCATCCAATACGAAAGGTGGCACTCACTTTCGGCCTTTGCGCTCGATGGAGGTGGCTTGTCCAGTTCCAGTGATCCTGTAAAACAAAGCGTTCCTTACTTCTCCTAAAGCTTGTGCGAGAGCATGCGCATGTTGTCATAAGTAATAGCCTCACATTTTCTGTGTAAGGACCCTGGGATTCTTACATGACTTGCAAATGACACGCGACACTAGACAGCTCTCCAGGAGTTCCTTTTAGACATATTTGCTTAGGGTTTGTGTAGCCACCGTCTAAGTCGCGCCTCCACATAACTCATCAGTGTCACCAATACAGCAAGACGAGAAATACTGATCCTAGAATCACATTTTATAAACTGCGATCATTCAATAAGCAGGGTTTAGTGATCCCTATCTAATCCAAAATCCATTGCTCATAAAGCGGCTAGAGATAGAAGAATTTTTAAAAAGCAGAAAAAATAGGACATATGGCATCATTAGTCATAGGAGAGGGAGACAAAAATCGATTAGAAATACACCGACAAGACGAAATCTAACTGTCGCAGCATTTAATGGCAGTAAAAACTTCCACGAAATTCAACAATTCAAACTTTTACTTCAGCATACTAGTCAGTTGCAGAATTTTTGTATTATTTACTCACTATCAACAATTTCAAGGCATTTGGTGTCAACAGTTCGTTGTCAGATAGGAGTACAAGTTAATTGCCAATACAAGAAAAACTTTTCACCAAAAGCAGACTTGTGAGGGGGAAAGGTCAATAAACACAATAAACAACAGAGGAAGTGGTCTTGTTTGCCTGTTTTCCCCATTTCCAAAGTTTTTTTTTTTTTTTTGCTTGTTTTTTTTATAAATGTGGTTATAAACCAGCTGATGTTAAATCGGTGCATAGGTTAACATGGCTTCAAAATCCTATACATTAATGCAGCACATGAAAACCTGGTGATTCAGAACCAAAAAGAAAGTATCCTTATTTCCCATTTAAAAGTTGAATGTTTGCTATTTAAGTGTTCTCGCTCAGTCGCTGAAGCAACTTGCACACTCTCGTAGTCACTCATGGAAGCTGCAGAATGATGCTCTTCTTAACGAGCCATTACGAGTAGAAAACACTGCACAGGCATTTATTCTTACAAGAACCTCCTAGAGTTACCTTGAAATAGTGCTGGCTGTTCTTGCCTATCAAAGCTAGCCCTAGAGTTTTTATATTTTGGATTCAGCAATGAATTCAGCAAAGTCATAGGATCCAAAAAAAAACTCTGTAGGAGGAGATCGTGAAGGGGACACTGAATAGGCCTAATGCATGCCAGCCTGTGAGTACGGCAACCAAGAGACTAGAACTCCCCGACTGTCAAATTTAGGAGTTTTATGTGCCAAACCAGCAAAGGGCATCTGGCACGCCCGGCGGAGGACTGAGGATTAATGTCGAGTACCTGAGGTTCTTCTGACGTGCAACCGAAATATCAGTTACACGGCGCTTTCTCTGGAATAAGCCTCAGTCAAACTACTGGCACCTCAGCCTGGATTCAAAACTGCCATCAGGGGATCTGTAGGCCAGCACTTTGTCTCGGAGCCACTGAGGCGGCTTACTTGACTCTACATGAAAGGCAAATATTATTACTATTGTTACCATCCCAAGCCAGTCCTCGACAAAAGATTCATAGCAGCCACTGGCAGACACTGTTGTTGTTTGATTACATGCAGAAGGTATTTGACGAAACAAAGAGTTGCTTACGCCTCTCCAGGATCTCTGTGATGCCAGCGTTGTCTGCTTCAAGCTCCATCTTAAACTTTTGGAGCTCCTGGTCCAAACGCCTGAGGTAGCGATCCACCTGGACAAACAAGACATTGAATGGCCATGTTGTAAAGATAAATTCTACCGTCTAGCACACAGCCGAGCAAACCACAGGTTGTATGCAACTCCCTAGTCCTTTGATATAAAAAAGGCTCAAGGTACACCTAAGCACTTCTTATGAGTTGTGAATGCGAAAGCATGTACACCATTCTTCCGCTCCCTTATTTCGTCTGCAGTGTATTTGCGTCGACGGCAGAGCGACGCGCTCCGCCGGCAAGGAGAGAGTGCCTCTCCTCGCCACTCTGACCTCTAATGCTCCGTGTTAGTGGCACGCTGACAGACATGCAGCGCCATGGGGTGAGCGGTTGTTGAAACTGACACGCAGCGACCAATGGGAGCCTCGCCGACGCATGCCAGCCAATGGGATTGAAGCTGAAAATCCATCAGCTTTACTCCGCTTTTTTGGGAATGGAGAATTTAGGTGCCGTTGGCTAGCTTTTCGCGTGGTTTCATAGCTGGGAGCTGGCTTCACTTGATATGATGAGCCATTCCACTCTATGAAGGTGGATGACCAGCGAAGCTGTTTAGCACACGACAGAGACCTGACATAACGTGACGTCACGACTTCATATCAAGCGACGTAAATTTTTCCTCTAAATTTACTGGAAAACTGCATTGGTGAAGAGGTCACGTGACGTCATTTTCCCCGCTAAATTTGGCAACAAAATTTTCCTGGCAAATTTAGCGAAAAAATTTTACCGCTAAATTTAGCGGGGAAATTGACATCACATGACGTCACGAAGCCATGACATCATTTCTGCTGCCGCACACGAAAAATCCACGAGACCCTAGCCATAAACAGCTTTGCTGTAAACGAAAACAGTCAAGATGTACCGGAAGTCTTCGGCAATGAGGCTACAGCCCAGAAGGCGAATGACTTTTCCCGCCCTTCATCCGGTAGGTCTGTAAAGTGACTCACCAAGTCGTAGATCTGATTCGCTATCTGCACTTTCTCATCTGCATCCTCCAAGGCCTTGTAGTAATCCTAATGGGGCAAAACAAAAAGCGACATGAATTCATCTTTCGAGAAACAACTTTAACCAGCAATCAGCAACACCCGTCTTGGGCATACCTTTCGAATCTTATCAAAGTCCTGGTCTCGCTGCTCTGGTTTCATCTTCCGCGCGTTGGCGAAGAACTGTTTCACTCTTTCATCTAGGCTGTCCATGGCATCTACGACGAAAACGAAGATTAGGCCGCCAGTTTCCGCACAAACTACGAGAGCTTTCGCTTCCCTCTGATTAGATAGCACAATCTCTTACTTTGAACCTGAAGGTCCATCTCGCGCATTTCTGTGAACCTGTCCCGGAGCTCTTGAGGAAGGTGCTCGATCACTGCGGCAAGATGCAAGACCATCACCACAGTCGAACAATCGAACACCGGGTTTTCTTGTCTGTTATTTCTGCCGTAAATCGTAAGGTTAGGCCGCACGTAGAAGTCTATAACTATTAGAGAAATACTGACTGATTAAAATAAATAACAGCGTCGAGCACTTACTTTCGAGGTAATCTTCGAGGTACAGCATCCTGATCCTGCGGTCGCGACCGGTGGTGGTAGTGTTTCGCACCCAGTTGGCTATAAAGAGCACAAAGTCGAGTAGGTATCGCTGCAGAAACAACCTAGTGCAATCTCCTGCCATGTACGGCGTGCATTGTCGGCACTTTGTAGTCCTACGAAGATGGCAAAGATATTTCGGGGAGCTTTAGCGCACAAGCGTGCTGCGAAGAGCGTCCAATGCGGCCATTTTGCGGAGTTCGAGACCACGAAACGTTTTTGGGTGTGTCGGCCACCGTAAACTGCACGTACCGTCTAGTCAAGTCCGTCACTGCACCGCCGACGTATTTTCAGAGGCCGAATCGAGTGTTACTCGAGTTTGTGATTAAACAGAACACCACGACAGACAGAGAGCAAAACAAGCCGCGCTCCAAGAACTGCGTCGTATTGACCTGTCAAAATTCGACTGATTCGCGGAACGCAGAATTGGTTCATAAAATCGCCGCAACGCATGCAATGGCGCTAGTTACAAATTCAATCATTCAGTTTAATTTTTTTTTAAATTTTAATTTCACATGTTTTTAGCCCTTTTTTTTTTAAAAAAGCAATAAATTTGTACATGCGTACCTAAAGCAGCAATATTTAACTATTGTTGAAATATTTATTAAACCAACATAGAGTAATAACCTCGTCATTAAGAAAATTGTAATGGTGACTAGCGTCACTTAGAGAACGTGGTATTCAAATGCGAACTGGACAATAATAACGATAATAATCTCTGGAGAAGAAGGAAAAAGAAAGGACAAACACGAATCTCTAAACCCAGCTAGGTGACTGGTGCACGACTGAGAAATCTGCCTGGTTCTGGTATTAAACCAGGGAACCAGACGAGGACCTTCTCCATGGACCCTAATGGATCTCTCCATCATGATCTCCATCTCCATCGACACATCGACACCTATCGGCCACATTGTCATCGACAGTACAAATTCTCCTCAGCGCATCGGCGCTCCTCACGCCACCGGCAAGCTTGTTTGTTTCGAGATTCGTGCCGGCACGCGTTAATCCAATATTTCGACGTTTCGGAGCCTTCGCAGGCCCCGTCTGTTGGAGAGAATCTTCACAAAACATGCATACGCATCGGTCGGTGGCGTTGTGAAGTGGCACTTCGACACCTCGTGTCCCAAAAGTGCTTTCATCGATGACTGTAGAGGTTCAGGTTCAGGTGTCCCAGTACATCGACAACGTACTGGTAAGTAATAAAGTACCCAAGTGTAAAGTGACGCAAACAGCTGTGTAAGGGAAAACTGAGACAGTCCTCGCGACCAAGAAGGATTTCGACAGCAAAATGTAAAATAAATAACTCATGGGTCAAGAAGCGAAGCTACAGGTAGCTTAAAGGGCAAAGACATCTCCTTTCACTCTTGTCAATGCTGTGATTGAATGTTTTGGTCGCTGTAGCCTGCATCGCAGGAAATTAAAGCCACCTGCCGATAGTATGCAACTTTGAGAGATCACCACATTTACTGGACCCAAAAGATGGATGTTAAAGTAAAATATTTGCATCCATGGCAGGACAGTGGCGACATCTACTGCCAACGAATTATACCATTTTCGAATTTCAAATTGCCTCGATGTAGAATAAGGCCCCCTCGATAATGTCATGCACTTGTCACATTTGTACATCCAAATAGCAAAATTTGGGAAACGTAATCGACGTCTACACACTTGCACATGGCGTAAAACTCTAGCGTTCTTAGCGTAAAGTGATGCAGAGAGGTCAAGGACCCAGAGAAATGAATCCTTTGACACCTGTGTGAAAGACAGATTGTTCTGGATGGCACATCACTAGGGTCAGTGAAGGCACCCCCCATTTCATGACACGCTTCCGACAATTCCTTTGCAGAAAAATGACACCCTGGAGGAAGTCTTCAACTGCTTCATCATACACTCTCCAGAGATGCAGGAGTATAAGGAGCGGCGGTATCAAGACGACATCAAAAGCCTGTTCACCAACATCCCACAGGTAAGTCGAACGGACCACTGCAAATGAAACACATGGACGAGGGCTTTTTTGAAGACAAGAAAACTTAGAGCGTAGCCCTTTATAAATTTGGGAAGAAAAGGAACACATCCTGGATCACATAATGATGTACCTGTTTGGCTTGAGAGCATGTATGCTGCTCTTTGTTCCAAATAATTTTTGATCATGTCTTTTTTTTTAGCCTCTTATCTAGCGTTATAGACCGACACGCTGTTTCCAAACAAGCCCACGTTTGGCCACACCAGGTGTGGGCACTGCGCGTGCGCAGAAACCGAATTCGCGTCAAGTGAAGCGTCTGCGCATGCGCAGTGTCGTCGACAGTGCCACCGCAGCCGCATGACGGTTAGGGTTAGACCAGGTTCGGATATTTTCAAACTTTCAACTTTTAGTTCGGCAAAAGTTTGACCGGAGTTAGGCTATTATGCGCACATGCATAAATAAAAGTGAGCTGGCACTGTCTGACAGAGGAAGGGCACAGCATTTTAACTATTGGAAGAAATTAACTAAATTATGAAAAGCTTATATGTTTACTTTCATGTTGTGCAAACATTAGTGATTACCTTAAGACAGGCTTTTTCTTTGTAAATAATTGTTTATCAAGCTTTAAAATTCTTTGTAGAAGCTGGACCACACTGTTTAAGAAGTCAAACTTTGTCGAAAGTTACAAGGTTCACCAAAGCAGTTGGATGGGAGCTAACTTTTTAGATGTGCCTCTTTTTTTATCTTTTAATGGGGTGTCTGTCTAAAGACGTACTACACTTCCTTTGGATCCGTGGAGCGTAAAATGTGCATCGATTCTGCTTTACAGGAATCGCTCGAGACTGCACTGAAGCAGTACATCTCTGTAGTGGCATGTCTGAGCAACCACCGTCAGATGCAGACGCTGCTTTCTCTCCTACATCATGCGGTCACATCCAATGTCCTCCAGGCAAAGTAAGACGTCCATCCGCATCATTGTTTAGAATGCTTCAAGGAGACTCTAGATGTTTAGGCACTTAAGAGCTAAGTCCTATTTACTCAATTGTGTCTGCGTAGGACTGAGTTTATGCGATCTCTGATGACAAGAGAACACTGGCACGCTGGCGCCATCTATGAGATGACCCTGGAAAGCATTTCACTAGAGCGAAAGTTTTATGGTGTTTGTGAGATTGAATGTACATACTATCTATGAGATATGGATGTTTATAACATGGTCAAAAATTTTACGAGCCAAGAAAGAAAGAATGATTTGGGAAAAAGATAGAAAATGTATGGAAACTGCAAGTTTTTGCATGTTGTATTGTTCTCTCATAAGAGATTTTGGAAGATTTCAAGATCAAACATACATACAATCTAGGGAAAAAGTCGTGAGCAGTCGCATTTGTGTGAACCAGCCGTTATGTTCTATGTGCTGTCTCCCGCGTGTGTTATGTCTACGTGCTGTGCATGTTTGAACGCGTGAAGTCGGCTCAGTTGTGACTGAAGTGCGAGAAACTATGGCTGCCTCACATGTGATTGGACAAGTGGGGGGTAATTGCTTTTGTGGCCTAAGGGTGTGTCTGGTGCCAATATTTATCGAAGACCTTGTGCGCAGTATGAAGGAAGTGTTTTGTCGCAGAAAAGCTGTTTTGAATGGATTCAGAAGTTTAAGGAAGGAGGCACAATTGTCAGCCGTAGAAAAGGAGCCAGACGCCTTTCCGCATCTACGACTCGTAGCAGAATTGAGCGTGCACCTGATTCTGTCGGATAGACGAGTGACAGTGGATGATTTGGCAAATTATCTTGCAATCAGCCAAGGCTTTGCCTATCTCTACAGGCTCATTTCTTGCCAAGGGAGACACGGCAATTTTTTCATGCCTGGAATATGTATGGACAGATTAATTTGGGTAAAGAAGTCTCTAAACTCCAAGAGAAGCTTTTATTTGGGGGGGGGAGGGGGATATAAGTTATTTTGCTGATATCTACTCCAAATTTCAAGGTTTTATTCAAATTCTACATGGGCTTTATTTATTCCAGAAATTAAGGGCATAATATCAGCAAAAATAAAATTTATTTTTTCACAAAAAGTTTTTTTTTTGTGTGTGTTCATAAGTTTCTTTATCCAAATATATTTCTTTCGCACATATCCCAGACTTGAAAAAAAATTGCCGCGTCTCCTTTGGCATGGAATGACCCTGCAATCATCCATGGCAGGATTGGGTTTGGAAGGGTTTGATTAAAATAAATTCTACAGCCAGTGTGCAGAAATTTTTTTAATCACCCTCGTATAAAGGACCCTCAGCATTTTCTGATTGTCACAGAATGAAAATAGGTTTTTCTGGGTTTGTGTGTGTGGCCAATGCCTGTGACAATCTAATGGCTGCCTAGTTAGAAAAATAATAATTATTTGCCTAGTTGCATTTTGAGGTGCAGATATTTTGCTCTATTTCTGGGTGGAGTAACACCACAGCAAATCACTGTGGTGTCAGCTTTCTTTGCTGCCTGCTCCAGCCACAGCAATCATGCATGCATATTGCATGTTGTGTATGTCGTAAACTAATTTTGGGGTGACGTTGCATTATTCCAGTTGCCTCTGTGTATTGCGGTTATTTTCTCTCCTATCTGTGCATGGCAGTTGTTGTTTTCTCTCTTACTTGTTTGTTTTTGTCCCTCTTTTTTAATTGATTCGGTTGCACATGAGATTGCAACATTTGTTTGGTCTACCCTCTTTCAGTCTAACGTATTGCTTCTCTTTGTGATGCCTTTGAGAGTAAATTAATGAGGGATTGGTAAACCCAATGCTGTCTCTTTAGGCCCGTCTGTGAGGCGCTGCTGGCATCTGAGAAGTTCCACTACACCGTCGAAGAGTACTGGTGTCAGTCCCTCAGCCTGATCCAGAAGATAGTTGGTGGAATTGAATACAAGGTAGGAATGCCCCTGTTAAATATCTGCTCACAAGGTTAGAATATAAGGCATCAAAATTAAAGATTAATATGGTGCGCTCATATAAAGTTTGAATATAGCAGGTTTGTAATAAGACATTAGCATACTAATATAGGGGGTTATCATATGAGATTAATGTAAGACATTGGAAGGAGCGACCTGCAGGAGGAAACAGCAAGGCTTGACAGGCACCAGAAAAGGATAGAAGGTTGTTGAATCGCTTCACTTTTGGCGTTCCAAAGAGAATGTTAGTCATACAGTTTGTCAGGAGAGACATACCATCTGAAGATCATTGGCTGCCATTCTGAGACCTTCAAGGTCCCTCTTTGCGGCTTCCAGTTCCTTCGTGCTTTGTTTGGAGATAGGATTCCAGCCGTTAGTGAACAGATTCTGAGGTAGTGTTGCTATGTGAAGTACAGGCTCCGCATGACATGAAATGCCCCAGTAATATTGTGGCCAAGGTACTCATATGACACGTTGTATACCGTCCTGGTACAAGATGTCTGAACGAGGAAACTTATTGACGCAACATACTATTAACTGCATCCTTCTTTGTTCCGAGACATTCTGGAAAAAAGGACTTCTCAGTTTCTGTATTGGGCTAAAGTTTCTGCCACTGCCATCTTGGGAGGGAAACACCAACTAATATTTATTGCAACCGAAATACCAGGATCTGTGCTGGAATCTAAAGTCCGCATTTTATTCCATTGTCGCGGTGTCTTGGCGCCTCCTTCTCAGAGTCGCACTGCAATTCCTTTCTTCGCTCGTTTTTGTTACAGGGTGTTCGGGACTTGCTGAAGGTGGTGTTTGAGAAGGCCCTGTCGATACCGTCTTCGGTGAATGTCTCGGTTATGCGACAGCTGAACGCGCTGAGTGATGTGAGTCGGACCCCCTGGCCTCTCGTGACCAAAGCCAGCGAGTGTTTCCGGACAACGGCAGTGCCTGGCGAGGAATAGACGGAGCTCGTCAGTCGGCACCAAAATGGCTCGCGTCTGTTTCGATAGGAATCAACCCTGAAGCTATAATTTAATTACTTCAATAAATAATCGAGTTTTCCTGTCTTTTTTTTGTCTGTAGTTTGTTGCAAGTTAAGAATAGCAGGACAAGCTCCCCCGTAAAGTCCTCTGCCCACTATGATTTGGTGATTTCCTCCTCTTTAGCGGTTACTCTTCTAAAGTGTAACGAGGAGGGTTTTGCGGAAGGAGCTTCTGTTGTTCTTAACCTGCAACTGGCTATAATAGTTACCTTACGAGAAAAACGATAAAGCAACCACAAAATTACTCAAAAAAGTAACAGTTACTAGAAGGGCTGGGCATCGATTAAATATTTTAACCCAATCAATTGCCACCCTCTAATTGATTAATCGGTTGCATTGGCCTTTTGGCATAATATTTTAAAAATGTATCAAACTACAATTTTTTTGTGACTCTTTGCTCTGTCGTCACTGGTGGAATGTACAGCCTCATTTAAACCTTTACGCTACGTCGCCTACTAAAGAAGAAGAAAAAAAAAACTAGCAAACAGTAAAAGAAAATATATATATTTTTACATTCATATTTTATACTTATTTACTCTGGATGACAATCATAGGGAATGCTGAAGTGCTTTATTGTGGAATGCAACAGGGCAGCTAACTAAATGGATCAATTCACCTCAACTAGTCAAGGAGGCATTGTTACTTTCTCTTCCAGAGTTCCAACTTAAAACCGAACCAATCAACCAGTTAAGGAAAAATTAAATGTGATTGACTGATTAATCGGAAGGCTAACCGATCAATTGCCCAGCTCTAGTTACTAGTGATCAACGTGCGGCGTACAAGCTGTGGGTAGCAGATCGTAAGCGTGTGTGCTTCGTGAGTGTCAGCCGATGCGGATAACGGAAGGCAGGGACATGGGCCGGAATGTTGCAACGGCCACCTTTCTTTGTGCCAGGTGATTGAGCACATCTTCGACCGAAGTGCCGCCCTGTTGCCCAGCTACCTCATCTTCGACGATGTGCAGAAGAGAATGCAGCCCAAGTCAAAGTGGCCTCACTGGGTGAGCGAGCCACCCCGTTTTTTGTGCGGTGTGGCTGTGCATTGCTTTCTTTTTTTGTCGAGTGCAAAAGTAAGCGGCGGAAAGTGAGTCCACTAAAAACTAGATTGTAGTGACGCTTCCGCACTAAATACAGAGGGGTTTCGGCAGATCCAACATCGTAAAAAACACGTTGTACAAAAAATGAAAGCCTTTACATAGAAAGCTCCAACTTTTACCGAATGTGCACTGAGCAGGCAAGTTTTAATGTGGGAAATTTCGAGGCATAATTTTCTTTCTGTAAAAAATGAGAGCAGCAATCTTTCAACGTCGGGAACGTTAGCAGACGGCCGAGTTAGCAACGCCATTAACTTGTGGCGCCATCTCCCGACAGAAGCGGCGAGCAGACGACGCACTTTGTTGGTCTGCTCGTGCTGCACAAAAGTTTCTCTTCTCCACATTGCAGAAATTTGCGAAGCTAGTGTCGAGCTTTGTGGATAGCTTCCAGCCATGTGCCCAGATGGTGACTATAGTCGGTGAGTGATCCCACTAACCTCTATCCGTATTGCCAATGCCCTGTTTTTTTTTTTTTTTTTTTTTTTTTTGCTGATGTTTTTGTAAGTTAGATTAGTTTATATTGTTAAACTCAGAAACAAAACAATGTGCATTATTTTGTCTCGGTGCATATTCCAACAGAATAATGAATGGAATTTGATGGCACACAGTTTGTTGCTTTTTAAAACACTCTTTGGTACCTTCTTTGCTGATGAGGCACGTTTGTCCAAACAAATAATCATGTTTTTTTTTTTTTTTTCAGTGTAGATTAGAATGGATGTCTCATCCGATTGATCAGTTCAGAAAAATTGGGCCCTATGCCTTGCGATGCAGGGACAGGAGCTCGGATGATCTACCCTTAAAGTTGACTGTCTCTCACTGCACAAGTGCAACTGTGTTTTCCTAGTGATGAAAAGCGAACTTCCAGAGCAGCTTGTGGGTTCAGAAAGTGATTCCTTGGGTATAGCCATTATATTTGTTCACTGTCCAACGGTCGTTGCCCTGCATTTATGGTGGCGATTACAGATCCGAAAGTTCCCGCCTCAACTCAAAATCACGCTCACCCCTCTAGGCGCTGCTGTTTGTTGCGTCTTTGACGAACTATAAACGTCATATTGGGAGGGCGTTTCGCTTGGCTGTAGCGATTCATAGATATGAAATTAGACGCTCTGTGCACGTGATATGCGCAAGATGGTCGCTTCGCATGTCGGCTGCTCTGGTGGTAGTGGAAATTGGAGCGCCGGCTCTTTCGATTCACACTTCTAATACTTGTCAAAATTGAATTTAGAGAATGAGAGAACGCGACGTAAAGTACCTCCAAATCCGAAACTGCCAGAACGTCGCGGAAGCAAACGCGCCTAAATGAGACTAAGAGAACAAGTTTGACATCTTTTGGCCTTCAGTAGTTCCATTTGATGCTCCTAAAGCCCAAGAGCTTGCAAGCACCGTACATGCTCCCGCTAGATAATTAAAAAAAAAACCTGCGCATTGACCCTTTCTTTCTACTATTCCCTTGGAAACAAAACCCAACCACTAAGAAACATATTTTGAGAAACAAAAACTCGACCATCAGTGTACAGTGCAATCCTCTTACAACGATACCACATGTAACCATGCACCCCTTATAACGATCAGTGTCCACAGTGTCTAGGCTAGAAACAATCAGTTTCTAGTCTAGATACCGTACTACGACAATCAGTTAAAACGATTGAAATTTCGGGTTTTCTCATTATCAACAGAAGTGGATCGCACTGTACTTATTTTTTGTTTTGTTGCTACACTAATATTTTTAAAGTTGTTCGATATACGGGTATAATTAGAAGTAACCGGGATTGATTGAACTCCTGTGCATATCTCTGGCTCGCAGGGCGTTCCAAGTTGCAGCCGGTGGTGGGCCATTCTGGCACCTGCTGTTCGGTGTGGAAGCTCGATCCCAACACGGCCAAGTTTGCCGTGAAAGGGCACCTTCCGTTCAGTGCGGTGAGAACCTCGTTTTGTCGTAACTTTACCGCTTTATAGGATTACTGGAAAGGAGCTGTTACTGCATTGGTTCAAGCTAAACACATATTTGGATATCCCAGGCTTTACTTTTATGCTACGCTATTTATTATTTCTAAGGTTACTGAAATAGCTACTGGGAAAACAGGAAATGAAGGCGATGCCAAAACCAACATTCAAATTTTCCCGCGCTGTCTAGTGTGGCGACGTCACGTCGTATACTTGCAGGTCGAGCGAGCAGTCAGAGAAATGCAATAATTCAAACATATTCTTTTTTTTTTTCTTTTTTGCTGATGTGAGCCTAATAGCATTCATTTCATGTTATCATACTACTTGTAACTCGTCTGGAAGAAGCTGCAATGCGTCCACATTGTCCCATATTACTACATCTGACATCGCGTTTTCAGCATTGGCAGCAGACCCTCTCAACGTCTCGAACCAAATTTAGAACTTCAGTAACTTCGCGAAAAACAGTATTGTGACTTGAAGTTTGGGTTTCTAGTTGAGATGCGTTTATTAATATGTCGAATAAATTTTGAGGCAAATCACCATTGCCAAATGTTACATATCAAAAAGAGGTTTAATTTTTAAAATAATTTGATGCAACCTAGGTTGTACAGCATTAAAGGGATACTTCAACGAAATTTTAAATATTCCCGTGGTGTTAAAAAATAGGTTGAATATGATCCACAATATCCGTAAATGACAATTGCACGTTTGTATTTTGAGCCTGGTGGCTGTATTTTTCGTTATAAACGGCCCACTCTGGCAAGCGCTCGGAGAAGGCCCAGTGGAGACCACGTGACATCCAACGCAATCGTGACGTGGGTCGTCTTAGGACGAGCAAAGCTACGGCGAGGCTGACGTCGAGAGGATGGCCTACGTAGTCGTTTTAGCCACCGAAGCGGCTGCTTTTGTAAGAATTTTGAGTGACGGGTTAATCTTCTGCAATCTTGTAGGGGGACAATAGCGACTTCTGTGACACACAAAAGGCATTCTCGGGAAGAGGGGAGTTCCTCCTTCCCCTCTTCTCTCGTCGTGGCCGGAGATGAGACAACCTCCGTCACTAGCTGTCAAGGTTCCTAGACGGGCATTACAAGCGAGGCGTTAGCGACATCCACCAGGTGCTCTTTGCTAATCGTTTAATTCGTTTTAAAATTCCTTTTCGAGACTTTTTTAACAAGATATTGGTATGTTCGATGTGATGCTGCTCCTTTGAACACATATAGACCAAAAAATGAGCGCCGAAAGTTTGTTGTAATATCCCTTTAAAAGGGGACATGAGCCTAAACTTTAAATTTTTTTGAAAAATTAATTTTTTTAATTTTGAGTTTTTTGGTTTTAGAAACTAATTAAGCACCGTTACACTAAATTTGATAACCAAATGCCAAATAGTTACATTGATATAAAATAATTTCAATACATTGTGAGGCAGTAACAAAGTAAAGGAGTTCAATGTTTGAATGCATTTTTCTCAGTTCCAATTTTTTGCTGCAAATTTTGTATGAAGGAATCTTTTGTTCGGATGTAAAAGTATTCTAATACCACAATCAAGATGTTTCTGAACTGAAATTCATTGGGGAATCGGGCTATCCACTTTATTTCGTTTTAAGTTGAAGTCCTCATTGAATAGGAGCTATGCTTTCGAAGATTTACATAGGACAGATATGCATCTCATATTTGTAGGTAATCACTCTTCCTGAATTATTTACGTTTGAGTTATAAAAACTAGATAGCCCAAAATCCCACATCCCCCACTTTATATTCAAGCAGTCAAAATGGTGCTTAAAGCTTCATTTGAATATCATAGATTTCTTAACAAAGAGTGACACATCTTATGAAGGTATTGAAAGATGTAGAGAGCTGAAAGTTTGCACAGTACACTTGCATCTGACGTTAAATCTCCCCTGCAAATTTCATTCCGATCGCTTGAGTAGTTCACAAGTTAAATCTCTAGCCAGTGTCCCCCCTTAACCCCTCACTAACTGCTTTTTAGTTTTTGGGAATATCTGACCCTCAACTGCTTACTTGTCTTCAAAATTACATTTGTTGCTTTCAAAATCAGATTTCTAGCCACATACAGAATGGCAGCAAAATCTAAGAAAGTTCAGCGCTGCCACCTGTTGGCACAGCTGCAAACTAAGCCATGAGCGAGCCAGGTTCGTCCAAATGGTTGAGTGTGTAAATCGGGGAGGAAAGACAGACGCGCTATGCTTGTCCTGAATGGTTTGGGGACGACTTCACATTGACGAGCTTGACTCGTCTTAAAGGGTTAGTGCGGCAATTTTTTCATGATCACTGATGTTCCTCAAAATTGGCTCAAGAGAACTATAGACACGCCTCTATCAGTTCCCCGAGTATTGTGTAAAAAGAAAAATTAGCGAAGTTCTTGAATTTTCAAATTTCGTTTTCCTCGTGTTTCCTAGTTAAATCGGGAGCCCCTACTGGCAACATTGAAGTGTGACATCAGAAATGGTACAGAGTGGGCAGTAAGCCAAGTTCCCAACCGGTTACAGGATGTTTGATGGTGGGAAAAGAATGCTTGGTTGCTGATTCACTGAGAAGCACTCAAAAAAACGCTAGACATGCTCTGTTCATGACCACCTGCGCAACCAGAAAGTCTTTGCCATTTGTGACGCCACACCACTGGAGAGCGCACAGAAATTTGACATTTGGTTTCGGCATCATCTTTATTTATGGTTTTCTCAAATACTATTTTGAATTTCGAGAAGATAAAAAGCATATCGTGAAGACTAAAGTCCGGGTAGTCAGGAAATGCAATTTGGGTAGCTCAAGAAATGGCCGTAGTACCCCTTTAAACGGTTAAAGAGTTAAACTGCCTGCATTGCAACGGTGCAGTCTAAATTTTATGATGGGAAATTGTAACTTAGTTTCAAATATTCAAAGATTGCTTCTGCATATGGTAATATGCATGTCCAAAATTAAATTGGGTACACAGTGGGGCTATTCGAAAATATTTAGAATATTTTTCCACATGCATAAAAATTCTAAAAGTACAAGCAGTCCAACGACAAGAACAGTGTAAAAGAAAACCAACAAACAACAGCACTGACTTACAACTAAATTTTATTGGACCTTACATTGCGTATAATTGCTACATGTATCACAACCAACAAGCCCAATCATCTACATTATCCAGTCAATTCTAATTTGAATACTAGTCAAACCTAAATTCTCAGACATTTAGAATATTTGCAGATTCTTTAGGGGAGGAAAATTGTTTCTCACGTCTTTATTATTATACTACACCGTTGAAAATTTAATAAAATCACTTATAACTTTCGAGTAAGATAATGGTTAGATCTGAAACTTTGGCATCCGGTTTGGATTCCTAGCGCTACTTTCGGGCGGAGAATGAGCGTTTGGTGATGCGTCGTTTACTTTTGCAACGAAAAATAAAACCCTGTAAAATATTGTGGGGGGAACACCTTGTAAAATGAGAGTAAACTCCATATAATTCTTTTCTCTAGGGACCAATTCATATTTTTTGTATGATTGCCGGTGCTCTTACTTTAAGAGCACCCTGAAAGATGCAGTTAGTGCATAGACTTGGACGGGAGCTCTAGTGCCGGACACACTCCTTGCAGGAAGCCCAGCAGCCTCAGCACGACCTTCTCCGTTATGTGCTGGAGCAGCCTTACTCGCGGGAGATGGTCAACAGTATGCTGGGACTCTGCAAACAGGTCGGCTACCCGCTTCTCTTTTCCGCCGCATCGTTTCTTGTCTGACAACCGCCGCAGCCATGCCCGACAGCCGCGTTTCTTCGCTTCTTTTTGTCTCTGAGAGCAAGTCTGTCTTGGGGTGACTTCTTTCTTGATGTTAGGTGCTACATCAGTCGTCCTGAAACAAGAATCCGCGGACCCCTTGGGATCTCTGTAGGCCCTCTAGAGGTCTCCGAACCCACCACCTTCAGTCGAGCCGAGCAATAGAAGTTTTTTTTATTCAAGCTGGATGTCTTATAAAGTCAAATAGACCAAACCACATGTGCTGAGTTAGTAGGGATGATTATTCTCCGTTTCGGAGCTTTGAAGTTGGTTTACAAGCATTTAGTTTTCTTTGTTTACCCCTTTGTCACTCTAATTATTCAAGAACCCCCCTCCCCCTGGCGGATGGGGTCTCCCATCACTTTTGCCAATCCTAAAGGGGTCCCAAAACATCAGTGGTTGAGAACCACTGTGTTACACAGTGATATTATATCTGTCCTATGAAACTACAACAGAGCCAAGAGGCTCCGTCAAGCTGTTACGCAGCTTTTTTTTTCCTTGTTTCCGCCATTCATTTATCAGAATGGAAATAAAATTCCGGGGACACCTTGTTTGGCGTGGCACCAGAAGTGCGAAGCTTGGCGCGGTGCGTGCTGAAATCACGTGTCTTCTCATCGTCATCATCGCCTTAGCTGTGGGTACCGGTTGACGATGTTAGACTCAAAGCATAGGCCTTAGGCCTATCGTTATGCTTTGAGGTCTAACGCCGTCAACCGGTACACGCAACTGGTTGATGCGAGTGGAGGACGCGAGTATGCGCTGGCCTGTTGTTAGGCCTAGTGTTAGGCCTAGCATCAGGCCAGCGCATACCTGTGTTCCCCCTCATGTCAACCAGCTGCGCATACCAGTTGACTATGTTAGACCTCAAAGCTTAACAATAGGCGTAACATTAGGCCTAACATCAGGCCAGCTCATAACCGCGTCCGCCCCTCCCGCTGCACCGCCAGTAGTTCGGCTGGCTCCTTAAGGGGCATTCACACGAGGGAGAAATCCCGGGGATTTCTCTCCGGCACGCGCATCCCACGACGAAAACGTCAGGCTTTGCAATGTGCAAAAGCCTGGCGTTTTCATCTCATGATGCGCGCGTGCGCATCGTGTGAATACCCCTTTAGCAACGATGGTGGTGTTGTTATGGAGCCACATGACGTGTCGCAGCCAATGGGAATTTAGATGCCGTTTTGCTGCTACAGACAATGCCGGCTTCACCCATAGTCATTGACAAGACAAGAACAGCAGGCATCTCTTTCGAATGTCTGGCCTCTGGCACGCGCTCGTTGCCTTTAGCTGCTCTTTGGCTAAAGAGAGACGAGACGAAGCATCATTGAAGGTAGCGGGCACGCACTTGACGCGGGACAACTTAGACTCCTCTCTGCCGTTCTCTATCTGTCAGTGACTATGCCTTAGTCTAAAACTTCCTACAATGTGTGGGAAAAGCACTTACTAGCTGTACTTCATTAAAAGTCTAGAATTTTCTCTGGTAAAGTTTTGTTTAGTGACTTACGTGTTCTGCCAGGCAATTAAAGAAATAAGGTTTGGGGGAGTTTGGCGTTCCTTTAAGGGGGGACATGGGTCCTTGGAGCCAAAAACATCCTAAAACTGTATTCTTTTGAAAATGGCGATGGCTGTTGTTCTTCTGAATTCACCAGGCTTTTAATTTCGTGGGTGAATATTTGGGCTATAAATCAACTAATAATGTCTATGCGGGCTGAATGCGAGTTGAAGTTGACTCTAAAACATTGTTTTCACGAGACACAATTTTTGGACTCGTGAAAAATTTGCAGGAGGGATATCTCAGCATCCAGAGCAGATAGAAATTTAACCTTTCCTGAAATGTGTAGCTAAATGTGTTAAGCATACAATGTTGAGAGCAGATTTTCTAATAAAAGTCTAGAAAATTTTCTATTTAATCTTTTGTTTTATTACTTGTTAGCCATGCATTGAGCACTGAACTTCAATGTGTGGTAAAATCACTAATAGTTGGTTTATCTTAAAAGTACTTCCAAAATTGTATGCCCTACACTTTCTAGTACCTAGCCATGTGTTAAAAAGGATATTTTGTTAAGCAGTTTTTTTCCTATCGTTCCTCCAAACAAAGGCAGGCAAGTTTTATTTACCTTGAGGACAATTCTCCTGACTGAGAAAACGATCAGATATATAAAATCAGCACAAAAAGCTGAACAAGCTCATGCAGTTTCAATGGGTTTGGTCATAGAATAAGAAAATAAGCTCCAAGACCAGTGTTCCCCCTTAAGTGCAGGCGCAGAATGTCTCGTCACTGTCCACGGCGCAAAAACTGATCGTGGAAGCTTATCGACGCTGCTTCCCCCTCAAACCAGGGAAGTAAAGACCGAAGCAAAACACGGCAAATTGTGAGTGCCGACATCGGTGTTACTGAAAGAAAAACGAGAGAGGGTGAGAGAGAGAGTGACCGAAGACCAAAGGAGAAAGCAGACAACAGGTTAGGCGTGCTCGTTTTGCCACGACGAGTCAAAGTCGTTCGATTGCACGTCAACTTTATTTCTTTTTATACGAAGCGCGACGCCGGCATATTCCCACAAAAATGAATCTAGAAAAACAATCGATACAGACCTTGCGAGCGATGTTTTCCCGCTTCTTTGTTTATTGAAGCGATGCCAGTAATACGATCCTCTTCGGAACTGCCGACCTCCGCATCTATGCCCCGCCGGTTCCGTAGCTGGCGAAGAACGCGGGAGCTTTCTCTCCGGATGATTAACTCGACAATTAATGGGCGTGCAGCAAAAGCAGCGCTGCCCCGTGCTAGAGGAGCAGCTGGTGTCCCTGGTGGTGCTGGCCATGGAGAAGTCGGAGGGGGACGCGGAGGGCCTCGAGGACGGGAGTCCCATCCAGCTCTTCTGGCAGAACCTGTCCTCCCAGCTCATCTACTTCGTCCTCTTCCAGTACGCCAGCTTCCCACACATGGTGCTGGCGCTGCACGACAAGGTGCGGCCAGGCCCCCCCTGATGTCATAATAGCAGGGTTCTGCAAATATCTGAATTTTCGAAAATTTTTAGGCATAAAATAGTGTACCCGTTTAACGGTATTAATCGTCCTCATGGAAAATAAAAGCTTGCATTTGTCTTTGCAGATATGCAACAAAGAGCAAGTCTTGCAATTAGTGAAGAAGCAATGCAAGTTGTGACTCAAATTTTAGTTCTAAAAATAAATATTAATGTCAATAATCTCCCCTTTTAATTTTTTGTGCAGTGTATTTTATAAGTGCTTTAAAGAACCCCTGAAACGAAAAAAATATGTTTTTTTTAAACAGTTTTGTTGGGACAGCTGTGTCAAGAAATTAATTTTAAACGAGAAAGATAATTTTTAGACCAATTTTGACGGCGGGAGATTTATTTTAAATTCTGCACGCAAAGTCCATGACGTCTTGGAATGGTCATACACTCTCTCCACCTCAACGTGATGGCCAAGCCGAATATGCTGATATAGAAAACAAGTAAAAAAGAGGTGACTACCGACTAAATTGCGTCTCACGCCATCAATATTGCTCTAAAAATTTTTCTTTTTGCATAAGATTAATTTTTTGACATGCGTGTCCCAACCAGACTGTTAAAAAAAAAAAAAAATTTTTTTTCAGGGGCTCAAATAGCCAGTTGAGAAAATGGTGCAGTGAAGATTTTCACATAGAGAAGATTCAATTTGTCCCGTCCATGGAGTCGGACCCAAATGTCTGGCATTTGCTGAAAGTTGCTTGTCATTTGATAACGACGAATTTAAAGGCTCTGGAGGTGTGACGCTTTGGGGATTTCCTGCAGCTTGTTGGCAGAAACCTCCGCAAGGGTCGTGACCACCTCATGTGGGTTCTGCTCCAGTTCATCTCGGGGAGCATCCAGAAAAACCCCGTGAGTCTCTCTTCCGCACGCTTCGGCTACCAGAGGGAGCCTGTATTCTTCCAGATGCTTCGCATCATTGATTTCCGGGTGAATGGGAAAGAGAGGGGAATGGAGGAAGCCAGAAATGTTTCAGTAAGCCAGAAACTCCAAGTTGTTAAGCTTCGTGTCTTTGCCATTAGATGGTGTTGCCTCACCTTGCCTAAAACCAAAGCCTGCAATGTTATGGTGAGCAGGTCGTTTCTTGTGCCAGTGTCACATCGCAGACTTAATTAACGCAGAATGTGTTTTACGGGTTACGCAACATAGAAAGAAAATGGCTTTTATGTGACCACAGTATATGACCTCTAGTCATACGGTGTTAATTTCCCCGCTAAGTTTAGTGGGGAAATTGATGTAAACACGTCATGTGACCTCGAGTCGCGTGGTGTCAATTTCCCCGCTAAATTTAGCTGGGAAATCGATGTGACGTGACAACGTCGTGCGATTTAAAATCATGTGACATCAATTTCTGCGAGGTACAGCTGACTTGCATTAATTCGAATTGGGTTAATCCGACTTATCGTTTAATTCCACCCTGTACAAAGGTCCCGGCAAAAGCCGATGCATTTCTAAAGAAAGAAAACCTCGTTGTTTTGATCTTGAAATATAAAATATTGGTTAATTAGAGCTAGAGAGAACTGGTGGTGGGCAAATTACGAGCATGACACACAAAAACAGGCTTTTTTTTTTCCAAATGACGCGGCGGGCAAGTTACAAGCGCAGTCGGCCACACCCGTCGGTGAAAAAACCCGTTTTCAAATTTTGAAGCTTCCGCCAAATTTTGAAAAGAGAGCAGATGTTTAGAAACACGTGTTTAGAAAGCACTGGATATTCAGAATTTCACATGCATCTTTTAATTCAACTGTCTAATAATTCGACCCAATTTCGCATGTCCCGTCAAGGCTTAACAGAAGCCGACTGAAATAGTTTGGCTCCACGCATTTCTTGCTCCCCGGCGTTTGTCAGCGCGATCAAGCTTAGATAATTTTTTTAGGTCTAGACTCATTTTTGTCTCGTTATTCACCAATTTTTTTTTGTACGTCGCAGTCTTTGGCTATCCGAATTCTCTGCGGAATATCAGACCCGTAGCCATTTCTAAGACTCCTGCCTCGTCGGTAAACCCGTCGTCCCCCGTGCCAGCTGAACGACTTCCTGCCCGTGATGAAGCTGTACGACCTGCTGTACCCGGAGAAGGAGCCCCTGCCCTTCCCGGACGTGACCAAGCCCCACTGCACCCGGGCGCTGGCCATCACCTCCATCTGGGTGCACCTGATGCGCAAGGCCCAGCAGGAGAAGACCCGCCTGCACAGGCCCCTCCCCCAGGCGCTGCAGACACACCTGGAGTGCGTGCACCCCTCTTTGTTTGTTACAGATTTCCACGAGTTATTGCATCAATCTACCGCAAAATTCTGTGAGGGTTCTCTTCCCTGAGAGATCGCCCATCTCATTTTTCTGTCTAAATATCCAAAACATAAAAATTCTGAAACATCGCCCACCCCTCAAATCTCGTCGGACATTGCTTGATGTCCAAAAGGAATCACATCAACCGCATGATCTGCGGTGTCGGTACGTGACGTGCGAGTTCGTAGCGAGTTCCCACGTCATTTGTGCGCAATGTTGGTTTTGGTGGCACACAGGTTTGCAGCCGGTTTCGGCGTGTTTGTCGCACCGTGAAACACAAATCTATAGCATCCGCAGTTCGCGGTATGCTTTCCAGTGACGCGGGAGTTCGTAGCACATTCCCGCGTGTTTATCGCATTGTAAAACTGGAATTTGCCGTGTCCACGATCTGCGGTATCAGTTCCTATGTCTCGCAATTTGTAGCGGGTGCCCCTGTTTTTATCATCAATCTTTTGTAAAGCTTTGCCGTCTCATCCCCAGGCCACCTCATGTTTTTCACACTGTTTCTCTCTTCATTTTGTGTGAGCACCCTTACGGGATATTGCGGTAGGCAGGAGACAATTTTCGACGTTTCAAGCAATTGCGACCTATTTGCGGGTGGCCCGCATGGACTCTCGTAAAAGGTGTGTTTACCCCCCCCCCCCCCCCCCTTTTTTTTTATCCAAAAGCATTAGCTATCTTATGGAGCCGAGCCTGTGGCGTCTGTAACTGCAAAAAAATGCTAAAGAAATTCCCATTCTCCTTTTGGCTGAGCAAAACGGCTCCTAGATAGTTATGGGCAGCCGTTTCACGAGAGCGCGCGCTCGGCAACCTCGGCAGTAGCGAAACATGGCCGTCCACGACAGTCAACGTTAATAAAACACTCAGTGGGAAACTGCCATAGAGACTGCTCTGAAAAAGTGGCCCCAATCTGTCTCCGAGCACCGAGCTAATGACGAACACAACGCCACCATTTCTCCCGCAGCGGCCACTCGAGGAACTGCACGTGACTTCTATTTTGGCTTTAAGAACAGATACAGCGGAAGAGGTTACAGGGCTGCCACCCCCGTCTCCCCGGCGGACGCGCCGCGTTCAACTACCGAAGTTAAAGTGCACCTAGGGCGGGACGTGCTACCTGAAAGGACCGCTGAGGCATGGTTGTATAAAAACAATATTAATTGTGCCGCAAAACCCTGCAAACTAAAGATTTTAAAAACAATAATGCGCCCCTCTTTTTGTACTAATCTCCAATAAATTTCATACAAAAAGAGTCTTTTCCGTTTGTTTTTACGCAAAAACATGCTTTCTGAAAGCTCAAGGTGACCACAGTACAGACAAATGATAAAGAGTGGCGCTGTTGTCGCATTTAGCTCGGTCTCGGTGGACGCCAGCGGCCCAGGTTCCGATGGCAAGTTTCCCAACTGAGTGTTTTAGTAACGTTGACGACAGTACACCGCAGACGAGCTAAGACAGTGGAAGAAAGACATTCATGCTTTCGCATTCACAACTCATAAAAAAGGCTTGGGTATCTTCGGATCTTTTTTTTTTTGCTACCCTATAATTACAGTAAACAAAAGGCCACTTAATTCTGTTGAAGGCACAGCCCGTTTTTTTTTATAACGTTCTAGTTCGAAATCCCAGCACATTTTCTTTTAACTAATAGTAGTGTGGCACCTTGAAAGATTTCCATTGAACATACCATGAATTTTATGAGGTGGACGATGTTTGGTAGTTTCCAACCTTCCTATACTTGGCCAGAAAAATGAGACGGGTGAACCTTTTAGGGATGGGCATTTGTTGGGGGATTTTACGGTGGTTGCTTATTGCCGTTTTACCTAGCTTCGATCATTCGGTGCCGCCACAAGAATCTCGCACCGCCGTGCATTCCCCCACTTCAGGTACCTTCAGCAGTCGGTCCTCTCCAATCAGTCGACGCTCAGCTTCGGTAACGACTACTGGATCTCGCTTCTCTGCAATGCATGTGAGTTTGCGTTCACCCACAACCTGTTTTTTTCTTGTTCCCCGAAACTCGAGGCCGGTTCGCACACCCGCAACGGCCTACGACCGAGTGCCTTAAAACCTTTTAAGATCCCTCACAACGAGAGAACTCACCGGCGCCATCTATCGTGTAGCTGTAGAACGCTTAGCGTTTCCGGATATTTCTTATTTGTTTCACGCTTCATTTTTTCCTTACTTGCTCGAAAAACTTGACGGTGTTATAAACGACCCTTTCTTGTAGATAGTGTGTATGTACATTGGATCTCGCAAATTCTGCGGAACTTTCGCTCTAGTGAAATGTCCTCTCATCGTAAGAGACTGTGAGAACTTAGTTGTGAGCAAATGCAAGCGTGTAAACGGCCCTTTAGTGTGAACAAAGGATGCGACGCCTTTATTGAAGTGTAGTTTACCGATCGTGATGGCATGCTAAAATTTAAGCCCTTGAGTCGGCGTGCGTGCAAAATGGGAAGTGAAACCTCCATATGCTTAGGGCTGCTGACTGGGACAAGTCAAATGTGGGTCAGGTTTTCATGACGTTAATGGGTGTCAGACGTTTTTCATGGCCTTAGTGGGTGACAATACTACACCCCGCTGTAGTCACCGACAAGATGGAGTCCTCGCATTCTTAAACCAGCACCGTCGACGTTGACGGTCTTACATCGCTTTAATTTCCGTCAACGACACCCGAATTAATTGGGGGATTGGTGGTCGGGTATGTCGACGCACCGTAGCTCGAAGTGCGTGGAGAAAAAGCCCGCGGCGCAGAACCGGGGGATCTCGAGCTGGATCTCCACCCCTGCCCGTTTCAATCTGGACAAGCGTCGTAACGATGTGTGCATAATGCGCGTTAAGGGGGGACACTACCCAAAAAAGTGAATGTTTGAGCCACTTGTTTGATTTAAATTAGATTTACAGGGCTTGTTTCTGTTAACGTTGAGAACATTTCTGCCAAACTTTGTTAACCTGGGTGACATACAAAAAAAATTGCAAATGTTCAAAGATGAAAAAGGGTGTGTCTGCATAGGAAAACTATTGTTTTGAAATTACTTATAAATTTTGCATTTTTATGTGTTATATTGCTTTAGGACAGTTCAGAGCAGATAACTATGGAGCTATATTTCTATATTATACCATCTTTCATGACAGAAAAGCCAGAGAAACACAAATACTGTTTTTTAGACTTCCATCCTTTGTCCAAAAGTTTAGTTCTTGAGTATGAAAAATGACAAAAATAAAAAGTACAAGTTCATAGTTATCTTCCCCTTAAAATTTCATCCCAGAAAAGCTTCTAAAAGTAATTCCAAGTTACGTAATAACAAAACGATAGTTTTCCTAAAGTGAAATTTCTGCCTAAAACTGGAATGGAGAAAAATTGCATTCAAGGTGTTCCAACCTCTACCTTTTCTTTAGCATTGGTGGACCAAAAAAAATTTATGAAAAATTAATTATGCAGTGTAAACTAGTGAAACTTTCTGGGAATACTCTCTGGATGTTGGGGGACGTAAATATGACATTTGTCAAAATCAACTTTTTTTGCAGAAATTGTTCTTTCTGGGTAGTGTCCCCCCTTAAAGACCTTAGGCTAGCAGGGGTGCTGCATGCTTATCCTGATGTTGATTGAGTGTTGCAATGCACGTGCGTCTGGCCTTTTAGTCCGACGAAAGACGTCATTGTGCCTATTGTGAAAAGCCGACCGCAGCGATGCTTTTGGTCGTGCACGTCACCGGCAGTGACTCGTGGAATCTTCTGGATCTGTGGGTTGCAGACAGCACCAACCAAGACTACTTCTCCCGTCCCATGGGGGTGTTGGTGGACGCGATTCAGGGCAGCCAGCGTAACCAGGGCAACATGTCGTCGTCGAGCTCGAGCGCGTCGAACCCGACGCATCCGTTGGGCATGAACGTGCTCGACTCGCTCACTGTCCACACCAAGATGAGGTGGGTGCACTGTGTCTTCAACAAGGGCATGCAGGGTCCTAAATTTGCTCTGGCAACTGTTTTCATCTTGCAGTACCATTCTGAGGCGCTGTCTCTTACCACATCTATGCCTTTTAAGCATCACGGCCTGCATTTTAACCTGAAAAAAATGTGGAACTGTAATGAGATTATGAAATGTCAAAAAAATAAACTACAAAGTGTCCTCCCAAAAATTTTTGGGTTTTGTTTTGGTTTCTTATTCACAAAAATAAATTATGTATGGCCAAACGCTCGTTCTCGGCCCAAATGTGGCACTGGCAGTTTGAACCAGATGCCAGAGTTTCAAGGGGCACTGACACCCCAAAGGTCGTATTTATTTTTATTGCCTAAAACGATGCAAGTTGCAGTCATAGACACGCAAAAAAAAACGCATCGCGAAAAAAAATTTTCTTGCGCGCGCGCGGGCTTTTTTATTTTTGGCGTTTGATTTTCCCGCCTCTCGCCTCCTCGCTTCTTTTGATCGGTGACGTCAAGAATCATGAAATTTAGAAGCTTTGTAGGCGACATCTCTATAACATTTAATTACGGCAATCCTAAAACATGTTTTTTAACGCAATTGCGAACGCACTACGGCCCTTCTTTTTGAAATACCAAAAATCGGGAGTTCGTTGTGGTGCCGTCTCCTGGATTTGTATCCTCCAACGGAAAACAGGCGACACCGCTCAAAACCGGTCCGCCGGAACGTCGCCGCTCGCTCCTTTCCCCCTCGCTTTGGGTCGCCATGGCAACAGCAGGGAGGGGTGAAAGAAAGGGGACTCTCAGGTCTTCGCAATTTTTGACGTCAAGGCACCGGCGCCGATCGCGCGGGAACTTCGAATTCGGCATTTGGAAATTGTTTTTTTACTTCACGAATACTGAATTCCCAAATTTCAAATTTTGAGGGTAATGTCCCGGCATTGTTTTCAATCGTTTCGGATAATAAAAAAAAATATGATTTTGATGTGTCAGTGCCCCTTTCAGAACTGACAGTTGTTAGCAAGTTTTTAGTTATTTTTTTAAACCTTCACCAGGAGAATGATGACTGACGGAGCCCTCAAATATGTGTGGCTGCATGGTGCCAGTTACCAAGAATAGGCCCCATTTTCCCATAGAATTTTTTAAAAAATTACTTATTGCTTTTAGAATTTTTTTTTTTTTTAATTATTCATTGCTTTTTAATAAAACAATGGTTAGTTCTGAAATTTTGTTGTCTGATTCGAAAATGTAACACTACATTTGGGCAGAAAGTTCATCCATGCATAGTTTAATTTTGCAGCAAAAAAAAAATTTTAAATTCTTTCTCTAGACATGCTATACTAAATATTTGTAACTGGAAAGAAGTTATGCGAGATGTGTATAAACGGTAATGTTTAGGATTGAATCCGATAGGGGTCATTCGAACAGCCGATACTACGAGAAAAATTGCAATTCCGACGCTATACCTCCTGACTTGGGAATTGTTTGTGTTCTCCAAATTTTGCAAACTCTGGGAGCACTAAAGAACACTGCAACTATTCCGATCATGCCAAGCATGCGACTGTGTACACGGTTTGACGTGTTGCAGCAGCGTGCATCACCTCGTGCACTCTTATTTGGTGCATTTTTTCCTTTCCACTTAGTCAGCAGTGTGGTCTAGGAATGGCATGCACAGCCACCAAATGCTATGCCATAGGCTGTGTTCCAAATCTTATCCAAATGGATCCGAGTTACTCCGGCAGGTCGTGTCACGTGACAACACAGATTGAAAAACGCTGGACAGGGGAAGGTTTTAGAACGCCAAGTTACAAAACCTTTACCCTAGAGTAAGATCGAGTAAATTTTGAAACACGGCCTGAGCTATTTCCAGTTGTCAGTGAATTGGAAGAAGGCCTCAAGGATGTTTTGTTTACAAATGCTTCAGCCTTTTGGCCTGCGGTAAGTTTAAATGAAATGAATAGAATACACTGATGCGGACAACCTCGCTGTAGTCTCCACTTTACATTCGGGCAGCAAATTCATGAAAGTGATTAGTGCTGCAAGAAGGTGACTGTGACCAAAGAGGAAATGTTGCATCGCTCTTTATGCTGAGTGCCTCTGTTGCGCAAACTGCGTTGGTTGTTGTACTGCATTTTCAGTTGCTTTTCAAAGCAAACAAGATGCCAGGACAGCTTTTTAATATGGATAACAAGTTTTGCCATGGTGGCATTGGGGTGCCATTTGCCAGGTTACACTGAAGCAGTTTATAACAGCCTTCTGTTTAAAACAGTCTCTGCCATGCCAGTATTCTTGTGCCTGTTGACTTTTTTTTTTTTGTTGCTTTATTTGCAGCCTGATCCACAATGTGGTGACACAGATAATGAAGATGGCCCAGGCCAAATCGTCCATCACACTTGCGCCGGCACTCATTGAAACCTACAGCCGGCTGCTTGTCTACAACGAAATTGAGTCCCTCGGCATCAAAGGGTTTATCAGTGGGTGCCTTTGTTTTTCTTTGCGTTTTCCCGCCTGCTTAATGCTGCAGTGCTTGCTTTGGTTCGGCTGTGATCACTGCTACAGAGTGTCTCGTACCTGTGTAAGGTTTGTTGTATTTACAAGTTTCAAACAGCACTTGAATTTGATTTTCCTGGAATGCTACCAAAATATATCCCAAGTATTAGACTTGTTTCTATAATGGCTCTTTTATACTGCTTGTGTTTATTGATGTTTCCATTGCATTTCAAGTGTGCTGATAAATTTGTTTTCTTGTAAAACCCACCCTCTCCAATAATGCCTAAAGGCAATGTAGGTTTCTTTGTAAATAAAAAAAAAGACCCATTGCAAGAAAGAACCGAATTGCATGTCCTTTTCTTTTTTTAGAAAGCTTTACAAGGTTGAGTTATTTTTAGAAATGATGTTATCTGGGTTTGGGCGATTTTGTGCAATGGGGTCGGAGATTGAGCTCAAACAGCTATGGCACGTCTACTTTTGACAACTTAAAAAACAACTGATTAAATTTTTTTTTTTTTTTTTTTTTGTCTTTTAAAGGATAGGATAGTTGTGGCAAGGTCCAGGGAAGTCTATGTAGGCAAGAGTAGATGAGGAAATGAGTCAAACCATATTTGTTCTCTTTTCTTGTGCTGAACCGTCGAAAGTTAGCTGGGTGGGCCATCTTTTCGGATTTGATGGCACGCGTCTCGTCGTCTCTTGACCGTCCCATCCGTTCCGGGCATCCCTCAGGCCACCTGCTGCCCACGGTGTTCCGGCAGCAGGCCTGGGGCATCCTGCACACCCTGCTGGAGATGTTCAGCTACCGGCTGCACCACATCCAGCCGCACTACCGGGTCCAGCTGCTCTCGCACCTCCACAGCCTGGCTGCGGTGCCCCAGACCAACCAGACGCAGCTCCACCTCTGGTACGCGCCTGGTCCCCCCCAAACTCTGCTACGGAGGGCTCCGAGAACCACTGTGAAAGGGGGGCTCCGGCGCTTTTTTGAGCTGCCTGAACAGATTTCTGGAGTACACTGGTTTTACCCTTTCCAGCATGCTAATTATTATCTCTAAATTCAAAACTAGGGGTGTGCAAATATTCTAGTTTCGAGTTCAAATCAAATAAGGATGGATCATCCAAATAATTAGATTCGAATTTCGGATTCTTGGTATTCGAGTTTTCAAATGCCAATTTTGAGGCAAATCGGCGTCTATTCAAATTTTGCCGTATCTCGACGGGGCCACGGCTCCTTTGCCCGCTTTTCTGAATGCCCTTTCCGTGTGGGTCCCAGCGTGGAGAGCACGGCCCTGAAGCTGATCACGGGCCTGGGGAGTGCGGAGGTGCAGCCGCAGCTGTCCCGCTTCCAGAATGAGCCCAAGAACCTGCTGTCCACCGAGTCGGAAGAGCTCAACAAGGCCCTGGTCCTGACCCTGGCCAGGGCCGTGCACGTCACCGGTACGGGCCCCCTCTCGTCTCTCCGACTCCCTTTAAGGTGCCATTTTGAAGGGGTTCCATAGTCACAAATGTATAGGCAACGTGCCTACGCATAGAGCTAATATAAAATTTTTTTTTAGCTTTTACGAATTTATTTTAAAAAAAGCTGCAAAAGTTACACTTACAAGGTCTGTGCAGGTGAGTTATACAATGCGGTGGACATAATTTGGGGCATCACTATAAGTTGGATAATTAACTAAAAGTGTTAATGGTGAAAATTTCGAGATGGTTCCGATTCTAAACTCAGCATCATTGACGGCCACTAAATCAGTCAATCTTAACATGACTTGGAGCGTGAGGGAAGAGCGGTGATGTGCTGAAGTTACCGCTCATGCAAGAGGCTCAAGGCTGTTGATGCAAATGTGCACCCACTCAGTTTTCCTTTTTTTTTCCACATTTTTGCACATTAGCCTCCTATCATATGTCCGGTTGGTTGTATAACTCATCTGCACAAACCGCATTAGTTCAACTTTCATGCCTTTCTTTAAACAAATCCGTAAAGCCTGTAAAAACACCTTGCGTAATAATCTAGAGGAAAAAGTCCCACGCATTCTAGCTGCTTCGAAATGGCAGAACATAGACGTAGACATCGGTGATTCCAGCGGGTGCTGCGCTCTGGCGGGTTTCGGACCTTAGCAGGTTATGCAAAAAAAAACTGAAATTGTAATACAGCGCTGTGTGCGCACACACAAAAAATGTTCTGTCATTTTACCCATAAGCATGGGATGATATACAGCAACATAAGAGCAGAAAACACTTGGCAATATAGCGTAAAACTTGCAGGTGCACAAGCTGCGTACAACAGTGATTAAAAGACTACTATTATATCATTCACAATAGCAACCTAAACGGGAAAAAGTTTAAAAATGTGGGACTCTGGGCTCTGCCATTGACGGGGGGTCACCGGCTTGGCTTGGCTCGTCTGTCGACCAGGGTCGGAGACTCTGTCGATGAGTTGGTGCAAGGAGATCCTCAGCCTGGTGATGCAGAACACGCCGCACAGCTGGTCCAGCCTGACGCTGATGAGCTTCCCGCCCAGCCTGGCTGAATTCTTTCAGCAGCATCAGGCACAGCGGGAGAACAAGGCACAGCTGAAGCGCTCGGTTGAGGAAGAGTACCGCAAGTGGAAGAGTGGGTACCTCCTCTCTCTCTCTCTCTCTCTTTCTTTCTTTTTTTTCTTTCTTGGTTGATTGTATGTCTTATTGATTAATTGATTGATTATTTGGCTCATGGCTCAATTGATTGATTATTGGCACATGGCTTCTTAAACTAGCTCACCAGAGTACCCTCAGGGGTTCCCAGACTTTTAAGTTAATTGATTGACTGTCACATTGCTTCTTAATTTGGGTTTTCCAGAGTACCCTGGGGTTCCCAAACTTCTAATTTAATTGATTGACTGATTGGCACATGGCTTCTCAAACTGGGTTTTCCGAAGTACCCTCAGCCGTTCCCAAACTTCGAAGTTCTCCTGATCAACTCGGCTCCTTAGGATTTTCCCAGTTTAAGCAATGTTCTAGCGAATCTAAGCCATCCGTTGATGCATAACTTTGTGCCAAACACACTCTAGTGCCTGCATTATAATTTATTGTTTACAAGGTCTGAAGACCTGAGCACTTACTTATTGCATCAATACCAAGATCAAGTGGTATTTCGTGGCTGTCATTGAAGGCATATTAGCATTCCTTGAGATTGGGAAGATTGAGAATCATCGATATCACAAATTGAGTGTTTAAATCAGTAATATTGCCGCCCGCAGAGCCGAGAAAGCAACTCTTGGTCACGGTCTTCTAGAAGATTCCCGTTCATTCTCGCACCAGACGTAACTTTCCCTCTGCTTTGTTATTCTTGAAAGTGCCAGCTCATCCTCGCCTTGAGCGCGCGACGCTCAAGCCTTCTTTGCCGAACTTTCGAGAATAACAAAGCAGAGAGAAAGTTACGTCTGGTGCGAGAATGAACGGGAATCTTCTAGAAGACCGTGACCAAGCGTTGCTTTTTCGGCTCTGCGGGCGGCAATATCAAGAAAGATGGGACAAACATACTTGGTCACCTTTTCGTGGTCGACTCAAATGGGGCAGTCAAGAAGGAAGGAGTAGCACTGGCTCATTTAGTTCCGTGATTGGTTGGCTAATTGCAAAAGCTGGTAATGGCTTGCGAGTTAGGAAGGTTTTAAGATCACTGAAGGATGTACAGACTGTAGTGAAAGGCCAGCAGTTCTGCATCTAATCAAGGGTAACGGCGAGCCGCAGCACATTTTTGTTACATTGTTTCTCTGTATTAAAAATAAATTTCAGCAAGTCGGGCTTTTCAGATTGTGTAGTGTTCTATGTGGTGCTTCATGTTTGTTCAGCAGTAACCGTGTCTCATGCTGCGTCTGTTTTCATGGCCAGCTATGAGCAACGAAAACGACATCATTGCTCACTTCTCGCAGCAGGGAACGCCCCATCTGTTCCTCTGGTAAGTTGCTTCCACCCTCCTTTCCTGCTAATAGAATCACGATCCTTAAGATAAAATCTCCCGAAACCCTCAAAGTGTTGATGGAAAAATTTATAATAAAAAAAAAAAAATAAGTGGGGAAAGGTAAAAGAGAACATGCTAGAGAAAAAGTCACTTAAGAAAAGCTTTACTAAATTGTTTCTTTGCAGATCAATTCAATATTCCTACAAACCAATATGGTTCCACCAAAATCTTTAGCATGTGCAGGTGTGGGTATTACTCGTTCCTGTGCTTTGGTCACTGCAAATACTGGCAAGAATCTGAACTATTACAAAAAGCTATGTTCTTTTTGTTTTGTTTATTTCACTGAGCATCCGAAATTTGTTCACGTTAGAGTACTCTTTCTTTTTTTTTTTTCCCTCTGCCATACTGCTGTGCCCCATGCACAAGCTTTATTGGCTTGTGTGAAAATTGAGCAGTAAAATGTGAAAAAAATGAATAAAAAGGAATAAATAGTATTGTATTGATGCAGCAGTGAGCCGTTTTTATCTCGCGATATGTTCCTCCTGCAACATCCCCGCTATTTTGTCTCTCCAGCCTCCTGTGGAAGATGCTGCTCGAAAACGACCGGATCAGTCCACTGGCCTACAAGCAAGTAGCATTTGTCGCTCGTTTACTGACGTCATAGATGTCAATATAGGCTAGATGTAGCCTATATCAAGTAGATATAGCCTATAGATACAGGCTATGGACGTCATAATGGTGCATTCGCTCAATTAGGGAACAGACTGTTCAAGGCCAGCATATTGTCTATGTCTCTGTAGAGCGTACAGATAGATTGTTAAGAGTGTTGAGATTGATGGCATAAGCCTATAGTCAGTGACAAGGTCTAAAAAATTTTCCTTGGCTAGGTTCTAGTTACGAAAAACATCACTTTCATTGGCACAGTGTCGGCGGTACGTGTCTCTACTCCTCGACGTTTCTTTTTGTATAATCCATTTCAACTTTAGTGTAGAACGCTGTCCAAGCTGTTGGCGCAAGTGCATGGCTTCTTGACTTCTCATTTGTGCGAGAGCACATGCAAATGAACCCCAAGGTCAAGGTTTGCACCACCAGCTTTGACGTCCCCTTGTTCTAAAGATGAAACAAAGTATGGATCACTAATTAGCTCACACTCTTTGCGGTGTAGCAGCTGCTTGAGCATTGCACATAAGCAGTGCCTTTTTGATTGGGTTGGCACGGCGCAGTCAAAATCTGGGCGGTTTTTGTGGCATCATGCAGGATCCTGGACAGGATTGGTGCCCGTGCTCTTTCGTCTCACCTGCGGACGTTCGCCGACTTTCTGGTGTTCGAGGTGTCCAACACCGTCGGCGGGCAGCATGTCAATAAGGTAGGCCTAATTGGTTACGGTCTTGGAGTTTACCAAGAAACCGATGCAGTCGGACAGATGCAAAAAAATATTGACGAGCTTTTTTGCTCTTGGACATTGTTTGCTAGCTTGTGGAGTCTCATTGGAACCATTTTTGATTTGACCCGTATTTGTCGGCGGTGGATAAGTTGACTTATTTTCTTACCCGAACCCAGGTTCGATTCAGGAAACCCTCTGACCAGAAGCAAAAAATGTTGGTTCAGTGAAATATGAAAATAATTTTTGCATTCAGGGAAACTCAAGCTCAGTACCTCAGAATTCTACTAAACATAAAATTTGCTCCTGACAGAGGGAGATCCTACTTTCTTTTAGAAGCATTAGGTTGACGTGGCATTGGTGTGCCAGTGATGTGCACTCCCACTATAGGGGCCAAGCTGCAATAGTGAGAGGAATTGTGTGAAGTATGACAGGGTCGTTTGTATAAGTTTTCGGTTATCCAGTCTCTTCATAACTGTGATGAAACGAAAGTGCAAATTAGCAAAGTGTTCGACTTTGGGTGCTGATTTGGATCTAAATTTTTGCTTTTTTCATTTGGTGTTTTGAGGACATGATTGAAGTCAAAAAGCAAAATTAAAATGGGCCTCCTCTTTTTCCTATTACATTCTTAGAAGAAAGACACGCAACAGTTTTTCTGTTCTTTCAATTTGAAATATGGAAAATGAGCCATATTGTATCCAGAACACAACTGTCTGGCTTATGCCTGCGTGCGTACTGGCTCATTTGCTGCCGTGGACCAAGTAGACGAATTAAAGGCCCCCACATACTTGTGTTGCAGTGCATCGACGCCCTCAACGACCTCATCTGGAAGTACCACGTCATCTCGCTCGACAGGCTCATTCTCTGCCTCGTAAGTGCATTCCAGCATTTACGCGTTTCACGAGAATATTGGGGTTTTTATCACCTTGTCTTTTGTTTACTTAGCGCCAACGTAAAATGTGGTGTGGTAGCTTATACGGCATTGCGGTAGTGAAACGTGTAAGGATTCAATTACAATAACTTCACTGATTGTAACAAACTAGAACTTGCATTTTGTTGCAGGGCTCATGAATGTTAGTGACACGACTAAGTTTCATTCCTTCTTTCTGTGCAGGCATTGCGAAGCTTCGAGGGAAACGAGATTCAAGTGTGCTTCTTCATCATTCACCTGCTCTTGATCCGGCCGCCGGAGTTCAAGAGTAGGGTTCTGGACTTTGTCAAGGATGTGAGTGAACCCGCGGTCGCATCTCTTCGCTCGTGCGCTGTCAGGGATGACGAGGCGGTCTCTCTTGACGGGCACGTCACAGAAAAGCACCGCATGTTGTTTTCTAACCCGTTCCAGAACTCTCCGGAGCATTGGAAGCAGACAGACTGGCACGAGAAGCACCTGACCTTCCATCGGGTTTGTCTATTGTTTGACTTTCTTACTTCCGTTACGCTTTTTCTCGATTGCCCGCAGCCTCTGTAGTTTGTGTCAAAGACTTAGAATACCGCTGTCCATAGTATCCGTCGTGCAATCGAGAACTTTGTTTGTTTGTCAGCATCGATTTGGGTTGTAGATACTTGTTAACAAAATTTCCAAGGAGGCTAAAACCTAAAAGTATTTTGAAATTATAAACTTGCAAACCCTCAAAATGGTTTTGCCGAGGCATTTGTCTTGACAGAAATACGAGGCAGTGAGGGAACCGATCAGTCTGGCTTTCTGGTTCGTCGTTTTTGCAAAACGTAATGCCACTGCAGCCTGTAGTATTGTTTTCCTACAAAACTATAAACTCCTGGTGGAAGGTTTTTCTATTCACGAGCTGATTTAGACCTGATAAGTGTGATTCAGTATGTGTAAGTGGCTCATAGCTGCACTGCCTCTTGTTTGCCTTTCAGAAGTATCAAGAGAAGTTCTACTTTGAAGGCCTGCAGGACCTCAGTGGGCAGAGCCAGCAGCACACATACCTGCCAGTCTACTTCGGAAACATCTGCCTGCGCTTTCTGCCTGTGAGCAACATTCCTTCTTTCATTCATTCTTTGCTTAGTTTATATGCTCGCGAAGGCCTCGGTAGTGAGGCACAACAGGTAGATTAAGGTTAGGCAAAAACACTGACAACACCTCAGAGTGAATCTAGGCTATGATACCACTCAAGTGGATCAAGCAAGGGCTGCTCTGTTAGGCTCTAAAAGCTTGGTTTTGAAATTTATCGCAATGCTATAGTATAGCCAAACTTTGGAGCGATTAGGAGAAAGCACTAAACTTAAGATTAGCTTTTTTTATTTTTCAGGAAATAATCATGTGTATATGTTCCTTCTCTCTCTTTTCTGATATGCAATTTAGAGTTAAGATACCTTATTTAGTTTTCGTGGTGGAAGATAAATACTAGGGCCTAACTAGGTCATCTTTTTCTTGGTCGTTAAATTTTTACTTTTTGAAAATATTAATAGTAGGCAGATGAGCATGGCTGAAGTTAAAATTTAAATGCAGCCTTAATCTTAAATAGCTCTATAAAAATGAGGAAAAAAAAAGGAAAATATTGGCAGTTATCTTTGTCTTTAAAGCTTTTCAATGCATAAAATTCAGTATTTCAGGAGCAATCGTTTAGAGTTGTTTAGAGGACACTGAAGGGTCATTTCGGGGAGTGAAGACAAACCCTCTTTTGTATCAGTTTTCCTGCTAATTTTAGTGGGAAAACTGACTTACACGGGTCACATGACGTGAACCTCCCTGCGAAATTTAGCGGAGAAATAAATTGCTCTATAAGCACGCGACGTAAGGTCACGTGACTTCAGTTGTTGCACTAAATTTAACGGGAAACTGAATTGGTGTTTAGGCCACATCAATTTTCCCACTGTATTTAGCGTGGAGGCTGAATTGTTTTATAGGTCAAGTGACTTCAAGTCGTGCGACGTCAGTTTCCCCGCTGAATTTTGCGGGAAATTTGTGGACAGACGGACAAAATTTTGGAACTGGGAGGTTCATTAAAAAGAATTTCCCACCTTAAAAGGATCCACACTCTTCAGCCTTTGTGTTGCTCAGATTTTTCCGCGTCGACTCTGTTCTGCCGGCGAAGGCCCGACCTCTGGGGGGTGTGCAGGTGATGGACATTGTGATCCACCGGTTCCTCGAACTGCACCCCGTGGCTACCATCTCGGTGGAGTCTCTGCTGGAACACCTCGGCTGCCTCTACAAGTTCCACGGTGCGGGAGCGACTCTTTCCTTCCGCACAACGAGCCAAGGACGTACCAAGTGCAAATCGCTTATCCTCCATACCTAAGTTCTTCTAACAAAGTTGAAAAGAAAAAGTAACTTTAACCCCTTAAGTGCCTTGGACGAGCTGAGCTCGTCGGCCACTTTCTGGCTAAAAATGCCGTGGATGAGCCTAGCTCGTCCAATGGTTTTTTTCGGTTGCCCTCAATTCCACAAACGAGCTCGGCTCGTCCGAGTAGTTTTGCGGCGCTGATCATAGATGGCAGCGCTTGTATTAATTGGCAAATATTTTTTTCGCCTCCGCTGATTTTTGCGTAATAAACCTTCCAAATTTTATGTGTAATACTAGAGGAGTAAAAATTCAAAATAAAATAAATTTGGCAATTTTAGGTTACTTTTGGGAAAAAAAATTTGCCACTTAAGGGGTTAATTAATTTTATTAGAGTTCTAACAGCATTCTTTTGTCTGCACCGAAGTAAACACCAGCTACACCGCTACACTGTGGCAATTAGCGAGCCAGGAAAGATATGGAAAAGATTATGCCCATTAATTTAAATGCTTATAATTTGTAGACATTGAGGAATGGGAGAATAGCATATCCCGCAATGGCGCATCGTGGTGAGAAATAGTGTACATAATTGTGTCTCGTTAATAATATTGCTTGGTGGTGTTTTGATACACCCTGTGAGCAGCGAAGCTATACTCCGCCTCACAAGTGGTGTGCAGCGCTACGAAAGCTACACTAATGAAATTGTAGCTCTACAAAAGACTTTTTCCATAGATAGTCTTGCAAGAAAAATACTTTCGAAAACTAGATGCTCGTGCCTGTGCTTCTCACAACACTAAAAATACAGCTATCATCTTTATTGTGTGCTTCAATTTCCGGTCTATTTTGTTCATATTTGGCTCGAAACGGACGTTGGTGGATGGCCGACATTGTATTTTGATGGGGCATGCACCGCAACCAGATTTGCTATCCATTGTGGCATTTATAAAAGAGTCAGTCATTGCTGCAGATGTGCCGGTCATCCTTTTAAAGTTAGAAGGCCTTTCAGAAGTCGGAACATGCGTCCACATTCAGCAAATTTTAAGTCTTCTGTATTTTATCCTTTCCCCCCCTCTCTGTTTTATTGTTTTATGTATTCATATTTAAATTGAACGCAGCAAGAAAGAGGTAGCTGTTACGGAAAGTATTCAATCGGTTAACATTGTTTCTTGCTTGTCTTTATGCTGATAACTGTGTGACTGTTAAGGCCCGTTCACACTCTTGCGACTGCTTGCGACCTCTTAAACCTGGGTTCCTTAAAACTTCTTAAACCAGAGAACACACTGGCGCCATCTATTGGGAAGCAGTGTAAACTCGGCGGTCCGGCATATTTTTTTTTATTTCTCGCGCAATATCCTTTCTTTTTTGGGTCGAAAAACTTTTGTCAATGTTATAAACGAGCCTTTCTATGGGTATTACGCACATTTGACCTCGGAAATCCCGCAAAACCTTCGCTTTTGTGAAATGCAGTTCTAGGGTCACCGCATAGATGGCGCCACAATGTCAGTGTGTTCCCTCATTCTAGAAACATTTAAGAAGTTGTAAGAGATCTCGTCGCTCTCAGTCGTACTTGGTCGCAAGAGTGTAAACGGGCCTTTACTAAGAAAAAACTCCACTAGATATTTCAGTGATGCTGGGGATCTCGCTGGAAGCAGTAAAAACAGGTCTTCTGAGAACCTGTACTGACGACAAACTGGAATTTTTTATACAGCAGCGAGGAGTCCATGCAGATGATGAACATGTAGCATACTCTTCATTCTACTATTTGAAACAACAGCATACTTCTGCATGCCTAATACATGTGCAGTGTATCCTGCCACTTTGCTTGACATAGCAGAGTTTGATTGCTGACCTAACGACGGGATCTTCTTTTGCAGACCGGCCGCTGACGTACCTGTATAACACGCTGCACTACTACGAGCAGAAGCTCAAGGACAGACCTCCGCTCAAGAAGAAGCTGGTTGCTGCCATTACAGGTGCGGCATTGCGATATCTTAATTGCCGGATTTCGTGTACTCTAAAACCTCATTATAACGCAATCGGCTACAGTGAAAAGGGGATGTAACGAAATGCATATCTGGGAAAAAGCATGGTTTTTGTTTTTCAGGCTTCAGAGTGGAGACAACCTTTGTTGCACGTGTGCCTTCGATGCGTGTGGAAGCGGAAATATATTCCATAACCGACCTCACTTTTGTGGGCTCGATATTTCGTAAATTTTGTAAAGGGTTAGGAAAATATTTTGCGGGCACGAGATTCTGCAGTTGCGAGCACTATGCCACGTATTTGTTACCATGTGGTGATGTGTATCCGCGTGATCTGTTATATTTGAAATATTGTTTTAGGCCGAAAATTTCGCAAAAATTCGCTCTTCACAAAAAATAAGTTTTCTCTTTGTGACAAAATTCAAAAATATTGCGGAACATATATCGTGCAAATGTGTTACCCAGTGCTTACGAATGCATGGCGCACCATTAACAATTGCGAAATGTGCTCATAAAATATTTCTAAATCCTGCAAATTTTCAAAATATTGAGCCCACAAAGATATGCCGTTTACAGCATCTATTTATTTCTAAAGTGAGCCAAATTCATGGGTAGGCTGAAAGAGAGGCAAAAGCTTTTCTTTTACATGAAGCTTCACAATATTTTTAAAGTAATAAACACCTAAAAATACCTACGTTTCTGACAGACTGCAAGTGATCAGGATGAATGCCAAGCTTTATGCTAATTTTTCAAAGGACTGCGATCCAAAGAATTTTAATACTATATCAAATAACAAGATTTCATAGGAAACTAAGTATTGTTTTAAACAGTCAGATTGACACCAATATCAACTTTAAATTTAAATGAAATACCGCATTTCTAACTGTGAACCTTTGTGCACTTTTAGTGGTAAATGATGAACTTCTACACAAGGTTTTTTGTGCTTCACCGCAAAGATCCCCACGGGAGTTATCGGAGGTTTTGCGATCAATGCAGGGTATATACTATGTGACGTACCTCGTCACTGGTTGCCTTGGTCGTACTCACACGCAAGAAATCTCTTAAACGCTTTATTATTTCGCGTACCCGCGTGCAGTGGTATTGCTCCTGTTGCTAAGCCTCGCGTTCCGCACGACGACTCCATCTTCCTCGCCCCGCGTCACCACTCCCACCCGCGGCCGCTGCGCCATCTCTCGGGCTTGGCGCGAAACAGTTAGTGATTGCCCATGTTATTCGAGAGGTTACGTGCATGCATATGTGCGCTTCCCCTAACAACTAACAAGGTGCATTTGGTGCTCCGACAGGATCGCTAAAGGACATACGTTCTGGCAACTGGGCGCTGAGTGAAGCCTACCTGGGCTACCTCCAGCGCTCAGCGGAGGACACGGCGTGGGTGCCGGAACTGGACTACTACATCAGCCTGGTCGGCAGAATGGCAGACAGTATCCTTGGGAGGCTCTTCTTGGGGTCACCGTGGCAAAAAACTTTCTTTGGGCTATTGACCTACAGGATGGACAGGGAAAAAACCTTCGGTGGTCGAGAGTTCTGACCACTGCAGGGACTTTTGATCGGAGAATTCCAGGTGGATTCATCTGACCCGGAGTCAGATACATCTGCCGACGTTTGGAAAATATAATTATAGTATTGACTCACTATAGCGGACAGACCTTGATAGTTATGAAGATTTTGGTCTTGCAGAAGGGGTATGCGGAACACAGATACTGTTACTAGTGCAGACTTTGAGGTGGATTATGAATGAGATCTTTTCTCACCAGTGAGACTGGCGAAATGTGAAATGGATATTAGGGAAGAGCTGGTGTATCGAAGCTTCTAAACTTTGAAAGGTGGTGATCTTTTATTGAGCTGTACCGACCATCGTCATGACTGCACTGTTTTAATCATACGAGGCTCGCTAGGTGCCGAGCGCAATGACGGCAGCTCACAAAATGGGATGCCACCGATACCGAACCAATGCCGCAAAATGTCTGGAATACTGACTGCTGTCGAAGAGCCTGCTATAATGGAGTGGTCATCTGCTTACAAAATTTCTAGTATAGCCCACTATATCCAAATGTATGTTATAACAGAATCTGTAATATGCAAGGTTGAAGTTGGCTGGCTCAATGGGATAGGCAAGGAGACCAACCAAACTTCACAAATCGGTATGTTATAACCGAAAGTCTGCTGCAGCGAGATCTGTTGTAATGAGGTTATACCGTACTGCCCTCCAAGATGCTGTGCGCCATTACTTACCCAATCTTAATGCTTCATGTTGTAACAGTCGGCATTTCTTCGAGCAGTCACAATACTCGGACCGAAGATAATCTCCATCAATGTTGCACCGATTGTTGAAACCTCACCTCACAGATGGCGCCAGCGTGCCACTGTGTTCTCTCGTAGTAAAAAGATAGCTAAAACTAGGTCCTGAGCAAATGCAAATGTGTGAACAGGCCTTTAAAAGTTGAGCGAACACAGTGCCTGCAATTGCTCACCGTGCAAGACTGCGTAAAACGCTCCACGAGCTTGCCCCTTGACTCTGCGCTTGTCAGCCATGGCGGGCAAGTCCCCGTTCCCGCACACGGACTGGCGCTTCAACGAGTTCCCCAACCCGGCGGCGCACGCCCTGCACGTGACCTGCATCGAGCTCATGGCGCTTCCCGTCGCCGCTGCCGTCGTCGGAAACAACCTTCTCGACGTCGTCCTCAAGGGGTGCGTGCACTCGTGTCGCATCCCACCTTCTTTTGTCTATTCCTTTTGTCTATTCCTTGAGTGTTCCACAAAAAAAAAAAAGTGTCATTTTTTTTATTGTTAAAATAAACTGCGCATTGCCAAACTATCGCTCTCTGCCAAAATGTAGCCCTCGTGGTTCGAACCGGTTGCCAATGTTTCAGAACTAACCGTCATCTCGTTCAAAGGCACTTAGAGCCACTAAATGAGCTGCGCTTAGAGTATCGGCACTCCGTTTCCCGACATTGTTGTGGGTGCCACCATTTTGGTCGCTCGTATGCAGAGCAGACAAAACTACCGATCGTCCTGATTTAGAAGTGCGACTTCCTCAGCAGTAGAATTGGTGTTAGAAAGGTCATGTAATATTGTTTTGCTCTGTCGCGACCCGTTTAAACATTTGTGGAGGGCGGAAAAGCGTTTCCTGTGATTTCAGATAACTAGCAACCATGATTTTAAGACGCAAAATGGCCAAGTGTCGACACTCTGAAGCGTAGCTTATTTAGTGGCACTAGCTATACTAAGTGATATCCGAAATTTCTATCGGGAGAAGGGCGGCCGAAAGAGCCCTCGATTACATGGAACATAATGGCGCCAGTTACTGAGAACCACCTTCCCATTGAAACTTTCAGAAAATCACTTTTAGCTTAATAATGAGATGGCGGTTCTGAAACTTTGGCATAGTTCAAACTGCTAGCGCTACATTTGGGCAAAGAATGATCGTTGAGCAATGCATAGTTTTTTTTTTTTTTTTTTTTTTTTTTTTTTGCAGTGAAAAAGCACTGTAAATGTGTTTTGGGGGACATGCTGTATGATATGTACTCCTTGCATTTTTTTTTATTTGTGTACACTGCTGCATCTGTGTACTTGTTATACTTGTTCCTGTGGTGTTGTTTTTTGCGGTGTATTTTTTTTTATATTAAGAATAACCCGCTTAACTAGGGGGGTTGCTTGTTCTTTTCCACCCTGTCCTATTTACTGCTTCGACGTTATGTTACCGTCTGCCTTTAAGAACAAAAATCTAGTCGGAAAATCTTCGGAGACGACAATGAGATTAAACCTTCTATAGGGAAGTCATTTCCTTTGGGTCCCCTAACGTTTTTTCCCTTATTCTTTTGTCTCAATGAGTTCTTAGTGATGTTGATGGTTAGATTTGTTTTTAATAAGCCTGACTGATCTTGATCCTTTTAGTACAGGCTTCTTACACAAATATTCAACGCTGCCATGTTTCATCCCCATTTGCTTTTCTGACTCATCCAACCAAATATTGTGGGTGGAGTTTCACTGGACAGGACGTCTCACCCGCTAAGACCGGAAGACTGGGTGGAATGTCTTTGTAGGTGGTTGTAGATCGCCAGCCTCTTTTAACACGGAATGTATTTTATAAGTCAGTTGCCATGAGAAAATTGCCACGAATAAGCGTCATGATTGGACATCATGAACGAGTGACACACTGGGAGTGTTACACAACTTTAAGGTTATATATAAAGTTAATATGTAAAGTTTGAGCCCCAGCAGGGCTGAGACTTGTGGCGGTGCGGTGCCAGTCGGATACTATAGCCACTAAGCTGTATGGCACAGCTGGTCTGGAAGGACTACGTTCCCGGCAAAACATGCCGGCAAGAGCGGTGTGACGTCACAGCATGTGACCATTTGTTTCATTGACATCACGCATCACGCAAGAGCCATATAAGGTGGCACCCGTTTGGCACACTCGTTCGCTTTGTCTCAAGCTGGCCAACATCTTTGTTGCATGATGAAAAAATTTGGCTACATGTTTGGTGATTCTGCCAAAGGTGTTTAAAGGCAGTGGCTTTATAGGGTGGGTGGTGCTCTTAGTTTGGGTAATGCCTAGGACAGGGTTTTGTATGGAAACAGGTTACATCACACCATTGTCTCTTTGTGACACTGTGCACACTTCCCTTCAGCACTACCCGGATACAAAACCTTTGTGCTGAATTTTCTGGGTCACCAAGAGACGGGAAGCATGCCTTCCTGCCCTTTCCACTCCTCGTAAAGTGCAATCTTTCTATGCCACCTGTTTCTGCTCCTCTTTTTTGCCCTTTCTTCCTCTCTCTGCTTCTCACACTTCTTCACACCACCTGCTTCTGCTCCTCCCATTCCTGCATGCTGGGTCCGTAGCTCGGTCAGCACTGCAGTCGGCATCCACGTCGGTGACCAGGCTTCAATCCCTGGCACAGGTTGCCATTTTTTCTTTCTTTTTTTTTCAAGATGGTTCAGCGGTTACAGACTGACCGACCTACAGTTTTCATGCTTACGTGGCTCTTGAGGTTGGTTGGCACTCAAAAACTACCAATTTAGTCTAGCTCAAACAACCATGCAGAGAGTGTGGTTTGTACTGGTGTCCTATGCAGTGTGCAGGACCTATTTTCTACTTCCTGGTCTTTGTCAACATAATCAAGTGAAAAAGTATTTTTACATGGTGGCAGCTACTAGCATGGATAAAATGAAGGCATAAAGGACATTCTCATTCTGTACACTTAACAGTGTGTTTGTTTCTCTTCTCTCAGGCACACAGTGCTCCCACGGGGTAGCATCGAAAACTGGATGAATGCCATTGGCCTGATCCTAACTGCCTTGCCGGTAAGTTCGCCGTCGAGAAATCTCAGAATTTAGGACGATACATTTTCTATGCCTAACAAATGCTTGAGACAGCATTTCATTTCTCTATCAGGTTATTTGTAAGTTTGCAATTACCCAGGGGTCTTTCAGGCACCAAAGGCTCTTGATGCTGAGACTTTGGCTGCTTATGGGTCCAAAAATTAAACGATAGGTCTTTTGCCAGAATATTCCAAGCACCGAAGAGAATTCTGGGAGCGTAGTTGCGCGTGCTGGCGTCTGCAGCAGTCGCCGTTCTAAACCCGATGAGAATGGCGCATGCCCTTTCCCTTTTTTACCCCAGCAATTCCGTTATAATGCCCGGACGTCAGTACTAGATAGCACTGCAGTCTAACAAAATGGCGCCATGCAGAGAGCCCTTAGTGGGACAATCTATAGCGAACAGCAAAAGACGACGCACCCTTGGACCTTTTGCCGAGCGGCCTCTTCAGTGCCGGTCTTGGTTTCTACCAGGAGCCGTACTGGGCCGTGCTGAGCGATCGGATCCTGTCGGCCCTCCAGGGCCCCAACCTGCAGAGCGGCTCGGGAGGCCAGAGCATCTTCCAGCTGCTCAGCTTCTCCTCCAACCACAGCAGCATCACGGAGGTCCAGTGCTGCTACCTCATGGCGCTGGTGCACGCCGTCTGGTACCACGCCAGCATTGGACAGATCAGCCAGATTCCCCTGTGAGTGGGCCGGTCGACGGCGTCGGGGGCTCGCCCGAGCGATCGGTTCGACGGTCGCCGATGGAACGAGAATTGTGGGGCGTCTCTTTTGGACCCCCCGTCCTTCGCTTTAGGCATCAGCAGTTCCAGATAGTTGTTGAGTTGCTCACATCACTGTAAAGTCGTGCAACTAATGTTGGAACTACCCACCGTGAGAGTGCCATGTAACTGTTGAGTGCCCTTTTTTACATTCTTTTCTAAAACGGGTCCTTGCGTAAAAAATGTCCGTGTCTATTTGTGTGCTCCACACTCTGCATGCCTTGCTCTGTTTGGACACAGTAGGGTTGCTCTTTCGTGTACTTTCAGCTTTGTTGGAGTTGCCCTTCGGTGCGTGCGTTTAAAAACACTAAGGCAAGGTGGTGACAGTCGCCAGCCGATTCTTTACCCATCCGTTATCTGGGATTAAGTTTGTATAGAGTAAATGAAGTGATGGAGCGGTGCACTTTAATTCGCCACTGGCCTTTGGCACTCTAATAATATGTAAAAGAAGGGATGACCCAAGCACATCTTGCACACGAAAGATGTGCTTGTCTTGCGCATAAAAAATGTGCTTGTGTCATCTCATGCCTTATGTGTGTTTATTCCTCTTGTGTTCTACGACTCCCACCAACATACTTATGAGTTCATTTGAGCCGAGGTTATCTTTCAAAAGCTCTCTTTATACATTTCCGATTCAATCTAAGCATGGTGGTTTCGGTTCAGGAATGGAAAGCTCTCTGCTTTCAGTAGGGCAGCATCTCAGATCAAACAACATGGTTTGTAAGGGCAACCTTTGGCCTTTGGCACTTCGGATGGAGGTGTTCTTTAAATCTTTGACCAGGACATTTTCTTTGCAGGATCATGAGGGAACGCTTCAAGCCCGTTGTGAAGACTGAGGAGCAGTTCCTCTTCCTCTGCCATCTGGTGGCGCCTTTCTTCCAGCGCATGTCCACGGAGCGGACGCGTTTCATCATGGACGTGAGTTTGGAGGAAACCTCGAGATGCTTGGGAAATTCTGGAGCGAAATCTGGAGCTGATAGGGAGTTTTAGGGAAGAGCTTGAACTGGGGGGAGACCAGGGAGAACTGGCTGGTCAGAAAATGTCGGGGGAAAATTGGGGGCTCTTTTGAGAACCTAAAGAGACGATCTGAAACTCCTGGGAAATTTCTGGGGAAAGTTGGAACCGACCAGAAAATTTGAGGCAAAATCTGGATTTTAGGGGGAATCGTTAGGGAAAGCTTGAGCTTGGGAGTTACCAGGGAGAAACTTTGAGTAATTTATATGGAAAATCTGGAGGTGGCATAGGATATGAATAGAAGTTAAACAGCTAAGATATTTTGGCAAAAATCAGGAATTGAAGAATTGATTTGTTGAGACTTTAAGAATGGAGTGCAAAATCGAAACTATCGGGAAAGTTGTGGAGAATCGAACTATAAGTAAATTTGAGGCAAAATATGTAAATGTCAGGAAATATTAAGTGAAATCTTCAACTGTTGGTTACTTTTAAAGTAAGTTTTAAAATGTCAAATTTGTTTTCATAAAACTTAGGATTTTTAGAGAAGACCTTCAACTATCAGTAAATTTCAGTGATGAACTGAGACTTTCGAAATTTTAGGCAATTACTTGCACAGTTGAGGACTTTTTGCAAGTCTGAAAAAAATTATTTTCATTGTTTTTGGCTGGTTCAAGTACATTGAAATATAACTATATTGAAACTAGCTGATATTATTTTTTTTTAATGTTACGAGTCCTTTTCTTTTAAACAATGTAACATTTTATCAGGGAGACAATTGAGTTTTAGCAGCCCCCTATAGCTGATGGAATTGAGTATGCATATTTAGTGATTAGGGTTGTGCCAATATTTGATTTTTCTGATAGTAGTTTGGAACAATACAGTATTCGGTATATTTACTTCGCGGTGAACTGCGATATTCACATCTTTCGAAGTGTTGATTGAGGCGGGTTAGCCCCGTTAAGGGTGCTTCTCAGCGAACACCTGTGTATTGCGGGGAAGCAGTATCTGCGGAGCTCGCGGGTACTGCTTTCCCACAGTGCACAGGTGCTCGCTGAGAAGCGCACTCAACGGGGCTAACCTGCCGCGAGTATGCAAGGTTATATGTTAGGCAGCAACGTTTGGATAGCCCGCATGCATCATTCATGCACATCTTTTTTGTGGTCAAATTAAAAAAAAATATAGAAAGAATGTTTGCATATAGCAAGCAGATTTATAGATCACCTCAATTAGGATAACTGCAACACATTTAATTAACAGAGCTTAGAAGAGCTTGTAGGAACTATTTGCTCATCGACTCGAAAATATTTGGCCAAAGTCACTCAATTAGGATAGCTGCAACACATTTAATTAACAGAGTTTAGAAGAGCTTGTAGGAAGTATTTGCTAATCGACTCGAAAATATTTGGCCAAAGTCACTATCTGCTTCGAATTCGCTTTGGACTCAAAATCCACTATTTGCACTTCACAAACTACCACACACGTCATCATATATGTGCTACGTAAGAATCGGGCAGAAGTTATTTTATTGTATGTGTACTTTGGCTCGCAGAAATTTGGTAGCTAGCCAAGTGCAAATGGATGACTGGCAATTAGCCTCAGCCTGGTGTAAGTGACATCCAGTTGACACCAACCGGATGTAGCTTCCAGCAGCAGTCTTCACTGCCAAGATTAGAAATTCTAGGGGCAGCATGCACGTTAGACACAGAAACGTAAAAGAGGATTCCTGCGTGCCATGTGCAGGGAGTTGCTCCTTTCTGTGTGGTTGCATGGATACTTACTGAAGGGGGGAGGGTTGCCTCCCTAAATCCTCTTAAAGCAATGTTTCATAAAAAAAAAAATTAAAAAGATCTACAGTCGCTTTTTATTTGAAGCAATGTTTAGTTTTTGGTGAAATGGCAAATATGAGTTCGACAAAATAGATCTGGGCAATGCTTTGCTTGTGTTATCATGTCGGGTAGCTATACACAGGATATGTTTCTGCGGAATTCTTTAGGGTTTGTAATAAACATTACAGTTTTGGGGGGTTTTCTTGGTTATAGTGCGTTACTTTAGTTCAATCCTTTTTCGTTGCGACGGTGGGCACGTCTTGCATTTCTTGCTTCTCCCCATGAACTGTTCAAACTCGAATACTGGCATTCGAGTTTGAACAGTTAATAGAGATAAAAAGTCAGGCTAGCTTTGCGTCTACCCGTTAATTAGCGCAGTGGTAGAATGTCGAGCTCACAATCATGGGGTTGTTGGTTCGATTCCCGTTGGGGCGCGTTTAGAATTTCCTCTAAAGCGTGTGTTACACTTTCTTCGGGGATCCAAACCCTTAAACAGGTTCTGCACTAAAACACATAGTATTATTCAACGACACATGATAGCTTCCTTTCGAGGCGTCCAGTCTAAAAGGAACGCATGACATTCCGAAATTCGTAGCACGACATCCCACTGCACAGGTGTCGCATTCATGCGACACCTGTGCCTTGGCCATGCTTAGCATCCAATGCGATTGTCTGGTCATTTCAGATCACCAAGGAGTTGTACGAGATGCTGGAGAGCGTGGACAAGCACTGCGAGCAGCTCAACTACATCGACCAGATCACAGACCTGCTGTATCCTTTCTCTCGTGCGAACGACTTGCTGCGTTCCTTTTTTCTGCAGTGCAGGCCTGCTCGAGGCTGGTTCACACGTTTGCTACTGCTTATTACCGGAGAGGCTTATAAACCGGTTGTGGCACAGCCAGTCGTAGTCAAATGCAAGTGTGTGAACCAGCTTTTAGGAGAGCATTACCTAAAGTATGAACAAACTGCCGCCTAAACAAATACTTGATTATAGGTTGACACCCATCAAAATTAAAATAATCAGAACGTCCTTGAGGATAGACCTCTCCAGCGGCAGTCTCGAACGAAGCGATTTACAGCGCACGTTGCTGGTTTTGTGAATGTGTGCGTCATTGTTGCCCGACTGCGCCCGGCTGTGGGTTTTCTCGTCAGTGGGCTGCGGCAGCCTGCGTAGGCGCGATTACGAACACTGGTGGCGGCTAAATTGCCGTGTTTTATATTTTCTTTCGTGTTCAGTGGCGAATAGAATTTCTCTAGGTTTTTAAGAAAGCATTGTACTATTTTTGGGAACAAAAACAAACAAATGAAAGCTATTTATTGTGAGTCCGTGCGAGACAGACCAAATGCAACTTTACTGTTTGTTTCCTTTTCCATTGATTTTTTACGACACCATTCACTCACCCGTGTCAATCTACGAAGATCTTAACTGTCTAAATTATTTGACCAGATAGGATAGCCGAAATACATGGGTATTCCCAGCTCACAACATGAAATTCAATGAGTCTCATCAATTCAACGACATATATTGTACATACCCAACAGTGCTGCGTTATCCAAAAGGGATTTGAGAAAGGTCTCAAATAGCACGACGTATCCAATATACAGTGTCGACGACAGTCACATCACGACAATCGGGTGGAATCGGACTTGTTTTGGGGCACGTTTTGAAGAGCAGTGCTCTTTTTGCACAGCACCAAAGCAAATGAAAGAATGTGTCTATTTTGTCCCAGTACCCTGGACCCGACCCTATCGGATATTTTTCGCAAAGACCAGGAACATGGGCAGCCAAGAAGGCTTTTCGGAGATTATTTAAAAAAAAAATTAATCCCCAAAGAATGTTGAATGCCCTGGGTCCCGGGCTGCTTGACGTTTGCTCTTTGTTCGTTTCCTGCGAAGGCCGTGCAGGCTACGGAGTTTTGGTATTCCCTGGTTCTTGCGGCAGAAGATAATAAAGGGTAAACATCCTGAACAGGCAAATAAAGTAAAAACTTTTAAATAGAGCCAGCAAACTTTGAATGCACAATGCAGGTGGGGAGTCGTGCAGAAATAGTTTCCACAGCTTGGGCGGGTGGTAGAAATTTCTGGCCGATAAGGGTCGCTCGAGTCGCAAAATGGCGGTGGCCAGAGAGCTCTTTTTGCAAAGGTCTGTGGTTGACCTCAAATTCTTAAAAGAAAGGAGTTTGTACAAACCCTTATTAAAACTTGAGTGTCAACTGCGCTTTCTTTTGCTATTGTCCTGTCTAAACTTCCTGGGCGGCCATCTTTTTTAGGTGCTTCATCAACTCGTACGATAATCCCACACCGCCTGGTGTCGCAAATAACGAGATAAATTTCTGCGAGGAGACTCTTTGAAAAATTAAAATGTGTAAAATGTGACTCAAGGGGCCAATGAGCGAAGTCTCACAACCCCGAAAGGTCAAAGGCCGTGGCGAACGTAAGGATTCCCTGACCAAGGCAACGCAGCTACCACATCAAATACATGTTCACGGGGGACTCCGTGAAAGCGGACGTAGAGCGGAGCATCCGTAACCTGCGGCCGGCTCTGCAACTGCGTCTCCGCTTCATCACCCACCTCAACATCGAAGAGACCAACGCCTCGTGAAACGTCGGGACCGACGTCGACGCGACGCTGCGAGGAGCTTGGGATCTTGTACGCTTTCCACACACGCTTGCGTGGCGTGAAAGAATCGATCGCGCATTCTATTTTATTTTGTCCACGACTGCACCATTTACATAATCACATTCGAGTTTTTTCTGCAGCGCTCAACTTTGTAACAAGGTGAATACCGCGAAACACCGCCGAGAAAACCATCATGCCACATGGTGCGACCACCTTCGAGGTTCGGACTCTCTTTCGAGAATAAACCAATGCTCGTTGGATGCGTGTTTTGAAAGATTTTTCTATCGTCTCGCCGCTTGTGTAGCTTGGAAGAGGGTCGCCGAGTGCTCTCAAAGTATTTTTCTTAGCAGCTGTCCGGGAACGAGAATGCAGCGACCAAACCAAAACTTAAAAGTCTGCCGAAAGATTCCGTAAGGTAGCGTACAAATGTAGGACTTCTCGTCAATGCGAGGTGCGCACGTTGATTCCGTCTTACCTCGGAGCACAAGCTTTATTCAAATGCCGATGTGCAGTCTTCCCTAGCTTCGTTCGATTTACCCACACCGATGCAGAAAGTGTAAAGCTGCGTACTTCCAGTATGTGCATCGAAATAGGACCAAAAGCACGTCGCCCTACACTTTTCTGAGCCAGTACAGGTAAATCGAACAAGGCTACTAACAACTTTATCGAATTTATAAACGTCATTCTAGCCCTTGGCGCGGACGTACGCGGAGCTGCTTTTGGCGCGACGTAGTCATTTACTGCAAACCTGCCTTCGGTAGACATTTCTTACAGTCGGCACGACACTGGTGCTTCCGGGCAACGGCGAGTCAAGCCGGATTGTTTCGGCACCGTGAATATCGGCCACAATGGCGGTCGAGAGTTGTTCCAACCTGGTTGATTGCACCCAAATGCAAATATGTGAACCAGCCTTTACTATTCTGCCGCAGAGCAGCGATGCCACCGACTCCTGACTGGCCGAGTACTGCAGTGTCCTACAGCTAGAGCAGACGAGAATGGCGTTTAAATCCTTCGGTCGTCCCGCCTCCCAGCGTGAGCTTCCTACCTTCGATAACGCCTCGGCGTCGAGCGCACGCGCGCAGTGGAAGCACGGCGAAAAGCGGTGAGCGCATGCTGGAGTCGGGGCATTTGAAAGAGACGCCTTGCCATTCTCAGCTTGTCAATGACTATTGGTAAGATTATGGGCTCAATGAACATTTGGGAGAAAAGGCCTCTGCAGAAACAGTCCTCACTTACCGCAATATCCCTAGAGATGGCCCATCTAAAATCGGGTGCAAATAAGGAGCAAGGTGACCTTCAGTGTGCGATCAAAAAAAGTTGCAAAGATGCTAGCTTGAGATTTTGTGACCTGCAAAACTTGCGATTATAGGGAGGGGTGATGAACCAAAGACTACTTTCCTTAAGAGTCGGCATTATTCATTTATTCCCCATCCTGGCCAAGTAACACCATTCCTGCTGAGGTTAGTTCGGCCAGGGTCTTGCAATTATTAAAAATGAGCTCTCTTTCGGCATTTTTTTTAATAGAATTTTATGTTAATTTAAGGGGGTGGGGTATCTTTCGGGGGTGGAGCATCTCTTGGGTATTGTGGGGGATATTGTGGTAAGCGTTTTTTTGGCTTCAACCGATTTTGTAGTTCTGACACTGACGGATGTTTACCTATGTTTTTTGGTTAAAAGCGAAGTCTGTAACCTATTTATACGGCATATATTAGGCGATCCATGCATATCTAAAAGACTGTGTGGAGCACAAGTTTGTCTGCTTCTTGCACAGGCGTTGCGATGATGTCGGTATGCTCAGCTATTATTGACCGATCGAAAAAAAATAGTGGGTAGACCTCGGGGCATCTAGGACTGAGGTCTACCCACTATCCTTTCAATCAAAGCCAATCAGAGCTCGGCTTCGTTCTGACGTCACTGCATCTCCCGCTGAAAAGTTGGACAACTCGCCCTCCGCATACTTTGTTTTCGTGCCACGGCTCCTTTATCGTGCCGCCGCTGCCTTCACCTCACCGTCAAAGCAAAAGTTCTTGCAGGGCCCAGCATGCAACGGAAGAATGCGAGAAATGACAGAAGGCGGTTCCGAGCTTGTTCCGCTGCATTTGGATAAAAGAAAAAACAAAAAAACATTCTGGGATAGAGGGTGTTGACGTCGCTACGGTGCCTGTAACACGTTGCCAACTCGTGTGCTTAGCGTCCTTGCTCGGCTCGTGCAACGAAAGTGGCCCCCAAGTGGCAACAGATGACATTGCAAAAGCTGGAGTGTGGTGCTGTCGGACGTTGCGATCTTGACAGTTAGTCGTAGAAGTTCCGGCGAGGAGCACGGGGGAGCGCGAGTGTCGACATCGTCGCAATGTCCGAACTCCCGGCCTCCGAAAGTCCCATGAACCGTCCGACTGGAGAGTGACCCGCAGCAGAATGGACGTCCGCCTCGTACACAACCGCTGCCGACACCTCCAGGGTCATTTGCCAGCAACAGCGTGACACCCCTACGACGTCCTCGGGCAGAAATCGAGGGACCACTTTAAGGATGCAGTAGGCATGACAGTCAAAGACGCGTTGCAGGCGCCGTAACGGTGCGGAGCAGAGTTGGAGTTTCCCCCGGAGGCGTCAACGTGCCTCGATGGACGGCTGGTCCTTGTCGGAGAGGAACATGGTGTGCGTGCCCTGCACCAGCAACCTCCTGGTGGCCTTGTCGAGGATGTCCATCTCGGCATAAGCCAACGTCTTGCCAGCCTTGAGCACCCGCGCGTCTAGCAGAATGGTCTCGCCTAGCTTGGCTGGTGCCAGGAACCTAGAAGTGCGGACCACGAGTATCTGTCAAACTTGCATCCGGCCACGGCGTGTGCCCGGCTCGCGTCTAGGCTACGCAACGCGAGCGATATAAAATGTGCAGCCCTAGTATCCATCCATTCGTTTGCATGTTTGCAAGTAGGGCATCTGGGCGTGGCTCACTTGCTGCTGGCACATGTATAAACTTTACACAAACTGGCACTAGTGGGAACCTAGTATACTCGCACGCGATGCCACTGATCAAAAGACCTCCTTTGTCACTGCATAACTTCAAAAATAAAAGCAAACTTTTTTTTTTTTCCACTCCCCCTTTTGCAAAATTTGATGATGAAGTTGGTGGATTGCATTGTTGGCCGATCCCTAGGATTTTGTCACTCAGCTTTGCAGTCTGCACAATGACAATGTTTAAATCCAGCTCGTATGGTGAACACAAGCACTGCTTGAGCATTCGATTTGGGCTCGTGACAATGAACGCCTCAACATGCATTCGTGTAGTGCCTTGTGCCCAATCGTCGTAACGATGGGGATGGCCATACCTTAACGATGCATTTAACACGGCGCATGCCTTGTGCCTTGCCGACCCCGGCCCACGGTTATGATAAACATTAGCAACATATGATTGGCTCCAGATCATGGGTCCGCTTGTTCTGGCTGCGAGTTGAGGAGGTGAACCACTGATCTCTATTGTAGTAGGCTGGATCGCGGATCGAAGCTCGTCTTGCCGGGGTCGAGCGGCGGAGCCGGATACTATGGAAGAAAGGGGGAAACTGCAACCTTAGCTTGGGTAGGTTGTTCTCAACACTGAAACCTTTATCAGGTTTTCCAGGAATGACATTTAATGTTCCAAGTGCAAATATCAAAAGTGTTAGAATACTAATCTCTTTTAAATATATGTTTCGTGGTGGAGGGTAGAGGGTTGCGATTTTGTTGGGCGTAAACTTTGATGCAATTCAACGAGACGAGGGTTTCTGGGAGTCGGTGTGGAGTCATTCATGATCTCGAAGTCATCGGTGATTAGCAGACGATAAGTGAGAAGGCCTTTACTGGGGATATTCGCATCGTTTCAGGTGGTTGCACGCTTTTGCTTTCAACTACAGCGAGGGCTCCTGGGACGAACTAAAACTCTGAGCATGTCGTTCATTCAATAAACGTGTCATTTATTTAGCGACTGAAGCAAGCAACGCCAGCACAGTCGATGGTACTCCGACACATTTGATTTTTTTTTTTTTTATCGGCGCTTCAAAGATTGACAAAAAGTGATGCATCTCCAAACACTTCATATAATGATCGCGGCATGTCATAAAACAGTCGCCTTCGAGCACCACGTACAAGCTTCAATGTTCCTACTTTTACGTGTTTCTCCCATAGACTTGGCCGCCAATGGTGCCGCCGACGGGCTCCCGATCCGCGATCCAGCCGACTACGATAAAGATCAGTGGGGTGAGCAAATTATTCCTGCAACTGCCATTGTGCAAAAAAAAAAATGAATGAGTGTTTCATAGGTGATGAATGGGTCAAGGAATCATTTTAAGCGGTATTTACTGGAAGATTGTTGCATCGCCCCCCAAATTCTCCCTGAAAAGAGGCTGGCAGAGGCAAAGGATGTGGCTGCCTACCTCATCTTGAGTTCTGTGCTGAAAAAGACTTTGTCCGTCTCGTACGCCGGGGCGGTGGCGGTGGCCGTGTACAGGTCAACGAGCGTGCTTGCCATTCCTCCGTGCAGGGTACCATTGAGGTTGCAGTGTTCCTTTTCAACCTTGAGCTCAAACAGGGCCCGGTTGTTTTCCCAAGAGATTAACTTCACCTGCATTTGCAAGTTATACGACATTTAAGGCCCATTCACACGCTTGCACTTGCTTAGGACCGAAGTCTTGCAATCTCTTGCAATGAGAGAACACACTTGCCCTATCCGTGGAATGACCCTGGAACTGCATTTCTCTAGAGCAAAGCTTTTGCAGTATTTGAGAGATCAAATGTATGCACTGTCCACGAGAAATGGTTGTCTATAACAGTGGTTCTCAAATAGAGGTCCGTGAAGGCATTCTAGGGGTCCGCAAAGCCCTGCCTCAAAAGTCGAGCGCGCCAATAAAAGTTGTCTTTTTCAGGTCGAGAAGAAATGTTTCAGCTTTTGGGCGAGTTTTCTCGTGTGTATGTCAACAAGAAAGGTCTACTTCACCTTAGCTCTTAGTTATATATATTTATTAAATCGTTACTATATTTAACCTGTACCCCTTTCCCCATCCCTCAATACGAACAGGGTCCTCCATCATCTCCGCCGATCCACAAGGGGTCTGCAAAACATCAATGGTTGAGGAACACTGATCTACAACATTGTCAAAAGTTTTGCGAGCAAAAAGAAAAAAGAAGACTCGTGAAAAAAAATAGGAAATGCCAAGTGTTCCACTGTTACCCGATAGGTAGCCAGTGTGTTCTCGTTGTAAGAGATCCAAATAGTTTTCGAGCACACTGTTGCAAGCAGTCTTGGGTAGTTACTAGTAACATGTTACCGGTAACTATTTACTTTTTTCAGTAATTTGTAACTAACTCGTTACTGCTTAGTAAAAAGAACTTGTAACTGTAACAGAGTTACCATTTTTCGAACGTAACTGTAAAAAGTAACGTCTTTACAGTTACTTCTCAGATTTATGTGCAAAAATATTGCAGACATGACCACCGAACTGCGTTGCCACTCGTGAGAGAGTCCTGGTGCGGGAAGGGCACAGCAAAAACTGCTGCGGAAAACGTCTGGAGCAGGAGGGGAAAAAAATAAAAATATAAAGAAACTAATTTTTGGGTGACCCTGCATGGCCAAGCTGGTCCCGCCAACTGGGAGGATGGGGATGTTTGTGTCCGCACCAGCCACGTATGGTGCATCGCCTACAGCGCAACAAAGCGTGGCATCTTTAATGTGTTTTTCTTTGTCCGGCGGAGGGAGCGAGTGCCTTTTGCAAAAGACAGTTTTTGGCGATTGTCTCCCCAAACGCCCGCAGGCTTACGAGCGTCTTCTTGCTGCCAAGCGTATGTTTTCTTCCCCTCTAATTTGAATCAACAAACTCCCAGATGTACTCTTGTGAGGTATCGACTTCAGGCCCATTTTCTCTCCCTTCCTTTTTTTTACAACCCTATTACCGGCCTTGCCTCCCATCACCCACTTGTCCCTTCTCGGGTTTAATCACTTGAGAAAGAGTATTGGCTCGAAACGTCTGTGTCGTTTTGCTTGTTTGTGCGTTTTCTCGAAACTGAAAGACCGCCTTTAGCCGGGACCAGGGACACTTGGCATCAGTTGATTTATAGATATTCACGTCCTGGGCTTTCCGTGTGGTCTCTTCTATTTCGGGTGGTGAGATAGAGGAGCACAAGCGTGTTCGATTTGATTAGCAAGTGACGGAGAAAAGGCAACAGCTGTTTGGAAGAATTCCACAAGCAGTAGTTGTTTCTACCTCAATCAGTGCTTGCTTTGACGGAGGAATGTTGCCGCAACGTTGCTCTCCAAGTTTTCAAGTGAAGCTTCGTGTTTCATGAAGGATTGTGTGCACCAGGCACGTAGCCAGGATTTTGTTTTGGGGGTGGACCGCCGATCACAAAATGCTGTAAGAGGGGGAGGGGGGAGAGGAGGAACCAGCAAAATGAGAAGATTTCGGGGGGAGGGGGGGGGGCCCGGGCCCCATGGGCCTCCCCCCTGGCTACGTGCCTGGTGTGCACACCGTAGAAAACGATTCGACCGACGAGTGGGATTAGAGTGGCGTAAGAAAACATCTACAAAGCTGATTGCAAGGTAGGACATTTTATTATTGACTTCACATTTGCACGATTTATAAGGCCTCAGTCCAATTTCGCCTCATCAAAAAAACCCGAAATTAGGATTCACCGATTGTAAACTGGCACCATGACTGGATATACACAAGATCTGGACATGTGCTGTTGTGTTTGTGTATATTTTACGGTGGTCGTTCTTATTTTAAAGTTCTTCATGGACCAGCTATCTGTTAGGCTAAAATTTTGAAAAACTAAAGTTGCTTGTAATTTTGCCAATGAAGAGACTCTAAATTCTTTATTGTATAGAGGATCTACTTGGATACTAAATTATGATATGAGCTATTCATGGTGAAAATTGGAATAGGAAGACCCAAATATGTTGATATTGATTATTAAGAAAATCTTAGTTTCTCAAAATAATCAGATTCACTACCGTGAACAACACAATGTCTTATAAGAAATTCATGCTCATCTAAAGGCATATAAGGAAGGTTCCTTTTGAATGTTTTCTTAAGTTTTTTTACAGCGGAGCTGTTAAGGGCTAGGTTCCCCAGGATTGTGTCCGTGTATGTTGACACAAACCTACCTGGACAGCTACCGCCAGGTGAGAGGATTGGGGAAATTTAATGGCAGTTTAATTGCTTACACCCCCGTAGCATGACGTGTCTCCAACAAATCAGGCATTCATCTTGGCGAAACTCGGGTTGAATGAACTCCGCCCACAATTTTCGGCGGAACATTTTTGCAAATGGTGATGTTCTCTTCAACGAAGGTGATTATGCGCGGTAACCCGAGTGACTTTAAAAATGACACTGCCTGGCACGGTGATATCAATTTAGGTTTAGGAAAATGCCAGCAAGACAAGTATGATATTTCTAATCTATTTCTAAAAGGAACAAAAATTCTCGTGTGCTGTTACTACTGATCATTTTCGTGCGCACCGTAGCAGTCGCACCTAGTTGTGCACAGATGCGTGGTTCAAGTTACAAACCGCACACTTATGAAAACTTTGCGCAGCTCATTATATGCCGTTTTACCTTGTGGGAGAAGCTCTGCGTATACGGAAGATTTTGAAAAACGCAGGCGATGAAGCGACTGGCCCGTTCCATCTTCTCCGTGCTCGTCGAGACGCCGCCCGCTGGGTTTCAATCCTGAGCTAATTCTTTCTGAGGATGTCCTTTGTTGACTTGTATTCGCGGGAGTCGACGCGTATTCAACTGGCGTGCTTAGCGTCCTATCTCGCCATATCAGCCACACAGCCGGCGAGTGATACGAGTGATACACCAAAAAGTGGCAACAAATGGCGTCACAGAAAAGCCGGCGTCCTACACGTGGATGGAGGCATGGCGACTGGCATGTCATGGATAGAGGCAAGGTGATTGTTCCCTTTGAATTGTATGGTGACTTGCGTCACCTAGCCAAATAGTATTTAGTGACTTTATTTTATTTTACTACGGTACCAGAGGCACTCGCAAGAGCACCCGCTCTGTTTTAAAAGGGTTTTGGTCCACCTTACTGATTTACTTAGCTCCAGACTAAATAACGTATAAGCCAATTTAACTTACTATCCGTCCCCCGTCCCTTGATTTTATCCATATTTTATCCACCTTTTCTCTAGTATTTTATGCAGAGGTCGCCCACATTCTAAACTCAAGCTCGTTGCTACCGTTGTGACTCTTTTATGTACAGGATATAAAAATAAAGAAGTTATATTTGATTGTTGTTTATAAAGTTAATATGTCCCGGGACCTCACAAATTTTTGACAATTTCTAAATTGTTTGTCGTTTTCTTAGCAAATATGCATCATGTTGATCCTGCTCCTCACGTGACTGAACTCGGCGAATAGCGGCGCCGCGCATTCGAGCAAGTTCGAGGCGCGCGGCGCGCTCAAAAGCTGGGGAACGCACGACGGGGCGCGTGCAACGTCTACTTTCCTGCACGGCATTTGATCTGGCTCCTCACGTGATCGGATCTCGGCGAGTAGTGGCGCGGCGGCATGTGGAAAACGTACGCGCAACCTTTATAGACACACACGTGTGGGCGGCGTGCGTGCCATCCGTGCGGGAGATTGCAAGAGATCTGCAAGAAGCAGACGAACTAGCGCTCCGCACGTATTCCACTGTTGTATTCATTTCTCAGTATTTTGCCCCTTTCGGATGTCGGATGTTGCGATCCTGGCAGTTGGCGGTAGAAGTATAAAAAGTGCTAGCGAACGCAAGTGTGAACCCAAGCTGCTGGAACTTCCGCGGACTGTCAAGCTGAAGAGCAGCGCGGAACCCCTCCTTCTCGGATGCACGCGCTTGTGCGCGGCGTCGTCTGCTTTTCGACAACATAGATAATGAGATAACACACGTTTCGACTGGCACATGTGGCGTTGAATGGTTAGAGAAGCTTCCTGCTCGTCATATTTCAATGTAAGATCTACATCTTGCGTGCGCTAAACGGGAACAAAAACACTTTACCCCCAAAATTCGACGCCCTATGTCGTTGATATTTTTTTGCTAATGGGGAGTTGACAACGTAACGCAACGCGTCTAAAAATAATAAATTAAAAATCGCATCAAAATCGGAACTTAAAAAAAAAAAATGTTCCAGATCGTTTTTGTTTTGGTTTGTTTGTCCACCAATCTACACGCGTGTATTAACCGTGTGATAGTCACCAATATATAATCTTAACGTAACCTTATTTTGCGATTTACGCGCAGTAAATATCCTCTTTTATCGAACGATTTTAACATGTTTTAACTTTAACGATTTTCGCATGTTTTGAATTTTGTTTGATTTTCAGCTGATATTTTTGCGCGTGTGTTCCACCGAGTCGATTGTGCACCCAACTACATTCCTTCAACCTCTGCAGCTGCGAAGCAACTTAACCTTTCAAATCTCAGAAGAAGAAAATATGATAAACTTGTCCAGCTCGCTTATAATTCATTATTTACGTAGTCTTTCCAAAGGATTGCAATCACATATCCACGGTGGTTAATCACCCAGGCGTTGGAGAGCACACAGCACATGCGCTTCACAGTCACTTGACGACGCGGAGCACTTGCAGTTTTACCGTTTTCTTAAACCCCCTGAGACTAGCTGGAGAACGTAAATAATCCAAAGTGGATCAAGAAAATGGTAAATCTACACCACGCTCGCCTGCGCCATCACCACGTCTATCCAACACTTCCTCCACAGGCCCCAGTCGATTGCTCCTCGTATTGTGAAGCAAACTGGGTCATCTTCCTGGAGTTGCCTGAAGTAAAATTGTCTTCTGATAGCTAGCGCGGCTAGCGCTTACATGAGGTTTCAACAAACAACTACTACATCAAACGTTAACTCGTGCACTGTAGCTGGTAGGTAGCTATCCTCCAGCCTCCACAAAAGCTTCATCTGTCAATTGCGGCCGTAGTTAGACGAATCAAGATGGTGACCCGATGATGCAAACCTCCTTGGGAGGTTTGTGGGGACGCAGTTGTTGATCTTTTCGGACTTGAGACGCCCGGCGGCGATGTTCTGAGCTCTCGCACGTCATTTTGGCACGGATCTCACTTTTTTGGGATCGCGCGCTGCGCGATCACAGAAATGCGCTGAGAAATCGGTGGTTTCAGCCAACATTTAACACTCCTTTGTTTATAAACAAAAACAAAAAAAAAAGCGAGAACTTAATTGAAAAGTCGCTACAACGTTTAATTTCGGGTGTACTACAGCATCTAAACCACTTTAGACGGCTAGCAAAAATTGGTTACTCAACGTATCGCGTTGCAATTTACTACACGGGTGCAAACGGGTGGTGTAAGGTTACAGTGAAAAAAAAAATTTAAAAAATTAACCTACCTTGTTTAATAGAAGGAAAAAGAATCAACAAAAAACTGCTATGGGCAACCCAAGCCGCCACTTCGACGATGAACTCGTAGGGATAAGTTCTGGCGACAGATGGTGTAAGCCGCGTCGAGGGTTGGCCGGAAGATTCAGGTTATAGAGAGTTGTAGTAGATCGTTTTTCTCCTCCGCTGCGGTATCCGAAATGAAAATGCCGCAGCTGCGTATGCGCGTCGCCAGCCTTGTCTGCATAGTCTAGGGTCTTGTGGCGGATTACGGAGCGCTATGCGGGTGCTTAGCGGGCTGCGGAAACGGCCTACTAAAACTCCCTTATGATAACAGACGATCCCGCAAAAGAACTCGAATCGGCAGGTGCTCCCTCGTATGAAGGGGCTTTACTCCATTTACTCCCACGCACGGAGAAAGGTGAAGGAGAGGGAGGAGAGTGCCGAAGGAGCGAGAGTGGAAGGAGGGAGCAAAGAGGAGACGACCGCCATTTTGACGCAACACGCTTTCCGTACACAAAGCGCTGCTGAAGCTACACGTCGTCTGCTATGGGTCGACTTCTTTTTCGCCTGAATAAAAGTTTGCGGTCAAACATCAAGAAAACTTCCTTTGTTAGCTTGTTAAGTCACCGAGGAATAACAGTATATCATTTTCTTGTCAGAGCCTGCGATATAAAAGGAAATAATCGAAATTTAGATGCCGACCCCTTGCATTCCCAACAGGCGAATAACGGCCCTCCTCACTCATCTGGAAGCAGCTGGGAGTTCACGAGCATGCGCTCACGCCTCTCGCTCCGCGCCGCGGGCTGATTGGCTCATTCGGGAAGGATGCGTTGCGGCGGCGAGATCATAGACTGGCCAAACTCTCCCCATATACGGCTCTGCTCCCGCAACGCGGCGTACGCCATCTGTTGGCAGCACTAATCCCTACGCGTGCGTCGTCCGCGAAGTGGCGGCATAGATTGCCCAAAAGAAGTTTCTGTTTTTCGTTCCGCCTTTCTCTTTTTCACGAGATAAGTTTATTTCTTGATTTTTCGCTCTAAGTTTCCACCACCGCTTGGACCTCAGTAAATTGCAGCGCGATACGTTGAGAACCCGCTTTTTGCGGGCCATCTAAAGAACCAAAAGCGTTAGTTCACATGGTGTATAAGCAATATATATCAAATAAAATGGACGTTTGTTATAATGCGAAGTTGAAAAATGTCTCTACTTCATTTGATCTATCAGCTATGCTTTTCAGAAGCCACCGGTGTTTACCTGGTTATATTTCAGTCCCCTCCGAGCTAGAATGCACTAGACTATTTTAGCTTATACAATTAATTGAGTTTAATAATAATAATAATACAATATGAAGCCTTCCGAAGCCGAAGAAAGAATCTAGTCTCAGTTCCACATTTATTGTCCTCCCCACACACACACAAACAAATAAACGTACAAAGACATGCAGACAAGGAAATTAAGGTTTGGTATACAAAAATAGTCATTGACTGCTTTCGAACACAAGTGTGGTTTTCTTCTTCTTCCTTCTTTTTCTCCTTTGCCTGTTACTTCTCTTGAAAACGGATATATGTCAGTCGTCATATTGAATCACAGTCAACCACCCAAAAAAGCACCCAGCAGAGCTAAAATGCAAAAAACTACAACATATATTTTTTTTTTTTTCAACAGCAACGACTGGCAAGCACCTGCAACAGTGGTGCACAGGCGATGTATCACTGACGCATGCCCAGTGCACAGTCTAGAGGTCAGACAGCAGGAGCGGACATAGCTGAAGTCAAAATATCACCAAACAGATGCACTATAATATCTTACACGCAGAAGATGAGAAGAAGCAATTGACTGCCAGTGGGAGACGATTCTTTAACGGACAATGGAGGAAACAGCTGGCAGTTGGTAGACGTGACCTCTCCAGGTGTCCTATGCTACACGGCGGGACCAAGCGGAACCAAGGAACCGGGACAACGTCGTCTGCTGCAATTGGTCAGCGCCGCGCTGCTGAGCAATCGCAGCAGAAGGCGTTGTCCCGGTCCCGCTTGGTACCGCCGTGTAGCATTGGGACCCGTGCAGAGCTTCGATACACAGTAAAAGACACAGTGGAATATGGCACCAACAAAAGGTTCCTGGGAAAAGAAAAGCGCACGCGCGCCCTAAGTGCAAAATGAGCGTAGAACGCACGTGCGATTACGCGTCAGTGGCAACACCGCATGCACAACGAATCAACGAATAAAACGATAGTTGCGCATGCTCGGTGTCCGTCTGCTACCGATCCACTGCGACAAGTGGCAAAAGCACGAAGGGCACCACCGGAAGACGCAGGAAGCGATCGAAGGCCACTGGCGTAGGCGAACCGCGCATAATGATGACGGTCGTGCGCATGCCCGGCTCTCAACAACTTCAACAGAGCCAATCAACATCTTCACACCCGTAAATACGTCTGTTGCAACATAAGATCTACAGCAAAAGCTCCGCCTCCAGCACGCGCTCGTTGCCTTCCGTCGTGCTTTGTGCTTGCTCATGAGAGGCCAATGTGTTATCCGAGACAGAAAGTTTGCGCTGGAGGCGGAGCTTCTTCTGCGGGTCGTATCTATACAATTATACAATTGTGCACGTCGCAATAGACCCTTTTCAAAAGTCCATCCTAAGAAAGTCCATCAAGTGACAAAAGCGGTCGCCTATTGCTTGGACACGAGGCGTGTGATTGGATCCGAGTCCTTGCCGAACGCTGACGCAACCCTCGTGTCCAATCCATGCTCAAAAAACGAGCCCAAACAATGGCGGACCATGGCCTCCGAGATCCCGAAGCCCTTCGATCGCTTCGGGATTTTGAAGGCCATGGGCGGACTCTGGTAACTGGCGCAACAGCTTGTAGATGTCGCGTACTTTTTAAAAGGGTATTTATTACCTTGCGCACGCTACCCAACAGCTGCGCTTGTCCAGAGCCTTCCAAATACCTAGCAAACGGCAGGAACTGGCCCACCGGAAAGAGGCAAAAACGACATCTGCAGCAACTAAAGTAGCCCAACGAAACAAACATACATAAGCTACTGTCCGCCGTAGGGTAGCGGTTGGACGGCTGTTATCTTCTCAGTGACCGGAACCCTGAGGTCATCGTCATCGTCTTGAGGAACTCCCGCCGGCGCGAAGGCGTCCTCGTCGTTCCACCGTGGGCACAGGGCGGCGAGCATGAGGGCGGCCGCTAGCAGACAGCCCCCACTGCAGAAGGCGACTAGTCCCGCTAGGCGCCACGGGGTGGGACGGCGGATGAAGGTGCGAGGCGCCGCGTAGCCCAGGACCAGCAAGACGGCTCCAAGGGCAAGAAGCGAGGACCCTGTCCAGATGGACGCCGTCCACGCGATCCGTGACGTGCGCCTGGATGAGTTGCGGTAGGACGAGGAACGACGTCGGTGTCCGCCTGGGTTGTCCGCGTAGAAGCGGTGGAGGTGGCAGCGGACGCCAAACAGACGTCGTCCGGGCGGGCGAGTCCGGACCGGACACGAAATGTTCACCTGCAGATTTTATTATTATTATTATTATTATTATTATTTTTATTATTATTATTATTATTATTATTATTTTAATTTGGTGGCCATAGTTGTGTGCGCGACTGCTGACGGCGATCTTCCACATTTTACAAATTTCATCGTGTCGGCGTCCTCACAAAAAAAAAAAGAGAAACCTTTAGCGATTGAAGTGAAAAGTGCATATTACGCACACAACATACAGCACAGCATTCGTTTCAGTAATAAAAAAAAAAGAATAACAAGTACAAAACAAGCATCCGAACCACATAATTGATGATAAGGCGCTCCTGGTAACAATACGAAGCACGTAGCGCTCACCGCATATGTTTCCCGGTAAAGATTACTGTTGCGCAAGCTGCCGCGGTGACGGCAGCTTGCGACGTGGGGAGGGACGTCACTAGCCTGTCATATATGTTTTGGTACAGTTTCGGTACTGTTTTGGTACAGTTTCGGTACAGTTTTGGTACAGTTTCGGAAGACGCTGCCACAGATGGCTAGCACATAGAAGGAACAACCCGAGAAAAGGAAGAAAGTTAGATCGACTGGACTGAACTTAACAACAGTGCATTTACTTTTCTTTCGTCAATCATTTGGTATAGTTCAGTGGACAATCGTGATACCACAGCTCCGCTGGCTAACCACCTTTACAACGTAAATTAAAACCCCGATTTTTTTTTTTGATTTTTTTTTGCATTGTGTTATTTACATTATTAGTTCTTGCCGGTCTTAGCAGCCTTTTACTGCGAGCTCGTTCTGAGCATGCGCTCTGGACAGCGCATCCAAGTATGGCGTCCGTGAATATGCTTGCACGTGATGTCACGGCATCGTGCTGGTGGTGGCCATTCTTAGCTTTTCTTGTCGAGAAAAACTAATTCGAAGGTGTGGAATGTATGCGGAGAGCCAGCCCTCTGCTTCCTGCGCAGGAGTTGAGGTGACGTCAGAACAACGCCGAGCTCTGATTGGCTTTGATTGAAAGGATTGTGGGTAGACCTCAATGCTAGATGCCTTAAAGTATACCCACTATTTTTTTTCTTTTTTTCAATCAGCCAGTAAGAGTCTGGCACTCTGACATCATCGCATCCCCTGTGCAAGAAGCAGACAAACTTGTGCTCCAGATATGCTGCAAAAGGTAAGCGCTCAGCAGCAGGGCCACCATGGCAGCGCCCAACAGAAGGGTCAGCGCAGAAGTCTGATAAGTCAAGATGCATTGGTCCCTTAGAGTTCACATAAATTGAAAGAAAAAAAATGAAGGAAAGTGTTCTATACTTGAAATTAGGACGACACAAAAAATAATCGCAGATATAACGATATCCTAAAACTACTGTCGAAAATGAGAAGGTCTGTAACCACATTACAAGAATATATGAGTTACCAAAAACAGGTAATGTGGACAGCTGAATTTTTTTACGAGACGCGACTGCAAAGCAGAGGCCAAGGACACCACTCTGCCTTGTCTTCGTCCTAGCAAGAAGCTCAACAAAAAACCCCAACCAGAAACAGGTTACAGCATTCAACAGCAAGGCGCAATGACAGGAAATTTTTGGAGCGTATATTGCAGATTTTGTTAGGGAAGTTAGATATCGCTGTCTATAAGAAAAGTTCTGCATTTTTTACGTGTTATTTATTCAACGGATTATTTCATATTCTCCCTCGATAATTAAATTTCATATTTAATCGGGGTGTGAGGTGTATTTTTTGTAATACATGTCGCGCCTTCGGTAACCTATATTGATTTCTTTAAAAAAACATAATATTTTGATGTTGTAAAATTGCCTTGTTTTTAACATATTGTATTCATCAAAGAGTGGTTGTGTGCGCCGTTTTCTTATGCAATTTCTACCCTCTACAATTTCCTAATGTTTTTAAAACCTTTTTGTAAGGTTTTACTTCCTTTACCAGCTTCTTTCGCATTTTGCATCCGAATAAGCAGCTATAAATCGCACCGGGATCCAAAACGAGTATTTGTTTGTAGGACAAAACATTTCTATATAATTTTTTTCTTCTGATTTTCCTTTTATTCAACAGCAGCGCATTTTTATGCTTAGCATATGCAGTGACGACATAAATAAACAGCAACACCGTCGCGAAATTATTTGCACACTTATTCAAGTAACGGGTTCAGGTAGTAATTAACACACCCACCACATCATAACACTCTAAACTAAAAAAAAAGAAAGAAGTATAGTATATAATTATCTATCGTCTTCCCCAGTGAGACAACCTTACAAAATCGCCTCATCGAAGCAACAGATCGTGCCTCACACGAGACGCGTTGGATGAAAAAGGCTTACCTTCGCTTCCGGCTTTAATAGAAGATGCTCAGTGGGCGAGTCCATATTTTCTGAAAAGAGGTGATAATTCACTATAGCTTACGGTGATACGCCTGGATTGTTCACCACTCGAGGCATTTCAGTTCTCCCATCGAGCGCGTCGCTACGCAAACTGGCAGTCGATTTTGCCCCTGTGAGAAGTGCTTTTCCACAATACACAGGTGCCCGAGGGGAAGCCCGCTTGACGGGGTTTCAACTTGGGGTAGAGTGTTGCGGGAGCACCAACCGTTAAAGGGGTGACTGTTTTCAGGTAAGTGATCGAAGTGCTGCCTACGCACTAGCAACAGGCGATCGAATCATACAGTTGTCAGAGCCATGCATCGGTTCAGCTAGTTGCTGCTCCCGATGTGGGGATCAGCTGGGAATTTCACACTGACCTTTTCTATCGCTGAGGTTTCCAAATTAGTAGTAAGAAAATGTAGCATTTTCGACGGGACATAGTGCTTTGACAGTGAGCTGGAAAACGCTCCGCTGATGTATTGACGGAGGCATACTGAAGCAGTGCCCGAGGCCACCAACTGGCAACGCTGTACCCGAGGCCTGCTTTCCTGTTGTTTTCGCTTTTTTTTTTCTTTTTTTCTTGTCTTCCTAAAGTTCATTAGGTTAATGGATGGCACTCGATATTTATTTTTGGTCTCATTCTCAATATTTTGTATATCTTAACTAGTCTTTGGTTTGTTGTGCGCTGGTTTGGTACACTGTGGTCTACTGTTTACCCTTAGTAACCAGGATGTGGTGATAATACGCGTGAACCGGTTTATTTGGTGCTATCATAGCGCGCGATGTGGATGGTTTACACGCAAAGACTAAATAGTGATGTGCGACACACCAACTCAATGTTCAATGCGCTCAACTGGTTCAACTTGTTTAATGCAGTTTTGAAGTTTCGTTTCCAAAGCTGGAAACGAAACTAAGTTAGCGGCCCCAGATTTCAAGGCTCTCAACAATGTACGGCCTTTTTACTTCTTAATTCTGAGCACGCGTTGTTTGTATCCTTCCGCGAGCGGAGTTAGCTTTCATATTTAAACGATGACCACGCAATTTTTCGGATTATCCTACTCAAAATACTATATATCTCTCATTTATTCCGACTCGAGGGCGCGTAGCGCTCGTGCATAAGGCACACAGCTCCCACAGGCCCTCCTACACGAAGAACTACATTTCGACGCCATTTTGTGTGGACGACCACCCCAGCAGCCAGTCCATCCGCCCGACCGGAGATCGCGGGGCAGCCGCTATGTCCCTCTGCCGCTGGCCGTGCCTCCCTTGTGTCCAGCGCTACCGAAGCAACTCGATGTCGGTGCCGTGTTCCCACTGAAACCCCCGAATACGGAACCCCGACCACGATGGGGAGCTGTTTCAGCCGCTCGGCGAGCTCCAAGAACACCAAGAAGGAAGTGGTCCAGGCGCCCGTCGAGAGGGGCGACGTCTCGTCGATCAATATCGGCCAAGTGACCACCCACGAGCCCGTGGGTAGTGGCGGCGGCGGCGGCGTTCGTTCCGGTCATCACATCGAACTCGGCGGTAGGAATGGACCCACGATTCCGAGCGCGGTACCTCCCGAAGTCGAGACATCGGCCGCCACGGGCACCAAGATCTTCGTGGCGCTGTACGACTACGACGCGCGCACGGACGAGGACCTGAGTTTCAAGAAGGGCGAGCACCTCGACATACTGAACGACACTCAGGGAGACTGGTGGTTCGCGCGGTCCAAGTCGACTAAGCAGGAAGGCTACATTCCGTCCAACTATGTGGCCAAACTGAAGTCCATCGAGGCAGAACCGTAAGTTGGCCGAGAGAGTTCGTTTCCCTTCGTGTCAGCTGCCCGAGTTCGCTTGCATCGGTCGATTGCGACCTTTTCGTGTGATTTTGACTCTTTGGCGGGTATCTCGGCCGCTGTCAAACTTTGGGTGAAGGGAGGCAAGCGGCTCAGCCAGAGCCGCGAGGGAGTTTATTCCGATTGCTCGCTTCCTATTCGCCGCGAGCAACTTGCCGAAAGCAGCTTCGCGACAGTGAGCACACCGCAGCGTCGGGGCGCATCTTTCTGGGTGTCGCTCGGCAGGTCTCGGGGGCAAGCGACGTGCTTCCGCAAGCAAACCGTGTGCGCTCGCTCGCGTGCGTAGGACTCGTCCAGACGAGCCGCTCTTCTTTCCTCAAAAACCAGTATATATATAAAAAAAAAATAACGAAAAATTAAGAAAGAGCGAGATTCTCGCCAATGAAAGTGTAACCAAACGGCGCGCACGCTCGCTCGTGCTCTTGAGTGACGCTTGGCGAGAGAGACTTTGCAAAGCGGCCGAGCAAAAATGCTCGGGGTGCCCCACATATGATTCCGCCGTCTGCTCGGTGCGCTTTGTTTTGTTTCTTTTTTTTTTTTTTTTTTCACTCCTTCTCGAATGCCGTTTGTTTCGAAATGTTTTTCTTCGTTTGAACGGTCCGATGTTTTTCTGTTTGGTTCGGGTTTCGCTTGCTTCGAATCAAGGTGCGTCCGATATCAAAAAGGCCGTTTTGGGAAAGAGGGAGGATGCTGATGGATGGATGAGGCAGACACGCTAATCTAGACGCGCTGACGGGAAACGATGCAAAGTAGAGGACGCATAGCGAGTAGCTGACGAATTTTTCGAGTGCTCTTAGGTTTTCACTTCTGAACCCGGTTTGTCGTGGGCGGATTGGTGGCAAAAAGCGCATCCGCCCAACTTTGATCTTCCATGCTGCTGGGTCGTTTCGTGCGTTTGTAACGTAAGGAAAAAAATACATAAATAAAAAAACAAACAAAGGCCACGCAGGCTTTTGTGTTGTTTTGCTGACTGATCGTCTTGCTCGGTTCTCCCCTTCTGTTTGGCGTTTTGCTTCACCGCCTTTCGGTTATTTATTTTTTTTTTTTTTTTTTTTTTTCTGTGGAAAGAAGTGTTCAAATCGAATTCTTAGTTCTGAGTTCCGCCGACGAAAAAGTAGGATTTTGTTTTGCTTTAACTTTCTTGGGAGTTCCGCCTGAGAGACCGGGCACGAAAGAAAAACAATAGTTACGGCAGCGGAAGCACGTTCCTCTATGATTGGGAGAAACCTTCGTTCCTTGTTGTTGCGCTCGTTCTCGGGGATGGGTGAATGCACTTCACTCCTGTCCTTTGAATTGGACTACGTTTAGCGCCACCTAACATGTGTATCAAAACGAAAAAAAAAAAAAAAATTGGTTAAAGGTTGATTTACATATTTATGTTTGAGTGAGAGCGAGTGCATGGCTTGTGACTGCTTACAACGATGGATGGGTACGGCTGAACCCATGTAGTCGAGAGAGCACACTAGTGCCACCTCTCAGTTGGAACACTTCCGATGTGCTTATATTCCCCAATTCCTTTGCACTTCATTCCTTCGCCGTGTGCTTGAAATAATTCTGACTATGTTAAAGCAACACCTTCTCATAGACATTGCATGGTTTTCATCTCGCAAATACTGCGAAGCCTTCAATCTAGACTTACATCTCAAGAACCGTAGTAAAAAGAGTTTGGTTCCTTGCGGTGCATTACTAATTTCCCCTTTTTTTGTAGAGATTAAGGATATATGTAGGTCCATTTTAAATTAGGCTGACATTATCTTATCAACTCATACTCTTCAAAAGCCAAAAACACCGCTTCTTCCTCTAACAACCAAATCTTGTAAGAACAGCTTTGCGCGGCATATGAACAATGCACAAAACTTCCCTTTTCCTTGAGGTGAAAACGAGTATAGTCCTATGCAGTGTGTCCCAGTCAAGCTAGTCATACGCGGTGTGCGCCAGTGTCGTTCTCTTGTCCTAAGCAGTCGCAAGCGGTAGCAACCTTCTCTGCAACGCTCGGATGCAAACGTATCAACCAGCCTTTTAAAAGAAGACTCGCCCGAAGGCCGCCGTGTTCTGAATACATAATGCTCTCTATGGAAGTCCCTCTTTTACTTTACTTAGCATAAGTGCTGTCACAAGTTTCGGTTTTGGTTGAGTGCTTACTTTAACTGCAGAGGGTGCATACCTCACTAGGTGCTCAACTTCTGTTTCTAAATTTCCGTCGCGTACAGGAAACTACTTTTTTTCGACGCAGAAAGTAACCGCTTTTCAGACTTAACAAATTGTCCCTGTGACTGATTCCCAGTCCAGGATAGGACATTGTGAACGATGCATATTCTGTCTTTCACGTCGTGCCATTTGGCTCGTGTTATTTTCATCATTGTCTGCGGCGTTGGATTCGTTCCAGTAACCGAAGGGAGATACCAAATTGCCTTGGGTTTCTGCTAGACTAACTTGCTTCCACTTCTGGAAGCAAGTTAGCACTTTGGCATTAGAGTGTGTGCCAGGGTTTGGCCAGAAAATAAAAATATAAAAGAAAAAGGGTGAAATTGCGCCCAAGTTTGCAAGTGCTCAAGGGTTCCCATCTATGACCCAAATCAAAACCTTTGTTGGTACCTGTGCTAAGAGCAGTTAACACCTTCACCACTTGTGAATTTGCATTGTGTTCAGGTGGCACATGCTGAGCATCTGTATAGCCGCTCACCTTCATTTGGTATTTCTACTTCGTAAATTCCTCTCGTGCACTGCAGTCCTTCCCTAAGCAAGATTTGGTGTATGCTATTCCATAGGGCATTTCCTCCTACTATCTGACTGTCCTGGACAGATTGACTCGGCGGCGCCGAGTGTTTCTCCCGAGTTCTCCTCCGCTGCCCATGGAAATATACAAGCTCGTTATCTTGGGCAAGCTGGGCTGGGCGCGGGTGCATGTGTCAACAATGCCCGCTGTCTTGCGGGGTCCATAACATTTATAGCGCTCTCTGCTCTTTCACATATTGGTCTGGAATGTTTTGGCACAAACAAAACTGTAAAAAAGGTGTTTTTTTTGTTGTTTTTCTTGCGAGAATTGTGAGGAGTTAGTGCTTCGTCGCAGACCCGTTTTTATTCGGGGTAATACAGAGTCGTGGTTCTAGTTGCCTAGCTGAACTGCTTGCCTTATTCTAGTGGCTATCCAGTTTGTGCCGTATTGTTGGAAAATTGTGTTGTGTGTACGTTTGGACAGCTGGAAGTTAGTCATCCTCAGTAAGCGTCTAGTGTTTCACCTGTAGATGAGAAATTAGGCCATTGCAGTACCACTGGTGGCTTGGGGTCTTTAACATCAATCACGCAGTAATGATACATGGCCACAAGCCGGTACGATGCTCATCCAGAAAGAAACGGGCAGGGTTGGGGATTGAACACTAAATCCCTGGGTTTTGCAGTGCGGGTTTTCACTCCACGTGCTCCAAGCTGCTGTGCCTTAGGCCACTGTTCCCCCTACTGTTGGAAGGCAGATGCTTTGATGAATTTGAAGTGGCCTCTAGCTGCGGCACTGGACTCATTGGAGGCCATTCATTCGTAGGCACACTGAACAGTTTCCTTTGGGCTCAGGGAGTGGCCATGCTTTTTAAGAACTCTGTTCTCAGTCGAGAGTGACAATTTGTGTGCTTTATATTCTGATCTCGGGAACATGCGGGCACAAGAGGTGGCACCTCTTAGCAGCTAAAATCCTTGGATCTTGGGGATGTAGTTGCAATGTTTGGCCATTTTGGTTTATGGAGCACCAGTTTCTTTTGCCTGCCTGAGGCAACCTAAATTTGCAGTGACTGCTTTCTAAACCTAATTTCTTGTACACCGGTACTTTGTTTAGTCTGTAATCGGCGACATTAACAATATTCCAATCATTATTTATTTATCTCTAACGAAATTCCTTAAAGGGAAGCTGAAACACTTCTTGAAAAAAACGAGTTAGAGGTGAATTCTGGCGTATTTTTATCCCGTGAATCTGAATATCACTTTTGTTTTCCCCGAAGATGCAACTAAAAGCGAGAAAAAGCGAAAAAACATTCGACCAGTCGTGACGTCATACTAGGATCTTCGGGCCTCCAAGCGCGTGTCGCTCGTGTGTTCAGCGCGTGCAACGGCAAGCTTGCCAGGTATATTTCCCCGCACTGACACCAGTCGTGACGTCTCTTTCTGACCTTTCTGAAAATAGCAACAGTGCACGTGCATAGCTTTGACAGGCGCTGAAGATGCGCGAGAGCAGATATTCCGAACGCTCCTAGTGTGACGTCACGCCCCGGGAAGGAGGGGCTTCGGCGGTACTTTAAAAATTAATTTCTGAAGCCTCCGTGCACCAAATTGAAAAATAATCTTGATATTCCTGATCCTGGAGATAGAATGAAGGCCATTGAAATGTTTTTTCTCAAATAGAGAACCGCTTCAGTTTCCCTTTAAGTCAGAAGCTTTTCGTTTGCTTTAATGCGAAAAGAAGCTTTGAGAAACACAAGAGGGTCGGGCAAACAAACTTGCTTGCGCTGCAAGTGGCACTGTTGCTTGTCAGGGGTCTGGCGGCATTGAAAGATAATTATTTAGGAAAATCTCGCGATACGTCAGGGTCAGGATTTGGTGCATGCATAGTGCCAAAGACACTGAGATGGTCTAGGAATGCTCGTAGTGCAATGATGCATCACCGTGGTCTGGGTACGACTGGTCCAGAGCGGCCTCCTCGGCGTTTCAAAAGTGCCCAAGGTACCAAAATGGCGATTACCACGGTAGTGGTTGGTGGTGAACCAATCAAATTGCCAGGTTTTGTTTGTATGTTGATGTCTGTTTGTGCCCCTATAGCAGGCAGATTCGGCAGTGGTGCTACTTTCCCCAGGATCTAGTGACTTTAGTTGCAGGAAAGTTGGCCAAGCTAAACTTGGCTACGTTGCTTTGTACCGACGGTGCCAGCACTGGCCCGTCATGCTCGCCGCTTCAGGGTCAGTTCACACGTCTGCATTTGCGATCGAGTGTTTTAAGTTCTTACGACGAGAGAAAATACTGGCCCCATCTATCGAGTAGCCCTGGAAGGGTGGGCTTGTACATTTTCTAAATTTTATGAATCATTCTTTCACCCTGGGCTCGAAATAGTTTTGACAGTTATAAGCGGCCATTTATCGTAGATGTGAGCAAATTTAATCTCGCAAAACCTCGTACATGTAGATAGTAAAAGTTCTGGGGCCACCTCATGGTTGACGCCAGTGTGGTTTCTCGCTGTAATCGGTTACGAGAGGGCACGGTGCACTCGATTGCACTCGGAGGCAAATGTGTGGACCAGCTTGAAGCGGGCAGCAGCGTCGTTAGAGCTCCGCCGCGAGGGAAGAGTAGGCTGCACCGGGTCGAACCTCGTCTCTGGGCAGCACCACCCACCGCGTCGGTCATGTGGCGAGCCTGGCCCGTGGCGGCGGCGGTGCTTCTCGGCCTGCTTTGAGTGTAGCTTGCGGTCCCCCCTCCTCCACCCCCACCTCGCCATTTTGTCCCCCTTTCCTCCGTGTTTTTGAGAATGGAGTCCTCGTGAGACGCTGATGCCACGCTTTTTCTTTTTTCTTTCCTTTTTCTGTCTCTCTCTTAAATCTTGTCACTCGTTAAGGGGCGTAAGGTATGTATGGACTTCTCCTCTGCACCGTGGCAGCGGCCGTTTGGGGCCCCCCAATTGGCCGGACACGGGTCGGCCGCTGTCGGAGCATGCAGCGAAACCTCTTCCCGTGGTCCCAAGCACGAGTGACCGCAGCAACTGAGAACAGTCACGAATAGGCCCCGAAATAGAAGTTCTTATATTACCGGTGACTAGCAAAATTGGTGTCACTAGACGAGCGAATTAAATATTTGTAGCACCTAACGGTCTAAAGAAGAAGCCGTCAAAGTTGGCTTGAAAACGTGAAGGAAATCGCCAACAGCTGTCTGCGCCGCAGGTCGTAGAGAACTTTTAAGGTTGGACAAACCCGCCATATTGTTGAAACTCTGCCAAAGCTAGCACATTTGCCCGTAATGCAGCACTCCGACATTCCCTCCCGACTGCATGTCGACTCGAGTGCGTGCCCTTGCGTTTTTTTTCCTTAGTTAAAGTAGGGCTGCTACACTTATTGGACCGCTTACAGGCTGAAGCCTGTAGGCATCAGTTACACCGTGTTGAGGCATTGTTTGTGGGGAACAGTGGAAGTTGTCATGGAAGGCAAGTCAAGGAATGAGAATTTTAACTACATAAATGAACTCCGTCATATGACGGACCCGACTAGAAACTGTCTCGGTACATGAGGTTTTAGCGGAGGAAAGGAAGGAGGGATGAGGGTTGTCGGTGTCCACCTGAGCAGTTCCACCTGTGCTGCAGACGAACCTTTGATTCAATGTGCGAGCCTAGGCAGCCGATCACCACAGGAAGAGGTTTTTCGTCCTTCTGCATGAGAACATCGTGTCTTGTTCTGCCATTGTGGAAACATGGTTCGATCGTGGCCACTACAGATCATTTTTTCTTCGTCTTTTTGAAACCTTTTGCTACGGCGTTTTGGTTTTCTTTCGAGTTGAGAGCGACGGGTTGGCCGACACGGGCTATGCCTTCCCTCTTTCTGGGTTGTCTCGGGCTTTGGAATGGCCAGCCTGTGATATTCGTCCTAGTGCAGGCTCTCACTTTCCACCCAGCCTCCAGTGCCAGAAGCCACCTTTGGCAACAGTAGGGCCGGAGTTGCATCTTACAGCAGAAGCCTAGTCCTAAAGACTGGCTCACACACTCGCAACTGCTTGTGACCGACCGCATTACGACCTCTCGCGACGTCTTAACGACTATAGAACAGACTGACATGCTGGCACCGTTTACGAGGTGGTCCCGATACTCAATTTCACTAGAGCGAAGGTTTTGCGGTATTTGCAAGATTAAACATATACCTTCGTATCAACGAGAAATAACCGTTTATAACCATTGTCAGAAGTCTTTCGAGCCAATATCGAAAGGATGATGCGCGAAAAAGAATGGGAAACACGCAAAGATTGTGAGCGTTCCACAACTATCCGGTAGACGGCGCCAGTGCGTACTTTCGTTGTTAGAGATTGCAGGAAATCGTAATGCACTCGGCCGTAAGCAGTTGCGAGTGCGAACGAGAACTTAAAGCCGCAGTCGCTGCTAATAGGTTGTACAATACACCTTGCAGACACTTTCTGAAGTGTCGTTCTTCTTTGCTTGACAGTCCTGTCACATGTGTCGTACAAAAATTCTGCAGACACGTTTGATCTGTACAAATGGATGAAAGCAACATGCTTCTGAGATGTTCGAGGCATGTCTGCACATGATTCTCTCCTCATGTCTGCAGTGAACACTGTGTCTTGTACGATCTGGGAGCGGCGTGACTGCGAGAGAATGAAAGGGATGGGGGTCCCTTTTCTAGTGAATTGTCGCATCCTCTCCAGCTCTAGACAAAGCCAAAACGCCATTGCAACGAACCTGTGCGTCGTAGATGGCCGGGGCCTTCCGAGATGGCTGCCACCACCCGAGTTTGCCTAGTGTCGTCTGTACATGTGATGCGGCGGCTTCCAGTGGTGCGAATGTGCATGACGGCTCGTGTCGTAGCTTTGGTGGGGGACTGCGCTTGCATGGTCCGGCTCTGTGTTGCAATGCTGCCTGTCGCCGCCGCTTCACGGCCCGTCTGACTGTCTCGAGACGAGGTTCGAGGCGTTGACTGGCTTCCTTTTTTCTGGAACTTGCAAAACCGGCGTTGACACGCGAGGAGTGCACCGAAATGCGGCGATTGTTTTTCTGGTGCTGACTAACTTGGAGGAGCATTAATTGTGTCTTGGTGTTTCTTAAGGAAATATTCACATTTTCTCTAGCTTTGTTTTTTAGTGAGGTTGGATATTTGCTAAAAATGGAAGGTTGAATGATTGACAACTTTTTTTTTTTTTTTTTCAAACTTGTTATTCTTGTCTCAATGAGGTCAAGTGAGAGAACTATGCTCGGCTTATTTTGGAATATGGGTAAATGTGATAAAACACACCTGATAGCCGGGTCTCTAGCTTCGCGGCAGCGGCTGCTTCCATGGTTGAGAAGGTATGGAACATCCGTAGACTAAATTAAATCAGAATTACGTGGTGCCACCCGAAAGTGTGGGTTTCTCGCTAAAAACGTCACCCGTCCCGTGCATTCTCTTGCAGCTGGTACTTTGGCAAGATCAAGCGCATCGAGGCAGAGAAGAAGCTGCTGTTGCCCGAGAACGAACACGGGGCTTTCCTGGTGCGGGACAGCGAGAGCCGGCGCAACGACTTTTCTCTCTCAGGTCGGTAACTCCCTTCGTAGATAGAGAGATCCCGTGCCGTGCTGAGCCGTGTATAGGGAGAGTTTGGTCAATGGGAGAGGCGGGCAGAGCCAGGGCGTGCACGAGACGCAGATAGAGGGCTTGACATGCTCTCTTGGAACCCCTACCCCTAGTGGTGGTAGCGAGAATGTTCTAGTAAGAGCATAGAGATTAAATCTAGCAACCCTTCATGGTTGAAAATAGGGTGCACGTGATGCTTCGATCATGATCATGCAGAAAGATGCAAGAAACGAATGTGCCGCTCAACTCTGTTTTGCGCGGACAGAGTGTGACCACTTGGACAGCAGATTCCCGGCCCTCAGCGCCTGGCATACAGGTTATGTCGGTCGTTCCGCTAGTCGTGCTCTTTCACCATGATTTTGGATGACCGTGATTGAAACATCACAGGCACATTATTTTCAGTCGCCGACGCACTTATCAATTTTGTTTCTCAGAACCACCACCAGGGTATTATTATTTCCGGCTTCTGATTGGCCACATTCAAATTTGTGAAGACGCAATGGAACAGGCCCAGTCCCCTTTCGGCCAATGGCGCCTCGTTTGCCTCCTATACCTCCCAATGAATGGCCAGACTCTCTCTGTATAACGCTCTGGTGCCACGTACGAAGGTGGAGGCCTGGGAGCGCCAAGGTACAGTGGTTGAAGCGTGCCTCCGACCGATGTCTTCCCCAATTCATGGGGTTTGCACTCGAGTCAGTCTGTTGCCTGCCGCATTCTTAAAGGTGCGATACAGCAGGGGGGTAGGGGGGGTGGACACACTGCAGCCAGGTGCTCGACGGAAGCTAAAGCAGGCGCAAGACAAGACGTCATGATGGGGCGAGAACCCTCGCATCTGCTTGCCTTTGTTGCCAGCATTTCTACGTGCAACCGCCAGGATGACAGCATCCAACAACGTGACACTCCGGTTTTCCTGTCCTTGTACGAGGACAGGGTTCTCGTACAAGGAAGAAGCACGCCTAAGACAGTGTCTGGAGGCTGTCTTTTGTACAATGTATTTGCAGTTTAATCGCGGCTTTAGGAACCACCTTTGGTGCATGGACAATATACACCGACGTGCAGAGCTGACGTCGCGCCACTGCGGTGGCACTGCTATTGGCAGGACGCACGTGCAGACGCTCCACTTGACGCAAATCGGGTTCCTGCGCAGGCGCAGTGCCCACGCCTCGTGCAGAAACTGCACATTTGCCCACACCTTGCGAGGGCTCTTTCGTTAATGACGGGTTTGCCCGTAGGACAGTAAATGCACCGGTTCGAGACGCATTCCAGGAGATGTAGTGGTAGTGCCTGATCGGCGGTCTTCTGCGCAGTGCGGGATGGGGACACGGTGAAGCACTACCGCATACGGCAGCTGGACGAAGGAGGCTTCTTCATCGCGAGGAGGACGACCTTCCGCACGCTGCAGGAACTGGTGGACCACTATGGCAACGAGGCGGACGGGCTCTGCGTCAACCTCCGCAAGCCATGCGTACAGGTATGTGTCGCCCTCGCTCCGTCTGTGGCTGTTTGATTCGCTCGCTTTGCTGCCATCGTCGTCGTGGTTTCCTCGACCGAGATCCGAGGCTGTCTCGTTGGTTGACCCGAGACTTAACGACGGGGGGTGCTTGGTTTCGGGGAGCAGATTTGGTTTTTAAGCGAGACTCGTTCGCTACAAGGAGTTGAACGTTGAGAGAACCTGCACCAGAAGGGATGTATCCACCCCGTAATTTAGAAAGGAAACTACTATTTCCCGCTCCGATGCCCCTTGCAAATTGCCTTGACTGCCAGGCATTTCTTGGTGCTGCTGGTGCCTGCAGTCTCGGCGAACAATTGTTCGATGTCGCAGCAGCCGACGAGAACTTGGGACCTCTTTCCCGCGTGTCCCCATTTCTCGCGTATGGCCATTCTCTTCCACATTAAAATGGTTTTACTTTATCCTCTCCAATCTTTCGTGAAAAAAGTAGGAGAGGAAACAAAACCCTGACTTTCATTTCACAATCACTTCGTGTGCAAATTTTATTCCGGGCATTTGGCTAAAGTCTAAAGAGCGTCTCCGGCCCTTAAGTTACGTAGACGTGTTCAATTTTCTATTTGCTTCGAGCCGGCTTCGCTCGATGCTTTCGCTTTCCGTGTTGGATCTAGCCTAGTGGCACGTTAGAGCAGAGTTTCGTAGCACCAGCGTCTTGCGGTGAAGCGCGATCCAGGAACCGACTGGAGAAGCGGAGAAAAGCCGCTTGTTTTTGGCAGACACCTGCCAGTGTGCGCACTTGCCCAAAGCTCTCTGGTGCCGCAGACCTCGGGGGCCGCTCGTGGCAGCCTTTGGGGCCGCGCCAGTCGCCGACGTTGGAAGTGCCGGGGCCGCTTACCTTGCCTCCTTCTCTCCCAACAGGGGACACTCTATCGCGGCGTCTTACAGGTAGCCCCGTTTGTCCTTCTTCTGAGTGTGCAACCGAGCATGCCGGGGCTGCCGCTTTTGAGCTTGCGCCACTAAGCGCCCTCACGTTTCTGATTCGGCTGGCGCGTGCAACCGCCTGCTCCCGAGGAGTGGCCGAGGCGCCTCCGCATGTCTGCCCCAACGTAGCGACGAGCGCCGCTTCCACCCGTTTGCCGCAAATTCTACGGGCTCGAAGCGGCTTTGCCCGAGCAACGAGCGACGCGACGTCGTGCACCTTTCGTACGGTGCATAGAACGCGTCTCCGGCTGGTACGGGGTCTCTCTGTTTCCGCCCGACGACACCAGTCTGGGACGCTTTCCAGCCGGGGCGTCCCGCGGTTGCTCGGGCACATTCCGCAGCCGTCGATGGTACGGGGGGAGCTTCCACTCGGCAGAGCTGCGCCCACCGCACTGTAGCAGCACCTAGCCCCGTTCAGTCCTGCATCTGGCATTGCTGCCCTTTGGTTTTCCTTTTGTGGCGTCGCACCTCCTCGTGCTTTTTCGTGTCCGAGCGCCACTTCCAGCCTAATCCGGAGTGTGTGTGTGTGTGATTTCTGGTGGAGGCTGAGTGCCAAAGCCACCACTAACCCCCGGCGTGGCTCTGGTCCTCCCGTACCGGGTGGTTCCTGCAGCGTTGGGGTGCACCGTTTGCTGTGGCCAGTGCACAACGTTGCATGCGCCATGTTTCTTGTCCGCGTTGTTGCGCGGGATTTCTTCGGGTGTCTCCTCCGACGTTTCCCTGTGGGATCCCAGCCCTCTACGCACATTGGTGCAGATTAGCTCTTGGTTGGCGGGGCCCCCTTATCGTTTCATTGCTTCCTCGTTTTGATGGGATGTGCAAGGAATTGATCCGCAAGACGTTCATGTGGACCTTTCTGCGGATCTGTCCCTCTTATAGGTAATTAGGCTGTGCGATACAGTTTTCAGTAAAACCACTTTGCTGGTGTTCCTTTTGAATATCCATTCTTTAGGTTAACAAAAATTTATATGGGGGATTTTTATAGGAATCTTTCTCAATGAAGCTAGCTGACAACAAATGGCAAAATGGTTGACTGGATTGGACGAGCCGACTGGTCCAGTATTTTGACGAGACACTACATCTGCATCAGAAAGGAGAGGACTGGTACCCGACGGAAAGGTGGCAGCCAATGTGCCAGCCAGTCTTGTGAGCTTTCCTAAAACAAGACCCATTGTCCTGAAAGAATGTATCAATATATGTAGTGTGATCCTTTTAGATATGCTGTACGTAGCACCCATTCATTCTATGAACGGGGAGCACTATAGATGACTTCATTTTTACGATTCGCCTAACAGAGTACCCCAAAAAATTGTTTGTACGAACATATCCGGCGAAGCGTGAACGAGGCTAACATTTTGTAGTGGAGCATTCACGACAAGGCCCAAGCTATTGCCGAGCATCGACGTAAAGCTGCACTGCGGGCCTTCGTTTTTCCAGGAGACTATAGGAATCCTAGTCCTAAAATGGGGGAGATTTCGATACGATATTGTGCATCTCCTGTGCAGAATACTAACAGACAGACTGAACGAAAGTAAGGGTGCAAACAAGCTGTTGTGAATGGGAACATAATCACGAAGAACCCCATGACTGTGGCAAATGAAGGACACCAAAAACGTGAAGTCTCAAAACTTTGCGTTTGTGCTGTCATTCTGCCTCAGTCTCGGAGTACTTTGTAGTCATGCTCACAGACCCCAGCTTGTGCGGAAGGATCTGGATCTCGTGAAAGGCGTTCTCTTGACCAGTTGTGGGGCCCCTGAAGCGGACCGTAGTCCCAGAGGGCGATGGTAACCCCGACGTAAATAGTCCCCCCTCTACCGCCCCCCCCCCAAAAAAAAAAGTTTTTTTTTTTGTTTTTTTAATTAATTTATGTTTTTTAAAGACTCATCCTCTGTCCAAATGTAGGTTTAGCAGTTCGAACCACTTGCCAATGTTTCAGAACTAGCCGTTGTCTTGTTCAAAAGTTACGAGTGATTTTTCTAAAAATTGGAACATTAAAATGCTACCCGTTCTCGGTGACTGGCGCTATTCAGCGCCACATATTCTAGCTCTGAGCCGGCCACAATTTGCTCATAGAAAATTTTAATAAGTCACTAATAACTAAGGTTCCATGTTTTCAGTAAATACCAATAAACCCCGAACCAGTTTTACCAAAGTTTAAAAACATGAAAAAAAAGAAAAAAAGAAAAAAAAAAACGAATTGGAGCTGTACTTGAATAAGAAAAATCCAAACTTGTTGAAAAGAAAATTTGTATCTACACCTTTCCTTTGCGTCGACCCGGAACACGAGCCCCTAGCGAATCGACCGCGAGGCCACTTCTTTCTTCGGAACCACACCCCTCATCACGTATCCTTCAATTCACTTCTCGGTATTGGGTCGTTTTACAAGCCTGCGGGTCACGCGCACGCTTCCTAGGAATGGGAAATCCCGTGCCGGTGTCCTTTTTTCTTCGACGTAAGCCCCGTTAAATGCCAACCTTTTCTCCGACACCAAAATTCGACTCTGGAAAACGCAGAATCTGCGGGGAAAAGCCACCCCGAAAAAGCACCGCCGAATTCAAGGAAACGTAAACCCCGAAAACGCGTAACCTTACTTATAACTTTTCTAATAAGATATCAGTTAGTTTCGAAACTTTGGCACCTGGTTCGGGCCGCCAGCGGTGCATTTGAGCAGAGGCCGAGCTTTCGGCAATGAATAGTCTATTTTTGCAATAAGAAAAGCCCGTGATCCTTCTACATTTTTTGGTAAAGACGGTGTACATGAGGGCGCGCGTGTGGCACGCAGGTGGAAAAGCCCATGACGAGCGGGCTGTCGCACAGCACCCGGGACCAGTGGGAGATTGAGCGCAGCTCGCTCAAGTTTGTGCGCAAGCTGGGCCAGGGCCAGTTCGGGGAGGTCTGGGAGGGCCTCTGGAACAACACCACCCCCGTGGCCATCAAGACGCTCAAGCCGGGCACCATGGACCCCAAGGTGAGCTTCTCAAGATGTGCAGGTTCGCTCCGGCAGCCTGTTGGTTTGGGGGCATTGGATAGTTGCATGGAGGAGCATAGGTGGGGCTCACTCCAGAGTGTGGGGTAATTGTTCTTTCAGCATTCTGCGATTTGAAGGTGTCCGATCACGCCCAAAAAAATGAAAGACATAGCGAAAAGACCTTCATTTCTTGCTTTTTTATTTAAGCTGCAGATTTCTTTCAAACTTGTAGCAGGAGTTGCAAGAAGGCATCAGAAAACTCAGAAAGGTGGCTGACTGCCTTTGTGATAAGCAGCAGGTTGATCTAGTGAACTATTGTTCTTGAAAAAAAGGAAAACTTGCTTGTGTTGTTTTTATAACTGTATAATTTAATTGTCTTACCATGAGAGTTTATTTGTTCTAAGTAAGGAAAAACAAATTGACATATTTCTTTTTATTTATTTTCAGATTATCATTTATTTATCTTATTGCTCTCAGGGCCAAAAGCATTACAAAAGCAAATGGGTTACATAAAAAAATAAACACGTAAGAAAAAACAGCAATACATATAGGAAACAAAAATTGGGGCTTTTCACACACACAAAAAAAAGGTTAATAGCATTTAAAAAATGTTTTTTATCGTTTATTTAGGCGATCTCTCGGAAGATGATTCCACATTGATATTGGGAATGAGACTCATTAGCAATGAGATAAAGAAATTTTATGCAAACTTTTCTCCTTCTCAGCAGCATTTTAAGGCCGTTGTCTTCTTCAGTGCGCGTTTATAATGTCTGCATACAAATGCCAATATAGTTTGAAAGGGCCTATTTAGGAAGGGCCTTTGCTGGGGTCGTCTGGTTGCGCCTTCCGACGGGGTTTTTTCCCCCTCTTCTCCCAGGACTTCCTGGCGGAGGCCCAGATCATGAAGAAGCTGCGCCACCAGAAGCTGGTGCAGCTGTACGCCGTGTGCACGCTCGAGGAGCCCATCTACATCATCACGGAGCTCATGAAGCACGGCTCCCTGCTCGAGTTCCTCCAAGGCAAGGGACGCTCGCTCCAGCTGCCCCAGCTCATCGACATGGCCGCCCAGATCGCAGCGGGCATGGCCTACCTCGAGGCGCAGAACTACATCCACCGGGACCTGGCGGCGCGCAACATCCTCGTGGGCGACGCCAACGTGGTCAAGATCGCAGACTTTGGCCTGGCACGGCTCATCAAGGAGGACGAATACGAGGCGCGCGTCGGGGCCCGCTTCCCCATTAAGTGGACGGCGCCCGAGGCGGCCAACTACTCCAAGTTCTCCATCAAGTCGGACGTGTGGTCGTTTGGGATCCTGCTGACGGAGCTGGTGACGTACGGCCGCATTCCCTACCCGGGCATGACCAACGCCGAAGTGCTCCACCAAGTGGAACACGGCTACCGCATGCCGTGTCCGCCCGGCTGCCCGCCGGCTCTTTACGAGATCATGCTGGAGACGTGGCACAAGGACCCCATGAAGCGCCCGACCTTCGAAACGCTGCAGTGGAAGTTGGAGGACTTCTTTACCATGGAGGGGTCGGAGTACAAGGAGGCGGCCATGGCCTACTGACGCCACGCGTGCTGAGGCGTGGGGGTGTGTGGCACGGTCGCGTAGAGGTCGCCGCCGGCTAAGCCGCCAAGACGAGGCGCCTGTCATTTCGAGTCCTTGGGGCGCGCGTTCGGGCTGCGGTGTGCGGAATGCGTCTTCGATTGGTGCGTTTGCCTTGTCCTAAAAAGTGGTCCCTTAACCTCCGCCCGACAACGTGGGAGTGTCGCGCCCTTGCTTTGATGTGCGAGCGGGACAGGACACTAAACACACCAGTCTGAGACGCATTCCACGCACCATGATCTTACGGATCGTGTCCAGCGGTATCTGTCCAGTGCCCCGTGTGATCCGTACGATGGACCGTAGAAGTCTGGTCTTTCTCCCCGAGGGTTCTTTGCTCTCTGGTCACAGTTGCTTGTTTCGATTGCCTTCTCCCGCGTTTTTTCGCCTACTTACTTTTAGCTGGGCCTCTTCTGTGGGTGCAGGGGCTTTTTAATTGTCTTCTCCTCTGCATAATCATTTTGACTGTCGTCGTTATTGGGGTTTTAATTCCGCTCGTAAATGGTTCCGGCAGCCTTAGTTTCATACTGTGCATTCAGCCTTTGATACAAGTCTGGGAGTTGTCATATCACATTGACCCCATTTGGCATCGTCGTCTCCATAGAACTTCATGACGGAGGGTCTATCTGAAGCGCATCTCTCTTCCATTACTAGATGGCGCCGACATCTTAAGGGGTATTCCCACAAGGGAGAAATCCCGGGGATTCCTCCACGGCACGCGCATCCAGCGACGAAAGCGTCGGGCTTTCCAAAAGCCTCGCGTTTTAGTCTCGTGATGCGCACGCGCTGGGGGAGAAATCCCCGGGATTTCTCCCTTGTGGGAATACCCCTTTATGCACGCCCTCGCGACATCCACGCAACGTCAAGATGTCCCGAGGATGTTGCAGATCTGTGTGTGCCGTTGGGGTTATCATTTTAACTAAAGTCTTTTTACTGGCCACGACAGCATCTACTGGGGCTGCATATATATATATAGCGTTCAGTTGCGAGTGCCGGTGTCTTGCATTTTAACGCCGATATTGGTTGCCTGTATTGTTATGCGTGTGTTTTTACTTTGTTTAAGTGTAGCTTTGAGGCATTCAGTTTTAAGCGGCGACACAAGCTAGTTCATAATAAGAACCCCCCTTCATCGGGGACCTCTGCTGGCGGCGAAGGGCGGCGACCGAACGTGCGAATGGTTTTTGTGTTGGTGTTCGTGACAAGACGATCTCCTCGGTGCTTTTGGCTCAAGAGTCGAGCTCTTAGTCGTTTTCCTGAGGGAGGGAGGTAAGGGGACGTCGAAGGGACGTTGGAAAGAAGACGTCCAGGGGACATTAGGAGTGACAGATGACCAGCGAAGTCTGAAGGAGACTTTTCCAAGCCTTTGTGAGCATGTTTTGTTGGTGGAAGTTTGTGGTGCGCGAGAGGCACCATGCCAGACTGCTGCAAGGATTGTATTGTGCAGGTGTGAGTTGTAGCTTTCAGCTTACATTTCCAGCGTTCCCGTCTGAAACAAAGCGGGGGAAAAAAAAAGTGCTAGACATCTAACAGAGCGCGTTGCGCAGCCGACGACGCCAGTGCCCAAGTCACGGGGCAGTGTTTGCCCTCCCCTCTCTCAAGTTCGCTTTTTACGCCGACGTGAGTGCAGTGTGCCGACCGAAACACTTCTGCGAGCTGTGTGTGGTCGTCAGGCCAAGCGCTTTGCAACTCTTGGCATTTCGTTTTTCCGAGCAACATCTCAGTGGGACCCAGTGACTGACTGATGAAGGAGCAGACTGGTGTGTTTCTCTTTTGATATACTACTTATTTTTATTACAGCATCTCTACCGGTAGTACCTTGACACCCTTCCCTCTGTCGACCCCTTTAACAGTTGTGGAAGACTTTTTAATTCGGCCGAACTAAACGAGCACTGTCTGACAACCTGCTGTCCCCTGTGTCTATCTTTCTCAACTGGAGGTCTGTAGAATCTGCTGGGAATGCACAATTCCCCCACTCACATGTGCAGGACATGCGAATGCAGCATTCTGAGAATTGGTACAATAGAGGGAGCCTGGGAACCTCGAGGGCTGTGCTGCTTCGTCATACGGAGACGACATAGGAGGACGGGGCGCTGAAAAAACTGTTGGTGAGACGGCACTTACACTTTCAGTGCTATCTTTACCGGAAGTTGGCAGAACAATAACACCAACTTGCAGCTCTATTTAAATCTATCGCCTATATTTTTGAAATCGCCGTCCTTTACTCTTTCTAATATGTTAATTTGTACCGCGAAATTCAGAATAGTTATTGTGGAATCGGCAAATGAAAATAACGCCAAAACGAAGATTCGAATATACCCGCGCTTTTCATTGCCGTGACGTCACGAATGTGCCGGCATGCGGTTCGAGCGGGCAGTCTAAAAATGAACTATGCCGAGCATTTGTATCGTGCTGCTGCGCGGGAGCTGGAGCGACTTTCCAAAGCATTCATTTGACACCATAAAACTGCTTGTAATCAGTTGAAAACAAAGTCTACAGCCCAAGGAGTGAACCCCTGCGCACTCATGACGTCACTTTTTCAACGTTGCCAGTAGAGCTTTTCACTTTAGAAAACACGATGAGGACCAAAATTGTAAATTCTGTAACTTCGCGAAAAAAAAGTTTTGTCCAAATATTTGGGTTACAAGTTCAGCTATGTTTGTTGGTGTTTTTAGCAAGTTTTTAGGCAAATCGGGGACTATGAAGAAAACGGCGGAGTGCCCCTTTAAAGGGATACTACAACGAAATTTCGGTGCTCATTTTTTTTGTCTATATGTGTTCAAAAGAGCAGTATCACATGGAACATGCCAATATCTTGTTAAAAAAGTCTCGAAAAGGAATTTTAAAACGAATTAAACGGTTAGCAAAGAGCACCTGGTGGATGTCGCTAACGCCTCGTTTGTAATGCTCGTCTAGGAACCTTGACAGCTAGTGACGGCGGTTGTCTCGTCTCCGGCCACGACGAGAGAAAGAGGGAAGGAGGAACTCCCCTCTTCCCGAGAATCCCTTTTGTGTGTCGCAGAAGTCGCTATTGTCCCCCTAGAAGATTATATAACACGAACTCAACTCTCCTACGTCACGCCGCGGTGGTGGCGCGCCAGACGCACTTCCGGTCTGGGGCGGTGGGCAGAAGTCGCCGTGCCAGACATGCATTCCTGTGTTCCTTTGGAAGAAACGAGACAAAAAACCTGCCTTCTCGTCAAAATGCTGCGATGGGGGCTGTACCAAGAGAGTTTGGAGAGGTTTGAAGATCAGTTTTCATGTGTTTTTGCCCCCTCCGTTCGTCCGAGGACGTGGATAGTAGCCGTGAAAGGGGCAAACGAGACGCAGTCGCGAGCTACGATTGCGTGTGAGCGCAACACTTTGTGGTCGCCAGATGTATTTGCTTTGTTCCAACATGAACGAGAGAAAACCGCCAAGTTGTCCGGACCACCCACGGGTTTAGTGCGTCTTCAAATTCACACGGCCGCCTGATCGTTCGAACTTTCGTCTGCTCTTTCAAACTTGGCTGCTTTTTGTCGTCAGCTCGTTCAAACGACAGCGGCCCGTAAACCAAACGTTGACCCGGTAATTGCGATAAGAACTAAGTGCAGGCCTCAAAACACTTTTGAAGGTTGGTTGGGGTGAGTAGGCTAAGTGTAAACAGATACAAGAAGATGATGATCATTGTTACCAGTGGCCATCACCGACTTGTAATGCCCGATTCTACTTGCGGTTTTCAGTATTGACGTCCACCTCCGCAGCTACGGTTCACGCTTTTGCAGTCCGAGCGACGTCGCGACTGAAAATAGCGAGCAGAATTCATCGTGGGAGTCAGGGTTTAGCGCCCATTCTGCGGCGTCCACGTGAAATGAATCGCCTCACGTCACATTATTCACGAAAAGTTTTGCCTCGTTAGTTTTGCTGAAGCCTCTCAAGTAGTCAGACATTGTTAGGAGGACGTAGAATCAACAATTCCAACGCGAAAAAGAGCACGGGGACTCCCACCGACGCCGACAACAACGCAATTCAATGGTTTGTTTATGGGCGACGGCGGGCTTCTTGCCCACCATCCACCGCGCATGCGCGGCGCCGGTGGCGTCCGCTAGGGGCGCTCCGGTTTGTTTGTAAACATGAGTTGGTGTATAGAAAATTAACCCGTCACTCAAAATTCGTACAAAAGCAGCCGCTCCGGTGGCTGGAACGACTAGGCCATCCCCTCTACGTCAGCCTCGCCGTAGCTTTGCTCGTCTTGAGACGACCTCCGTCCCGATTGCGTTGGATGTCACGTGCTCTAAGCTGGGCCTTCTCCGTGCGCTTGCCAGAGTGGGCCGTTTATAACGAAAAATACAGCAACCAGGAACAAAATACAAACGTGCGATTGTCATTTACGGATATTGTGGATCATATTCAACCTATTTTTGAGCACGACGGGAATATTTCAAATTTCGTTGAAGTATCCCTTTAAACACTCAGATGCAGGATTGCCTTTTGCTGCTCTATTTAAATCTATCGCTTAAGCAGTCAGATGCAGGATTGCCTTTTGTGAGAGGCCAAGAATACATGAGCGACGGCTGCACGGCCGCCACTCACGTTCAATATCCGCTGTAGCTCGTTTGATGTTGAGGACGGAAGAGATGGTGCGACCGACTCGAAGCTTAGGTGAAAACTGTTTTAATCCACGTGCCGTCGGGCTCGTGCCAACGAGTAGTGTCGTCGTTTTTGTCGGTGGCAACGCTGGACGTATTGAGGGCTACAGATAGCTCACCCCTAAAGACATCGCCTGCAGCAGGCTGCAGGGGACGGAGCGATTCTGCAGCAGCAGCCAATTAAGCTCTTGGGGTTAGCGCTGTTGCCGTTGGTGGGCTGCGAGCGGAATGACTCGGCAGAAAACGGTGGACGTTGAAGACAGCATGCGGGGACCGGGCAGGTCGAGGTCGGTCAAAGTGGATACAGCAAACAGCGGGATCCGGTAGTGCTGTGGTTCCGAAGTTTAGTGGGCTCAAACCCACTTGGGCTCCAAGGGAGATGGCGGCCAAGATGGCGCACCGAGTGGAGAGCAGATGCCTGACCTAGCAGTGAAGAAAGGCTCTGTGAGTGAGACCTTACGAACAGACTGGTGTGCCCTGACTTGCCATGTTTAAGCGTGGCGCGGTGCGGCACGCCCCACATGTGGCAGCACGCGACCGTGCCAGACCAGCCCAACACCACGCAGATGGACACGACTGCCGGGGCGACACCAGGGATTGCGGCAGTGGCGGAAATGCCAACGAACGTAGACTTGCCGAGCTGGCAGGGAGTGGTCGCTGCAAGTTGCTCGGATATGCCCGCGGCAGACTGGACAGAGGCAGTGGGTCCAGGTGTGGGGGCCGAGGGAGATGTGCTCCCGAAACGCCGAATCCCAGAGAAAAGCTCACCGGAGGTAAGCTCACCCACTTTTGTGCGAGTCCAGAGAGAAGCTCACCAGTCTTTGGACAGACCCGGAGAAAAGCTCACCTCAAATAAAATTATTATGTATGTAAAGTGGACGTTAATAGCAGTAGCGCTACCAAAGTTTTATGCGTCTCACGCAGGCGGTACACCGTGCGACGAGCGAAGTGATTTTTCGCATTTAAAGAAGATGCGTCAAACTTTTATGGCATAAGTTTGTGCCCCGAATGAGCAATTTCCACCAAGCTGGTAGTTTTAACAACAACCACTAAAAGGAGGCAAAAAAAGAAATTTGATCATTTTGTTTAGGGGTTCACGCAGTGTACACACTTCACACCAAATCGTCCTGCTGTAAACAAAACAAAAAAATACTAAGATGAAAAAAAATTGTTAGATTTATTTTATTTAAATCCGACTAATATCGCTGTAGCTAGCAAATATTGATTATTTATCACTATATGCATTTCTAAACACGGCTGGTTGTTTGGTCAATGCTTCCGATCAGTGAAAACAATGCAGAAAAAAGAATTTAACTTTTTGTTCATGAAGACTCTGCCATACTAGCACAAAAACAGCTTCTTTTCTTAACGGAAAAGTTGTGTTTCTTTTTTTTTTTTTTCGCGGCCTGATTTTTTGGCAATTTGACATTGCTTTCTCAGTTTTCGCTTCTATAATTTATGTTCTGATTTCATTAAACAAGAAAAATCTCAGGTAGCTGACTAAATAAGTTGGAGGTAGAAATGAAGCTGGACGCATCTACTCCTGTAAGACCACTGCTTGTTGCTCGTGTTCAGTCCGATTGAGATCTTTATTGTGGGAGGTTTCTTTGATTGAAACAAAATATATGGCCATCTTAAAAAAAACATCAAATAATAAAGAAATCAAAACTGAAAAAAGAAAGCAATTATTTTTGCGGCCAAGTTTTTATTTAAATCAAAATAGGTAAAACCGGTCTGATTTGAATCACGATTAACTTGTCTTGATTTTTATTTCCCGACCTGAGTGCAGCGCTCGTTCCGCTTTTATGCCAACCCATTCCGCGTGAGTGTCACCAGTGTCACCTTATTTAATTCTGACGTAGCCGAAATGGAAAAAAATACACATTTTTTTTTAATTAGCATTTTATCGTTATTTTTTATTTCATTTTAATTAGCGTTCTATCAAAATTATGTATTTTATTTTCGTCGGGCAACGCCTTACGTGTTAGACGATGTTTTAATAATTTTAAAATATATTCTGCTAGTGAAGCGCAGAATCGCAGCATGTACTTCACTTGATTCGCAGGTGAGCTTTTCTCCGCATTGGACAGTTTAGCGGTGAGCTTATCTCCGGTGAGCTTTTCTCCGCCGCCCGATATGCCAAGCCGTTGCCGTGCCCTAAGCCGCGGAAAACGTTCCCCTGGATGGCAGGTGCTCGGAGTCGATCATCAGGTCCGGGTCAGCAGTTTGTAGCTCGTTCGATGTTGAGGACGGAAGAGATGGTGCGACCGACTCG